TCAGAGACAGGGAGAGGAGCTCAGTCACACATATAGACTGTATATACGAATGGAAAAAGGTAATTCAGTAGCTGCCACATTTCAGGAAGTGAGCATGGGGGCGCTTCTGGCTCCACCGACTCACCTCTCTCTGTAGCTGCTGCTGTCAGGCTCATCTTTTGGTCTTAAAATGCTCGTATTAACCCGCTCTACATGATCTTGGTGCTTTTATTTCGCGATTTTGTGTGCAATTGGAAGTCGGGTTCAAATTCAGTCCTATAACTTCTGACTTTGTGAGCTTCATTTGACTGGAGCCGAACACTACACACGTTAAATTCATTCAGTCTACTTCTTTATACAGTCTATGGACACACGTGAGGAGCTTGGAGTAGAGCCGCTGTTCCTCCGCATCAAGAGGAGGAGAGCAGCTGAGGCTCCCTGGAGAGGTGCTCATGTATGGAAGATAATTTGTTCCATCAGATTTTGAATTTTAAATGCCACTGAATTTCTCACTTTGAATTTTTTAAATCTGAAAAAAGAACCGAATTATTTTTATTCTGAAATTTAAGTATACTTTTTCAAATTCTAAATAAAAATGTCACCTTTTAAATATTCAGCACAGATATTTTCAAGCCCTAAAAATCAAAAGTTAAAATTCAGAGTGTAAAATTCGCAGTGAAAAATTTCAGAACAAAGATCCAAGATGCCAAGGCAGAAGCAATCGATATCGAATCATAAATGAGTAAGGAGGACAGAGCTGTTTTCCTATTGACTGTTCTCATCTGTGGTTGGGATTTACACCTTTGAAATAAAACAGATGAGGTTTTGATTAGGCTAATTCTGACCAATCAGACTTCAGGTTCCCGAAATCATTTCCTGCTTCTTATTAAGTTAGATCGGATCACTTTGGATCGATCGGTTCATCCTTGGCATCTTGGATCTTTGCTGAGAATTTTTTTCACTGTGAATTTTACACTCTAAAATTCAAAATAAAAAATTCACCTTTTAAATATTCAGCACAAATATATTCAAGCCCTCATATTCAACAGAAAATGTACACTTAAAATCTCAGCAACTAAATATCTGAATAAAAATAATTCAAACATTTTTTTGTCAGAGTTAAAACATTCAAAGGGACAAATTCAACGGCATTTAAAATAAAAAAAATCTGATGAAACAAATTAAGTTACATAGTCATGTCCCATCGGGAGGAGGCCCCAGGGATGACCCAGGACACGTCGGAGGGACTGTGTCTCTCGGCTGGCCTGGGAACGCCTTGGAGAAAGTGTGTACAAAAAAAGAAAGAGACTGAAGCCTCCATGGCCTGGCCCCAGATAAGCTGAAGAAAATGGATGGATAAAACTACATGTCCTGAAATTTACTGCTAGTAAAGCTGACAAGTTACAACAAGGAAAATACAAGTAAAGAATAACTGGAACAAAAATATATAGCTGTATTTTTCCGTATTTGAACGACACTTTTGAATTGGAGTTGTGTAACGTCTTTATGGACAGACTTTAGCTGTGCCTCAGAGGATACAGAGGAGAGAGGAGGTGATTTATGATCCTGATTTAAAACTAATGTGTCCTGTTTTATCTGAACACACAGTTCTGCTGCTGCACTCACCGCAAAGAGATGATCAGTATTTAGGAAGACGAATGAACCGAGCGAGGGAGGTCAAATATAATATAGTGTGGAGGGCTATGAGATTAAGCACAACTGAATAGAAATCACAACTGTAATGGCGACTACTGGCAAATAGCAAAGGTTACAATCATTTATGGAGTTATAGTTTCTTCTGTGAAAAAATCCGCAGCGTCTCCACCGGGTCTTCCTCTGAATAAAACCTACTAACTTCTATATGTAAAATTAGCAGTTCATATTTCAATCTTCTCTCAAATATTAAAGGTGTAATTTTTTGGTTCAGGGTCCGTCACCTGCAAACTAAATCTCCAAATAAAAAATTACATTCAGATATTCACACAACAATGTTCAGTTCTGATATAGTCCAACGAGGTTCATTCGGTCCTTAAATATTTGTATTATTATTTTATTAGATTCTTTCTTCAGATCAAGGTTTAGTTCTAGGACTATAAACTGAGACAAAGGGGCTTTTTTACTCTCACACACCTGGGATACTGTCCTGAAGTAGTCGGACTGCAGATGGCGCTGTCGTCCTCACGCCACTGATAGGAAGACAAAGCTACAACCTGTTTAAATCAGATGACACAGCAACATCACATGACAACTCTGAGGAAGATCGCGAGTGAGCATTCAAAACCTTGGTCTAAAAATGAATGAAATAAACAGTTCTGGTGTAGTTCCTGTACAAAAATACTTAAAGAAATACTACTTGGCTTATGTATTTCAGAGACTTGTATTATACTTGCATTCAACACTTTAAGGTCATTTGTTCTCGGGCTCTTATAGACCTTTAAAAAATAGGACCATCTTCCCATCTTCACCAGAAAAGTGGTTATGTCAAAATATTTTATCAGACATTTAGCATTATTTTTATTTGGCAGACTTGGTGAAACTGTATTGATTTTCTCGTCTTTTACATTAAACTGCAGAGCAATTGGGCATAATGGCTGAGGAAAACCACAACTGCTTTAATAGAAAAATGCAGCTATAAATGCAACTTCAAGGTTTGGCACCAAGAGTTTAAATTGAATATATTGTTTATAAAGTGGTAAATAAAATAAACAGTTTATATTAGACACTATAATACACTGAGATGCATTGGGACAATAATTATTTCGGTTAGTTCTTCTCAAACTGTGAAATTCTGTCCTCCTTTGGTTTAGACCTTGTTTAGACCTAGAATTAATTTTGATAATTTTAGTTTTATTTATTTTTTAATTTGTCAAATGTTACCACAATCACTTTAATAGAAAAATGACAATATAAATGCAATTTCAACTAATGTCTGGCTTTCAGAGTTCTAAAAATATTGCTTTTAAATTGGAAAATACAATTAATAGTAACAATTAAATCAGTTACACACTAAAATAGAAGATTCATTGGTCCAATAACGATTTTAATACTTTTTTTTTTTTCATTTTATATTGTCTGCAAAAATATGGCTGCTCACATTATAATTTTAGGAGTGTACTCATTTTGTAACATTATAGGACATTAAATTTGACCATTAACTCTATTACTAAGATATCGTCTGGTAATTAATATGCAAGACAAAATCATTATTCAATATAAAAGGAATGTACAAGCTTTAATTTAAAATATAATTTTCATGAATGGTATAACAAATTGTATAACAAAACTTTATATTGTTATTACTTGAGTAAATGTTTGTGTTACTTAAAGGTGTATTGTGTAACTTTTTGGTTGGGGCTCTGTCACCTTCTTGTTTCTATGGAGATGTCATTGCTCTGCCTGGAATGTTCCACAGTATGACTTTAAACAGGTCTACCTTACATTTATTCAATTACAGCTGGTTTTATAACTCAAAAATACCTAGAAAAACAGGTATTCTGACTGTGAGCGGGGTCGCCTCTCCACAGATCTGACCTGTAACTTGGTCTGGTTTGGTCTTCATGAAGATAGAAAGATTTAATATCATACTGTGAAACATTCCAGACAAAGCAATAACATCTCCATGGATAAAAGCATTTGACTGACCCTTCATCAGAAAACTTACACAATGCACCTTTAAAGTTCAATATGCTGAAAATGCAATATTTACAAATGATGTAAATAATTATGTCTGTCATTTGAGCTGTAAATCATACACCTAAGCACATTTTATAGTAATGCAACTTTTTGGATGGAAGCCACTATTAAACTCCACAGAAGAAATAAATTTGCAAAATCTTTGGATGATTTTCCTGGATATAATTTATACAAATAAAAATTGTTGAACCAGGTCAGAATCCATTTTTCACACTAATTGCATTGACTTCTCTGTGGTCCTGCCTCATTTTCACTCAGTCCCCACAGACACCAAAAGCACCAAATTTACTGTCACGTATTTACTCATCACTCACAGCAAAAAGACCATTAGTATTTACGAAGATGAGTGAACCAAGCAAGTGAGGTCAAATAAAATAGTGTAGAATAGTAGTGCTATGTCATTAATGGTCCTACATTACATAAAATTGACTATTGTGAGCTTTAAGACATGTTATAATGCCATTACCTCTGCAAAAACTTACCTGGAGTTGTTTTTTTTTTTCATTCAAACACATTTAAGTGACAATTTATTATTAGTTTGTCTACATCTCCAAAGCTCAAAATGCTCTGTTCCACCTTGTGATGTCAAGAAGTGGTAGTTTTCAAGTTAACATTTACCTTTACCTTTATTGGAAATTCCAGGACTAAAATTATCCAAATTATTCTAGTGAAGGTGTATGGAGTTTAAAAACATAGTGGAGCACTTCCTGTATTCCCACATGACATCACAAGGTGGAACAGAGCGTTTTCAGTTTGAGAGAAGAACTCCTAACTCTTAAAAATGCAGAGTTTGTGTGTTAAACAATAATAAAATATGGTCCTTTTAAGTATTATAGAGACTACTTGCTTAGTTCTCCTTCCAACTTTTCAACTCTTTAAACTAATTTGTTATGTTCTTAACAAACTGTTAAAGGTGCATCGTCTAACTTTTCTGGTGGATCCATCAAATGCTTCTAGAATGTTTCAGAATATGGCATTAAACGTTTCTATCTTCATGGAGACCAAACCAGACCAAGTTATAGGTCAGATCTGCCTGTTTTTCTAGGTATTTTTGAGCTATAAAACCACCTGTAATTGAATAAATGTAAGGTAGAGATGTTTAATGTCATACTGTGGAACATTCCAGACAGAGCAATGACATATCCATAGAAACAAACAGGTGACGGACCCTAAACCAAAAAGTTACGCAGTGCACCTTTAAATCTAGTCTTTATACACAGAACATTCTAAAAAATAGGACAAACTTCCCATCTTCAACAGAAGCGTGGTTAAGCAGAAATAATACATTTTAGAAGCCAACAACACCAAACTTACTGTCATCTACTTACTCATCATTCCCAAGAAAAGACGTCTCTTTCCACACCATTTTGTCCTCGAAGGCACCCATAGCTCCCTTTTCCATCGGCTGGTACAGACATGGGGTAGACAGTGGCGTCACGATCTGGTCCGAACTGATGGATGTTATTTCTGAACTGGGAAAAATCGACGAAGACCAGGATGAGTTGGAAGAGCTGGACGGACTATCCAGCCTCACCTCTCGGAACCCCTTGAAGTCCTGACTGCTGGATAGGGTGGACAGTCTGGGGTAAAAACAGGAGAAAAGGGAGGCATGGCGAGCTAAAACGGAGAAGGATTTTGACGACGTTGACAAATCTGGCGAGGAATACGAAAGAGAAGTTTTGATAGAGCCAAAATTAAACATTGGGAAAGTTAGCTGGACACAATTGCGAAGAAGAGAGTGAGAATCGCAAGAATACACAAAATATTTTCCGTTAATAGCAAGTAGCAAAGATATAGACTTTACAACCAATCAAATTTAAAGAAAGATATGAGACCAGCCAATCAAATTTGAGCTGAGAAGTGAGTGTGTAGACTGGCTAAAAGCTTTCATAGAAGAAGACGGGCCACTTATAGAGGTGCTCGCTAACATTACATTACCGCACTTTTAGAGACCGCAATTGGATAATGAGGAAATAGGTAATCAATGAGGAGATGTACGAGCAGGACTGGACAGTGTAGCGAATTTTGGTTACATGATAGGGTCTACGCTACAGGGAAGAAGTGTGGAGTATTGGGTTTCAGCGATAAGCAGTTCATTACTCACAATAGCATTAGGGCTAACAGCTAAAACCACTTAGCGTCAAGATATGCCAGGTGATACACAGCGCCACGATGAAGTATAGTGTGAACAGTGTTATAGTGTAAGTTTGAATGGAAAAAGAATGGAAAAATAGGTAACACAGTTCAAATGAGGCTAAAAACAGTAGCATTATTAGGGCTAACAGCTAAAACTACTTAGCGCCTAGATATGTCAAGTTATAAACAGTACCTTAAAGAGCGTAAACAATAAAATGGGTAGATTTCACAGCTATATTGTTGTCTGAATGGAAAAAAAACATAAAAAGTGTGTGAACAATAAAGTCATTAGATTTGTTTGAATGGAAAAAGAAACAAAAATAGGTGTAACACAGTCCAAATGATGCTAAAACAGTAGGATTATTAGGGCTAATAGCTAAAGCTACTTAACAGCTAGATAATGCCAATAATAGTGCCATAAAGAGAGAGAACAATAAAATGGGTAGATTCCACAGTTATATTGTTGTTGTTTTAATGGGAAAAAAAAAGTGTCACACAGTTCAAATGAGGCTAAAACAATAGCATTATTAGGGCTAACGGCTAAAACTACTTAGCGCCTAGATATGTCAACTTATAAACAGTACCATAAAGAGCGTGAACAATAAAGTGGGTAGATTCTACAGCTATATTGTTGTCTGAATGAAAAAAAATAATTATAAAATAAATAAATGTAACACAGTTGAAATGAGGCTAATAAACAACAGCTCTATTAGCTAAAACAGCTAAAACTACTTAGTGGCTAGATATACCAGGTGATGGATAGTCCTATAAAAATCTAGAGTGTGAACAGTGCTATACTATAAGTTTGAATGGAAAAAAATAAAATAAAATAGGTAGAACAGTTCTAATGAGGCTAAATCGATAGCATTATTAGGGCTAACAGCTAAAACCATTTAGAAGCTAGATATGTCAGGTGATATATAGTGCCGTAAAGAGAGTGAACAATCAAGTGAGTAGAGTTAACAGCTATATTGTGGTTTGAATGGAAAAAAAAAATAAAATAAATGTAACACAGTTCAAATTAGGCTAAAAACAATAGCTCTATTAGGGCTAACAGCTAAAACTACTTAGCAGCTAGATATGCCAGGTGATGGCCAGTGCTATAAAGATATAGAGAGTGAACAGTGTTATAGTATAAAGTCTGAATGGGAAAAAGAAAGTGGGTAGATTTCATAGCTATATTGTTGTCTGAATGTGGAAAAAAATTGTAACACATTTCAAATGAGGCTAAAAACAACAGCATTATTATGGCTAACAGCTAAAACCACTTAGCGGTTAAATATGCCAAGTTATTAGGGATAAGAGCTAAAACCATTAAAAGGCTAAATATGCCAGGTGATAGACAGTGCCATAAAGAGAATGAACAATAAAGTTGATAGATTCCACAGCTATATTGTTGTTTGAATGGGGGGGGGGGGGGAATAACACAGTTCAAATGAGGCTAAAAACAACAGAACTATCATGGGTAACAGCTAAAACCACTTAGCGGTTAAATATGCCAAGTGATACACAGCGCCATAAAAATGATCAGTGTGAATAGTGTGAACAATAAAGTATTACAGGCAGATTTCACGGCTATGTTGTTGTTTGAATGGAAAAATGAATGAAAAAATAGGTAACACAGTTCAAATGAGACTAAAAACAGTAGCATTATTACACCTCCGTGAAGTTGGCCCCCCATCAAAAACTATGTCAATTGTTTGTGCTCCGTTTGTGCTCTGTTTGTGCGGCAAAAAGTTTTGTTTGTGCTATTTTAGTTTTTGAGATATTAACGATTCTTTCATATGTCAAATTCGGGTCAACCCCCCAGGAAGCTTAAAAATGCTCTGAAAATGCCCAAAATGGTGTAAATTGTTTCTGCTTCATTTGTGCTGCAAAAAGTTTTGTTTGTGCGATTATGCTTCTTAAGATATTAGCAGTTTTATTTTCAGCCATTCCAGCCCTTCAACATCTTAAATAGCCTCAAAACAGGCAGAAAATTATACGAAGTGTTTGTGTGTTCGTTTGTACTGTTTTGTGCTGTGACAGTTTTCATTTGTGCTGTTTTGTTTTTCTAAAATTATTAATTATTATGATATCATGTCATTTCCACTCAGCTGATGTAGCTTTAGTAAAACTAGTGAAGATAAATGATCTCAGGCTGTGGAAAAGTCTGAATTATTATATAAAATACGGATCAAAAGCAAGTTACTAAAGACTGATACAGACTTTTCCACAGCCTCGAGATCATTTTAAAGAGTGTGAACGATGAAGTGGGTAGATTTCACAGGTATATTGTTGCTTGAATGGAGGAAAAAAAAAAAAAGTCAGTTCAAATGAGGCTAAAACCGCATTATTAGGGCTAAAACCGCTTACAGGCCAGATATGCCAGACAGTGCCATAAAGCTGTATAGATATATAGCGTGAACAAGAGATTTCACAGCTAATATATTATATTGTAACGGTAAGAAAAGATGTAACGCGGTCCAAATGAGGCGTCAAACAATAGCAGCACGTTTCTCAGTTGAAGTACATTTTGCAGAACTGAAAGATTCCGGTAAAAATGCGAGAGGTCCTGGATTACCACCTAATGACATAATAAGTTAGAAGATAATATATTGAGCTTTACAGAGGATATCATGGCATAATATCTGTGAATTAAACAAATGCAGGAGTTTTTGATTAAGAAAAAAAGGCATGCTAGAAAATAATATGAAAAATGTAATTGTGAGCTGGCCACAATTGTGTTATTTTTAATTGAATCTTTAAATGTGCATTGTGTAAGATTCAAAACATACATACAACATACATATAATTATTACTAATTCTACTTACCATATGTGCCAAAAAATACAAGAAAAAACTAACTAGGTCAACTTAAGCAGACCTCAGCAAAGGCAATGGTGAAAATACGGTGCCCAGACCATAATTTGAGCATTTCATTGAACATAGCATTGTGTTTTTGTACCGTGTTAAACTTACAGTAACTTGGAGCTCAGAGGAGTCAGATGTTTCTCATTTCATCAACAGGAAGAAATGATCCTGATTTGATTTGATTGATCCACCTGGGAAAGTTTCAGGCTTCCCCCGGACGTGAGAGGCTCCTGAGTGAAGAGGAGTGCAGTGTAGACTCAAGCGTAAAAACAACCACATTAAATACATCTTAATGACTGTGAGGTCTGTAAGATGTGTGACTTTTAAGGACCCGTATTACAGTATTTTCAGATCTATGTTATAACGTTGTCAGACCCTGAGCTGTGTTTTGTTTCATTCACACATTTAACACATTAATCCTGAATATCAAAGCTGTGTTCTTCTCTCAAACAGAAAACACTCCGTTCCATTTAGTGATGTTGTGGTGTTGGTAATACAGGAAGTGCTCCACTGTGTTTTTAACCTCCAGAGCATTTTGTAAACAGACTAATAATAAACGATCACTCAAACATGTGTGAATGAAACAAAGCACGACTCCAGGTATATTTTTTGAGGAAGTAACAGCATTATAACATGACTTAAAGCTCAGAAGACTTATTTTTAGGACCTTTAAGGGTGCATTCACACTTATACTTAGTTGGTCCTGGTTTGTGCCCACTTAAGTCCTGATGTAGACTTTGACTTTGGCTTTGACTAGTCCAGGTTTAGTCCTAGTTTAGTCCTAATTTTGGTGTTCAAGTGACAGTACTTAAGAAGGCATTTCAATATTACAGATGTTGTTACAAAAATACTTATTCATGTATTATTGTGATACCTAAATGTACTTTTTATTTATTATCACTGGAAAATAAACCAATATTCTCACAAATGTTCATTAGCACTTGATGTTATATTTGATTAAAAATGTACTGTATAGTTTTGAAATATCACAGTGTTTCAGTTTTTCATAGATAATAGACTTTTAAAATTGTAAACTTTCCCAATACAGATTATGTATTAGTAATGAGCAGCATGAATTAATTGTTTTAAATGTTTAATGATGAATTGATAAGAAGTTATTTTAAGGAAACACTGTTAATGATGAAATGTTGTTGTCTGAGTCAGTCTAATGTAAATAGTTTCTTTAATGTTTTTTGTGACCGCCCAAGGACTGCAGAAGGAAAGTATCTTATAACTAAATCTGACACAGAGCATCTTTTCTCTCTGAATTTAATGTTTTCTGTGCACTGTCCTTGTTTTAAATAAATAATAATAATAATATTCAAATTGTATCTATCCAATAAAGCATACATAACACACATCAATATACAGTAAAATTAAAACAACCAATGGCAATAGGACTAGAAACATGTATATGTAATGAAAAAAGGACAAAGTACAAAAAAATATTTTATTGACAAAAATACTCAACAAAACCTTCAGTTGTCATTAACAGTGAAATAACATGTTCCCAAAAGTCACTATAATGTCTATTCTCTGTTCAAGTATCTGGGATATTTACAATTGTACACATTAAGAAGCACGACTTAAAAAAATACATAAACAACTAATAATTTTAGCATTTAATATACTGTGTGCGATCTAATTTACTGGTACTGAACATATTCATTTTCTTCGAAAATATGAACTTCATACTGTAGCTGCAAAGTAAAATCTAGCTTGAAAAAGACAAACATAGACGGGACAGTATTACATGAAAAAAGCAAACTAATGCCAATAGAAAATGTGATAGTCTGAAACAGGCCCGTCGACAGAAATTTGAAGGTCCAGGGCAAGAAGCATCACATGGGGCCCCCGATAATATAAATTAATAGGCAGAGGTTCAAATTTTGGGGACGTAAAACCTTGGGGACGGGAAAATAGACCCGTTTGTCCCCTGATCTGAATTGATGTTTGTTAAAAATAATGAATCCAAAAAACTACTCAGCTTGAGCAATAAATTAACTAACAAATTAAAGTAGCTCATGATGCCTTAAAGTAAAACTGTGTAACTTTTCTGGTAGAGGCCCTGCTAGTTACTTTTTTTTATTGCTTTACCTCATATTCCAAAATATGGCATTCTTTTTTTTTTTCAGTCTCCATAGAAACAAGCTGGAGACGTCACCAGCCAATTTACAGGTGAGATCTGCGAAGAGGCGACCCCACTCACAATAAGAATACATGTTTTTAAAAGGTGTTTCTGAGGAATAAAAACACCCATAACTGAAAAAATGCATCTTATATAAGTTTAATACCATATTGTGGAACATTAGAGGCAACGAAACCCCCAACCTGAAAAGTTACGCAGTGCATCTTTAACTAAATAACAGCTATATCTTGGTTAAAACATTTTTCCAAGTTATAGAAATGGGCGTATTGCATTTGACCTTAAATATCAATCAAAAAATGCATAAACTTCTTGCTAAAAATGGATGGAAGAATCGAGGCAAGTAAGGAGGCTAACAAAGCAGCAAACTAAGAAGTCAGGGAAGACACCAAAACTACGCGATCGCAATCTTGTTTTGAACGTTTTTTGAGCATACTGGCAAAAGTGTCCTTCGAAGATAGCGTTTAGCCTTTAATATCAAGATATCATGTCTATTTTGATGTCCAAGTGAAGAATTAACATCATAGTTCTTCAGAAAATGCAGTTATTTTTGTAGTAGCAATAGTAGTAATAGTAGTAGTAGTAGCAGAGCAGTAGACAATACTAGAATTTCCAACAGGTTAGCAACAAGCGGAACAAGCCAGGAATGTAACAAACAAACCCAGCTTTCGGCGATGGCCATTTTAGATCTGGAAAAAAAAAAGAACGCTGGGGTCCGAAAGTGAGAGTGGCATTGCAAATGGAAACAAATGCTTCAGTAAATTGGCCTGGGCTGTTTCATGCTGTAGTGGGCTTCCGACGCAGACACATAAGCCGACTCAGGGAAAAAATCTTCGTGGAACTCGGCCAAAAACCTACGAGACAGATGGGAGGGTTGGGAATCGGGGGTGGGAACAGGGAGGGGAGAGAGGACATGCTTTAGTGAGATAGGTGAAAACTCTTGTATCCTTCCTGCCTTCTCGTATTGACACTTCGCCGAGATCACGCCGAGGGTGGTCTATAATGCGATTCTAGTGGCGGAATGTTCGGCAGTTTCCGTGGTGACACAATGCACACATAAGCAAACACAGCCAAAAAAAAAAAAGTCTTAACATAGTCTGAAAAAATACAAAATGGATTTAAACGACTATTGATTACATTGTGCTTTTCCATGCCAAATAGAGTAACGTCTGTGGAGATGCAAGCCCGCTCACAGTAAGAATGTTTTTCACTGCAATAAATACATCCATAATGAGAAAAAAATGCTTATTAATGTCTAATTTTTTGGCAAAAAAGTGACACACTGTGGCTTTAACAATGTTTTCATATCATCTTAGACCCACTAATACAGAAGCCTACGCATTATTTTGGCTTTACTACTTCGAATAACAAAGTATGGTTGGTCAATTATGGGGAAAAAAAAAACATTAATCGAAATTATTTATGTTCTGTCAAAGGTTAAACATACAGTGAAAAAAAGGGACATATTATTTATTAATAACGTTTTGTGATTATGTTTTAAAGGCAACAAAAATAATGGTTGATTGGAGCAATAATTTTAATCAATGTCACCTTAATCATGACATTTTCTTACAATAAAACTTTTGTCTGAAATTGTCTGTACAGTTTGCAAAGAGAAGGTGCCAGGATTGCATTTTTTAGTGTATTGGAGTTCAAAGTCATGAAGTTAGGGGTGAGAAAAATAGCTAAAAATTACTATTACAATTTTGTTGATGCCAGATCACAATTTATATCTCTTTTTATTGTACTTAGTATATGACCATTTCTTTAAAAAGACCCATATTATACTATTCTTTGAATTGTTATAATTAGGGGTGTGCAAAAATATTGAAATAACAATGTATCATATCGTTTAATTTGAAGATACAGTATCAATATCGTGGTCTGCTGTATCGATATATCGCCAAGAGTAATTTTAGGTATATTTTACAAAATTATTCTGTGTAAGAGCTGCAATTGTGTTGACATTTCATTTTAATTTTCACAGTTTTGAGTAAAATTTATGTTTTTCATATTAACTTTGCACAAACTTAATGGGCTTTTAGTATCACAGCCATGATTTTGCCTTTTTTTCACTGAACTGTATCAAACAGATTTGAAATATATTGAATCGAATTGTACTGAATCCAAAGTGCACTGTATTGAAAAACGTATCGTATCGAGGCCTTTGTACCGAGGTATGTATCGTAACGGCAACTTTTTAATGATACCCAGCCCTAGTTATAATATTGTTTCTTCATCACAAACAGACCTGGCAGACCTGTTTTGTTTCATTCACACGTTCCACAAACAAACCCTGCATATTTAGAGAGTTCTTCTCTCAAACAGAAAACACTCTGTTCCACCTTGTGATGTCATGTGGTGTAATACAATAAGTGCTGCACTGTGTTTTTAAACTTTAAAACTTGTGTCATGAATAGCGGTGTGCAAAAATATCTAAATATCATATCATTTAATGTGATGGTACAGCATTGATATTGTGGACTGCAGTATTTTTTGTTGTATTTTACTAAATTATTTAGTTGAAGTGCTACAGTTTTGTTGCTTGTTCAGAGGAAAGAAACTCTTTTATGCGACACATTTGACATTTTCACTGTTTTGATGATTAAAATGTTTGTGTTTCATATGAACTTTGCACAAGAAGTGGTTTAACAAGACTTTAACAAAACTAAAGACTTTTAGTATCACCGCCACGATTTAGAAATTATTTTTTATTGAACCGTATCGAATTGATTTGAAATATATTGTATCAAATCAAAACCTCACTGTATCGAGATATGTATCGAGGTATGTATTGTATCTGCAACTTCTTAATGATACCCAGTCATGTCATGAAGCAAACTTTAAAATTTGCTTCATGACATCACAAGGTGGAACAGAGCATTTTGAGCTTTGCAGATGTAGACAGACTAATAATAAAGGGTTACTAAAACATAAAAAAAAAAAAATTACATGTGTGAATAAAACAAAACACAACACAACACAACTTTTTGACAAAGTCGACGAGTCAATTTTGCGTAATATAGGAACTTTAAGAGAGCTTAACTGGCCATTATTGCTTAACTAAAAAGAAAAAGATATAATAGTACTTAATAAACTCCCCTATGTACCACTAGTAGCCCTCGTCCCACAGTTTGAAAACCCCTGATAGAACAGCCTGACCTCCGACCAACTGACAATCTCCCAAGTGAACTTTCCTCGATATCGTTGCTTCATCCTGCTCTAATCCTGACAGCATGTGCCCTCCACCAGACATATAGATCAACGTATACGGGATCTAACTTCACTATAGCAACGCCAATAAGTCTCCGGGACATCAGAACGAACCAGTATCCACGGGGCAAGCGAATATACCCCCCCGTCCCGTCCTACCCCACCCCGTTCTACCCCTCCCTCCACTACGCGCTCTGCCTATCCTGTTCTGTTCTATCTAATCAGTAGTGAGGAAAGACTAATCCTGGATCTTCTTAGTATTCGCAACTGGGCCAAATCCTCTAAATCTTGCCATCTCATCTTGGCTCCACTGGCCCTCCTAATCTCAATGCAAACAAACCATACTCACAGTGCGGAGCGGTGACAATAAATAACGATTTATTAGTGATATAAGGGAAATGTATAACTGTACACAGCCAGATGTCAGGAATAGGGCTTGATGTGTTAAAGAAATGTGCTGTGTTATAAAACAAAGGGGCTTAAGGTTGTATAAGGTGATGGTATGGGATAATATTAGGAAATTATAACTTGTAACTACATGTTTTTTGTTTTGTGTAGATCTGGGGCGCCTTTTATAAGCTAAGGTAGCTTCTGGGGAGTTTCCCTTTTACAAGACTGTTCTAAATGTACTATGGGTGTAACAAAAACCAAAATGTCCTGGTATCGGTATCGTCAAAAGTCTCTCAGTAATATTGTGGGCCATCACAATATATCAAATTAAATTCATTGTTATGGTGCAGCAATAGTTAAAAAACAGAGGGAACTACATCGACCATGATCCTTTGCTCCATTTTTGTGCAAACTACATGAAGAAACAGAAGTTCTAAGCACTTTTAAGTTAAGTTCTTTGGATTAAGTCCTGTCAAGGCATTTTAAGAGAAAAAAGTAGCATATTCACAATTTTGTTACCGTACTGTTAGATATGGATATCCTTACACCCCTAGTTTGTACATTTTGTAAATAACTAATTAGATAAATAAATAGATAAGATAGTGAAAGGGAATTGTAGAGAGAGGAAAGACTAGATACTAGATAGAGGAGGGGAAGGGAAAGAAAAGGGGTAAAGGGAGGATGGGAGAAAGAGAGAAAAAGAGGCAGAGCTTGGGAAGTGAGAGGAAGAATGAAAGAGAGGATGGACAGATGAATAGACAGATACTGTGATTTTGAGTTACTGAAAGAGAAGATGGTTTGTGCCAGTTTTTGTTTCAGCGAGAGGGAGAGAGAATGGGGTTTTAGGGGTGAACAGAAAGAGAAAGAAATAGGAGGAAAGAGAGATGAGGATCAATAAGAAGAAGAGAAAAAAGATTGCAGAGAGAGAGAGAGATTTTTAATTTTTTTATAACTATTTTAATACTGTTACTATTGTTGTCTTTCATTTGTTGTTTTCTGAAAATTATGAAAATAAACAGCATTTTAAAAAGAACGCAATTGCAGAGATATGAACCATAAACCATGTCTACAATTTATACTGCAAATTCCACCTGAGAATTCTGATTTATTTTGTCCACTATTAAATGTGCTATAAAACCAAATTTGGAGAAGTTTTGTGACACTCAAATGACAAAAATATTCGAAACACTTTGACAAATTTTCCACCAAATTTTAACTTTTTATGAGACATCTGACACACCTTTCTCTCTCTTACACACACACCACACGTCTTTATAGAAAGCATCCAGGAGTCAGTGTTCCTCATTAATAAAGTAGATTATGCTGGCCCCCCATAATTATTGTTCCATCAAAAATATACAGGTCTAGTATCATCACAAAAAAATAGAAGCAATTGTCGAAGAAACTGGGTTAAATTATTTGATAAAATTATGAAATGTGTGATTTTTCTTTGCAATTTATGTTTTAAAAAGAGTATTCTGTTCAAAGTTCACGTTGGCCGCCACCTGTTTGTATCCATGGAAACGTTGTTGCTTTGTTAGAATGTTCCGTAGTATAGATTAAACCTTTCTATCGCGACAGGAGACGAGCAGGTTACAGCACTACGCTACATTACAGTTCAGATCTGTGGAGAGGAGTCCCTGTTCACAGAAGAAATTATTGTATTTTTGAGCTGTAATGATTAATTCTCTACATGGATATGCTTAAAGTCATACCATGGAACTTTCCAGAATAAGACAAGTTTGTAAGGGATGCTCCACCAGAAAAGTTGCGCAGTGCACCTTTAAAAATGTCCTGAAGAAATTACAAAAAGCCTGCGTAGTTAACATTTCAGTATTTTATACTTGGCATTCTCTCAACCCGAGTACTTTATGTCCTCGAATATTGCATTAGTTAATATTCATAAAAACTGGCTTTAATCTAAGAAAACGAGAGGACGGACAAAAATAAAAAAGACAAACTGAGCCCAAGTCCCAGAATGCATTGCACTTCCCTCACATCAATCAGTTCGGTGCAATCTGCCTCTTGATTTTAAAATTAAAGTGTGAAGGATTTCCCGATAGACTCCACGGTTTGAGCCAGACCCCAGGGTAAAAAGATGTTTAATATTTTTAGATTTTAGACAGAAAATCATTCATTAGACCAGTTTTGAGACCTGGCCTGTCAGGATAATTGTCTATTGACTTGTTTAGTGAAAGATAAACAGTACTTCTCAAGGCTCAATGTTTACTTTGTTTACTTTTCTCAAGGACTGTTAACCGCCTAGAGCTTAGAATGTTTCACAGTAAGGCATTAAATTATCTATCTCCATGGAGACAACTATTGACTTGTTTAGTGAAAAATAGCATAACATTTCTCAGAGCTCAGTGTTTATTTGTATCATATATTTGCACTAGAGGGGAACTTTCTCTTATTTTATGAAGTACATTGAAATTTGAGTTGTAAAGGATTTCATTAAATTATCTATCACCATGGAGACAACCTAGTGACTGACACAGGCCAGATTTGTGGAGAGGCGAGCCCTGCCCACAGTAAGAATGTTTTTGTATTTTTGAGCACTTTTAATGAAATAAATACTTGACAAGATCCATTTAATGCCACACAGACAAAAAAAACAACAACTATATCAACATAGAGACAAGAAGGTGAGTTATCTCCCAACAGAAAATGTTACGTAGTGTAGCTTTAACATATTTGTGATTCATTCAAACTAACTTAAAAGGTGCACTATGTAATTTTTTGGTTGGGGGTCCGTCACCTGCTTGTTTCTATAGATATGTCACTACTCTACCTGGAATGCACGAGGAGCCTGATTCATCAGACGATTTCACTTCGTAGAAACCGTCTGACCTTGCAGCATTAGGATTTATTCGCTCGATGGTAGGCGGGTACTTTTTTAAAATTTAACCAATCACTGCTATTTGTTTGTGACGTATGTAATGCGCCGCTAACTGGGCTAACTGTTATATTAAGCTTTTCCCAAATCCCGTAGGAAGAAGGGCAATAACGTCTTTCCCCTTGATAAAATTCACCAAACATTCTCTTTGTTCCGGTTTAAATCCTCGATCTCAGGAATCGTTACCAACACAGAATGTCTGGCTCTTCACTGATTGGCTGGTGCCCGAACTCGCACTTCCAGGGTTTTTGCGAACCATCTACTGTATTCCTGACCTAGTCACTCGAGAGAAATGACATTGAATGGAGGCACTAGGTGGCGCCAGCCTGGCTAGGAATGTTCCACAGTATGACATTAAACAGCTCTACCTTACATTTTTTCAATTAAAGATGATTTTATTACTCAAAAATACTTAGAAAAACAGCCATTCTGACTGTGAGCGGGGGTCGCCTCTCCACAGATCTGACCTGTAACTTGGTCTGGTTTGGTCTCCATGAAGATAGAAAGGTTTAAACATTTCAGGCAAACCAGAAAATTTAGATAATGCACCTTTAACAGAGCTGTGATTCATTCAAAATAACTTCTGTGGTCCAGAGTTGTTTTGATTTTTTTTTTATTTACTATATAGTTAATTTAGGATTTAGTATAATTAAGGATTTAACTGCGATTATACTGCTTTAGTGTTACTGTGTCTGTGGCATAAAGTGGTTTTCAGTCATAATTTGTCATAATATTTTCTGCTGTAATACACACAGCATTCGTTACCATGACACTCAGGGCAGAGAGAGAGTGAGTTTGAACCCAGATGAGATTAAATGCTCTATACACACAGCTTTCTATGGTGGCCCCATTATGTTGTATGAGAAACGACTGATTTACTGTTCAGTGACAGTGGTTACATAAAAGGATGTCCTACGCAGAGTTCAATAAAGTGCTGGCAGTGCAGAAATGAAACTCATGCCTCAGATACAGATGGCTCCCAGTGATAAGAGAAGGTTACACTTGTGGTACTGTTTTTAATTGGGAAGTTTAAAGGCCATATTAATCAGTCAAGGATGTAAAGATTCATCAGTTAATTGATAATAGTGATTATTCAGTAGATAATATAATCTTAAAAGGTGCATTGTACAACTTTTCTGGTGGAGGGTCCATCACTTGCTTGTCTCCACAGAAATGTTATTGTTGCCTGGAATGTTCCATGGTATGACATTAAACATATATATTTAGCATTTATTCATTACGAGCGCTTCTGTTACTCAAAAGTACATTCATTCTCTCTGTGAACAGGGGCGACTCTCCACAGATCTGACCTGTAATGTAGTCTACAACTGTCTCCCCTCAGATTGATAAATTTAATCTCTATTGTCTATCCATGGAGACAAGCAGGTAGATGACCCTCCACAAAAAAAGTTGCGCACTGCTTTTTTTTCTAAATTAAAGGCAAACTTTCTGGAAGTGGCACTGCACCTGTATGATCTAGTGGAAATAGGAAGTTAAAACCACATGCTGAACATTCTTCATAAGACTTAGGTTAGGTTTACACTAAATCGAATCACTGTATCGGAAATTATTTGTGTCCAGACTAGGGATGGGCATGTTTAGTCAATTAATTTAATCGATTACGTTCATTTTAATCGACAAACCGAATGTAGGTTGCTGTGTATAGCGTGACCAAACAGGGGTCTGTACATGTGTCTCTCTGCACTCAGAAGGAGCAAGACACAAAAAGTCGTTCAGTCTGCAACGTACTGAAGTGCAAATGCGAACGACGTACAATGATGACTTGTACAAGAATGTCCACGCTTTCCGTTCGGGACAAGTGGGAGGCCATGTGCACAGTGTACAAAGCAGGAACATGTTTCAGTGTCCAGTGGGAAAAAGTTTTGCCAGGTGAGAGTAGTGCAATGTCGATGACGAGGCCCGACCCCACCCGACATCTCCCACCCCCCGTACGGTGTCCTGGTTTTGACAAACGCAAATACGGTCACACTAACCTGTATTCCAATGAGTCGTGTCTTTTAATCCGACAGAAGTTGACCGCATCAGTGACACAAGAGCTGTAGTTTTATCTTCGCTTAGTTTATGCAAATTAGCGATGCGGTTTTAAGTTTCGGTTCTGTGAGAGTTGCGCAAAACTGAATTAAACACATTATAATGTCAAACGGATTGATGTGGCTCTAGAGTCGTTACGGTTTATATGTCGTAAAGTTGAATTTATTTATGCAGATTAGTAGTGCAGATAGTAATAATAGTGATGATCATTTTAATATAAAAATGTTAATGATTAATCGATAATCAATCGTTAATTCTTCCGACGATCGATTAAGAAAATTTCACCGAATGCCCATCCCTAGTCCAGACACGTCGTTTTTGTGTCCGCAATCAAAGTCTTCCCTCCACACAGTAACGCGAAACCACCTGAAATGCTTGTCACATGACTAGGCTGGCGTCAAGTTATCACAACGTCATGTGGGCAGTAAAAACAAGGAAGTGGAGCACCGATTCCGAGCCGAGATGGCAACACAGTGGACCGACGACAAGGTTCAGTAGTTACTGAACGCAACAGTGGATTTTAAGATTGGTTTGTTTAAACTGTTTTCCGCAATAGTGTCACATGACCAATGTCACAAACCCAGAGAATCAGGAAGGCACAAGTCAGTGGCGTGGTCCAATAAGGACACAACTAGAGCTCCTACGTCAGCATATCAGCGTATTCAGGAGTCCACACAGTGCCAAATCAAATCTGCACTCAGATGAATTCGTGGGAGCTGGCGGCACCAGATCGTTCTGTCTCTGGAGCCGTTTTCCATCGGATTGGTGTGCATGAATGATGGGGCCTTAATGTCATACTGTGAAATATTATACCCAAACTAACAATGTTTCCATGGAAATAAGAGTAAGAGGCCCTCCTCCAGGCCAAATAAGAGTCAGGTTTGTGGAGATGCAAGCCCGCTCAAGAGTAAGGTGGTAGTTTGCATGTTATTTCCACATTTTCCAGTGCAACCAAACAGAAAATATTGAAAAACCTTTGTCCAGCTGACAGATTTAAATTATTCTTTTGCCGTGGACAAACCTGGACGACTGAGGAATTACACAACAGCTAAAAGGTTACATGCTGTGGCTTTAAATGTCATACTCCACTTTGAGAAAAATTCTGTATAGACCTATTGTATCAAGCTTTACCATATTCACCTTACCCAGTCCTCGTATTGTTTTCAAATAATACAACGTTATATCATTTATCTGCTCCCACCATCTCTCTCTCTCTCTCTCTCTCTCTTTCTCTCCGTCTGTTGTGCCCTGCTCCGGAGCGCTGCCTAGTGGCCCGTGGCGGTACTGCAGATGTTTGATTAGAGGCTGCAGGACCTAAATCCCTGAGGTTTGGGGCAGGCTGAACTGAAGATCGCAGTGGAGGATTTAAAGATTAGACGTGTGCTTGTGTAACGCTCATCACTGCACACGGACACATGCTTCTCTCCTCTATCTCTCTCTCCCCTTTCTCTCACTCTTTTTCACTTTCTCTCTGTCTCTGTCTCTCTCCACTTAGAAACATCACAGACTGTACACTTTTTATTATTGCCTTGGTTTTGTTTTGAAATATGTCTGATTATTTTTGGTCTGAGCAAATTGGGAAAAATATCTAATTGAAATTGCGGACAGATTTGCAATTTATGTTTTAAAGGTGCATTGTATAACTTTTCTGGAGGGACTTTATCATCATCTTAGACCAAACCAGACCAAGTTACAGGTCAGATCTATGGAGAGGCGACCCCGCTGACAATCTGAATGCTGTTTCTTCTAGGTATTTTTGAGCTATAAAACCACCTGTAATTGAATAAAAGTAAGATAGAGGTGTTTAATATCATAATGTGGAACATTCCAGGCAGAGCAATAACATCTCCATAGAAACAAGCAAGTGACGGACCCCCCCCCCAACAGAAAAGTTACATAATGCACCTTTAACAATCCAACTATCTGTCAATTACATCACCTACTTTTTCCGTAAAGAAATCCAAATTAAACATGCACTAAATAACTTTTCTGGTGGATGGTGAGTCACCTGCTTTGCCTCGAATGTCCCACAGTATGGCATTAAACATTTCTATCTCCATGGACACCACCAGGCGCCAGAAAAGTTGCATAGTGCAGCTTTCAAACCAATTTAATGACCCCAATCCCATAGGATAAATAATCCAATCAGATACTACAGTAGTACGAAAGGTGAATACCCCAAAGTACGGCATTAACTTTTCTATCGCCATGGACACGAGCAGGTGGCAGAAAAGTTACATAGCATGCCTTTAAAATTAGATTTGACCTTGTAGATTTTGTTTGTTTTTTTTTTACCTGAGAAACTGCTCCAGATGTTTGATCAGCGCCCTCAAATTCCTCTCTGGGATCTGCATCTTTCCGAGGATGTCAGGAAGTTTGACTAAAAACACAAAACGGTTCAATACAATACACCGTAACCTTTAAAACTGTGGAAAATATGCTGAAAATGGGAAATAAAAGTTACCAAAAAGCCTGAGGAGGTGCTGTGATCCGTAGAGATAAGATGGAGGCGGAGGTTGGTCGTTCATTGGGTAATTATCGGGAGTCAACTTCCAGCTCAAAACCTGCGCAACAGAGCAAAGAGTTAGTCATAAAAGTTAAAAAAGCAAGGTTTATATAGTTTACTGGCCTAGAAAATATATTGATACTTAAAGTCTGTACATGAGAGAGGCACTTAAAATAAAAACAGTATCATCCAATCTTTTCATATCAAGTACCACATCTGAAAATATTTGACTTTCTAAAAACAAGTTTAAGCACAAAAGGAAAAATCTACACAAAACCAGGACTAAACCAGGACTAAACCCAAGACTAAACAAGGACTATACCGAGACTAAGCCAGGACTATATCAAGACTATAGCAAGACTAAACCAGGACTAAACCAGGACTAAACAAGACTAAACAGGACTAACCAGGACTAAACCAGACTAAACCAGGACTAAACAGGACTAAAGCAGGACTATAGCAGGTCTATAGCAGGTCTATAGCAGGTCTATAGCAGGTCTATAGCAGGACTATAGCAGCACTACACTATAACTATACCAGGACTATATCAAGACTATACCAGGACTATATCAAGACTATACCAAGACTATACCAAGACTAAACCAGGACTAAACCAGGACTAAACCAGGACTAAACCAAGACTAAACCAAGACTAAACCAGGACTAAACCAGGACTAAACCAGGACTATACCAAGACTATACCAAGACTACACCAGGACTACACCAGGACTACACCAGGACTACACCAGGACTACACCTGGACTACACCTGGCGTAAAATGAGCCACCAAATATGGGTTATGGATTAAACTGGGACTAAGAACTACATAAGGACTAGAACAGAATCAAGTCTAGACCAAACCAAAACAAGAGAAAACACACCTAAAAGTTAGTCTTGCACTAAACCAGAACCCATGCACTAATGTTATGTTACACTTTTTGGCAGATTAAACCTTAATTTAACAGAATATAGGTTTTGTTATTTATTTTAATTAGTCTAATCATAGCTATTGATCAAAAAGGAAATTGAAAAAAACCTAAATTGCACAATAAACTTTTTATTCTTTCTATTTTCTATCTAAAGTGTCTACTTACTTTAGTTTCGGCCTTTGTTCACAGTACGGTTGCTAGGTAACAATTATGAAACTACCCTTTACTTATGTCATATCTGCTGATTATGTCCAACCAAGAAGTGAAATTATAAACTTAACCAATATTAATTAGTAGTTTTAAAGGTGCACTGTGTAACTTTTTGATTGAGGGCTTTTGTTTCTATGGATATGTCACTGCTCTGTCTGGAATGTTCCACAGTATGACAATAAATACAGCAGCTCTACCTTACATTTATTCAATTACAGGTGTTTTTTTTAGCTCAAAATACCTGGATTTACAAGCAAGAAAAGCATTTGAGGGCCCCGCCACCAGAAAGGTTACACAATACACATTAAACATTATGGTTGCTAGGTAACAGCTATGGAATATCTGCTGCCTGTGTCCAAGCGGGAAGTAAAATTACAAACTTCACCGATATAAATGACTATTATAACCTGGCATCTGCACTCTAACCATCGTTCTACATTAAGGACTCTTCATTCCCCTGGACAGTAGCATTAGTTACACAGTGTCCTTGGACTAATCATATCTCTTTGGGCTAATGGCGCTGGGGCTGTAATAGTCTGATCACCTCATTGAGCTCATTGTTTCTCCGGCTCTCCAATCCGTAGAAGGGACCAGTGCGCTCTTTGTTCGGCGTCAAGGGCAAGGGGGAGGACGAGCCGCTGTGGACCGGAGTCTCTGGGGGAGAGAGGGAGAGAAGTGCAAATTTAGGAGAGATTGGAAATAAAATGGGAAAAAAAATCTGTAAAAAATTGCTTAGTGGAGGGTAGTGGATGGTAAAGAAGTGGACTGGCATCATCTAGTGATAGGAAGTGGTTACTACAACTGAGAATGAGTTATGTGGTTTTATAGCAATGTATCAAAAAGTAGAAAATTCAGAGAAGAAAGCGGATAGTACAAATTGCTTAACTTTTTTCATTTTTTTCTGTATACTGTATATTTAATTTCACGTATTTGTTTTGTGTTGGGGTTTTTTTTGTATTATATTATGTTTTAGATTAAACTGGAACTAAACTTGGACTAGAACAGGACCAAACCAAATCTATCTCAGGATTAAACTGGACTCGAACCCAGTATAAACCAGCTAACAAGGTGGTTTATATTTTAGTTGTAAATGAAGGCTATATTAGTTACATAAAGTTGTATTATGTTTTCTAAGGATGCATTGACACAAATTTCAACACTATAGCCATGTTTTCTCACTGGAAGAAGCCCCTAACCCCACAGACATTTTATTTGGTTAAATAATTTGTCACTCAAATAGATACTGGTGTGTGTTAGCATCGTATTTATGTTGCAACTTATTTTGTTTTGACTCACTCCTGTCGAGGTTTAGGAAGAACTTGGGCTGCGCTGGACTGTCAACAATCCTGCGTTTTGTCTGAGGAGACGCTGTGGCACTGCCCCCGCCTGAAATATCAAACATACGGATTATGATTTCATTCTAATGCTGTCACAAAACAAAAAACTTTAAAACTTTAACTTTTCAGTCTCGATAATAGAAGAATAGAATAGAGATTTTGATACCCAAATTATGATTTTAAAAGCTTTTTAGGCAATATTGTCATTTTTAACACAAAATAATAGTAGGTTTATTATACCAGGTGTTTTTTTTTTTTACTTTTCTACAACAGAACAAGAACAAGCAAATGGTTAACCAGATAACTTCCTATTGACTTTACTGTATATAAGAACTCAACAAAATCATGCTATTTAGATTTTAACAATTTGCCTGCCACATGCTGGATTTATAAACATTATCACCAGACACACAGCTCCGTGTACCTCCACTGCTGCCCTCTGCTGGCCGGTCCCCTCCTGACGTGTTCCTGGTGGAGCGTCTCAGACTTTGGTTCTGGAAGTTGATGCAGTCCATGTCGGGGTGCCTCCTGCGTTTGGGCGTGGGGTTGCCGGCGGTGGCGGCGGTGGTGGGCGTTGCCGTGGAGACGTCACTGAGCGCGGGCTGGCTGTCCGTGGACTGAGGAGTAGGAGGGTTGTGCACCGGAGGGCTGGGACTCCTCTCCCTCTGAACACTGGAATAAAAATAAAATACCATTGTGATTTTTATAGCTTTTTAACAAAAATACAGGAAAATAAGCCCAAGATTTTATTTTAATTTCAACATTTAATTAAACTCTAAACTTGTATATGGTGTTTTAATGCATTGGTGTACTGTTCATAGTCACTCTTTGCCATTTTAGTCCAAACTAGGTAAAAAAAAATTAGCAGCTCTATTCGAAACGTGTTTGTAGGCAGACTGTTTCACTTCAAACAATATCAAAACTGGTACCAAACATTAACCAAAAACATTAAACCTAATGTACCTGTTTGCTTGGCTTTCTCTAATTTCTTCTTTATATTGATGTACATTTAACACTGTAGATATAAGGGAAGAACTGAGGGAGTATACAAAACGTTATTGCTTCTTTTCTGTCAACAATAGCAGTTCCAATTTATATGCAAAATGCCCAGTTTTAGAGGCAGCACTGGGGTACATAAAAAATAAAATAAAATTATAATGACATATTGCGCAGACATGAAATACGTACTTGCTGGAGGACGGAGAGTTTTCGTTGATGGCCATGAAGAGTCGTGAAGAGCTGACTTTTTTGAACTGCGCTTGTTCACACGGATACAAGAGGATCATGGGTAATGTGAAGTCAAAAGTGATCCTCAGACCGTCCACCATTTCTTTACACAAGTCCTCACTGGAAAAAAGTCATAACGTTATTTAGGAATCAGCAAGTATAAGAAGAAAACAATGTAAGTGAAACTGTGCTATTAATGTTAATTAGGGTCTAAACCAAGCGTCCCTTACCTCTTTTCAGGAGAGACCGGTTGTGGGACAGTGTTTTGAGAGGCCTGCTGTCGTCTGTACCTCTCATTGGCCATAAAGGCTTTGTTTATGGCAAAGTGTTTGACATAAGACTCCAGAATGTGCACAACGTTTGTCTGGCATGGCACCATCACCAGCTAAAGACAAGAGATAAGAGAGAGTTTTAGTGAAATCAAGAAAAAATACACAAATATTGTGAATTATTTAAAGATGGGATATTACACTTCTATGGGGCATTCATTGATAAAATATAACATAGGTATAACATATTTGGTAGTCAATTATGCATAATACCCCTTCTTTAAGTTTTAATTTGAATACAGTACCTTCTTTCTCTTGTTGATGTAAAAACAGTCATCCTCCAATTTTTTCTTGAGAACATCTGGGATGCTTATGTCCACATGGACAGCCTTTTCTTCGCACTCCCTCTTGACGTTGATGTCCGGTTCAACCCTCTAGAAGGTGGAGAAAATGTAGTTATGTGAATTATGAATTATTAAAGCAAATTTAAGTGTTATTGGAGAGAATGTAGTGCTTACCATTTTGTTAATATCCTCGGAGAAAGCGCTATCTCCACTATTTGAAGATTCCGGGTCAGAATCGTCTGGGTCTGAGCTGTCAGAGGAGGACGAAATCAAACCTGAAAAACAAACAAAATTTTTTTTGTATTATTTTATAATATTGTAATATTTTACTAAATTAATTCGTTTTAACAGAAATTAATAAGCACAAAATATGATGTAACTTGGAAAATTCTGTTTTAGTTTACATTTTACTCAGCATTTGTATTTATTCTTACACGCATCATCGCTGTCCTCCTCTTTAGGCAGAGTCTTCAGAACTGTTTTAGAACCAGATTGACGACGGCGCCTCTTTGCCCATGCCTTTTTCTTCCTACAACAAGAAACACACATTTAGTGCCTTTAACAGATTGTATTGTAATATGTGAGCTAATGTCTCCAAGTAATTTCCTTTGTGGAGTGTCTAACTCTAAATAAAACATATGGAAATGCAATGTAATAAGTAGCTGACTGGAAGGCAAACACACAAAACTGTTCTCTAAGTATGTTGCACCGTGTATTACAAAAGAGACCCCTTACATGCGCCCTAGAGCTTTACGAGCCAATTTACGTTGTAATTTCCTGTTTTCTTCTGTGTCACTTAGGACATGATCTTCTGCAGCCCAGCGATCCCAGCTACAAGAGATAAAATATGATTAACAACGAGAGTACAGCGTATATTAAAATTATTTAACCAAGTATATGCCAATTACCTTCTATTCCAACCATTAAAATGAATCAGGTACTTGGGGACTCTCCTTCCATGTTCATCTGTACCAGTTAACACGTCCAGAACCTAAATAAAAAAGATAATAAAGTCCATAAGTAAAATATTGTGTGCACGTGTTTAAATGAACTCGTATGAATAAATAATTTGAAGCCTATTACTGTTAATATACCGGGAGCACACTTGAAAACATATACAGTCCCATTTAAAACTTGGCTTTTTAAAGTTAATTAATAATATTTAGTGTAGTGTATAAAGTATAACCTGTTTTTAAAGCTGTAATAACGCGCGTTTGACAGTTATTGGCTAATGCTAATGACAAGCTACATGCTAACAAAATGTAAACAGACGAACATGTTAGCATCACTTAGCATTAGCAATAGGAGTATGAATGAACGTAATTTTACTGACAAATAAATAATAACATTGTTGTAGATTGTACGTGTGAACTAACCATTTATAAACCAAGCCCTGAGTCATTCTGTGTTGTCTTTATGTGGTTAAAATTAGAGAATAACGACTAATTCAAGCGTAAAAGAGACTGCTAGGTAGCAAGCAAAAGCTAGCGCTAAGACTCTGCAAAGGTTTATAACAGTGGTTTATAATGGCGCGCTTTCTAAGGATCACAAATGAAACTTAAGTATTTCCAGGTGTCAGGTATTTGCATAATACATAATTGCATTTACAATCCAAATGCATGCTAATATGCACGTGTGCGTTTACGTTTGAATGAATGGAGGCTGAACAGACATCACAAATATTGAATCATCCTTGACGTAAATATATGTTATCTAACCTACCCGGAAACAGATAAGAAGATAACTAATTACTGTACAACGTTGCATAACAAAATGGAATAGTCGCTAGTGGCAGCTACATAGTGCACTGCAAGAACCCAGCTTTGAAAATGTAATAAAATTGTGCGTAAAATGTGCCAAAATCGCCAAAACAGCACTCATTATCTTGCATAATTCACCTTTGCGTCATACAACACTTTGGCTTTGGTGGGATCAGGCTCGAAACACAGCACACGTTCTCCTTTATGGAAGAGATATTTTATTCCCCGCGAATTCATTTGTTCATGGCGGCTTCAATGGAGAAAGAGGCAACCGAGCGAGCACCCAATAAAGGACCCTTACAAAATCCTTAACCCTTTATCCACCGGGAGGGTCTCTGTGCTTCCAGGGATGGCGCTGTTGTTTTGGGATAGGTTATACGGGCTGTAGTAGGCTGCTCGCTGCATTCAACCACTCTTGTGCATCCACCAACCGAGTGCAATGATGTTTCTTCCTGTTGCGCACGCGATAAACTCCAACCCAGTTTCCAATGCAAGCTGCCCAAACAATAAAACAAGAAAAACGATGTGTTGAAATGTGGAAAAATCGAGGTTAGATCCAAAAGAAGCAAGGCAGACGCGGAAAAACTCGTGCGCAACGCGTGGTACCTACTACAAGACCTATGCGTAAACAGCGCACCAGGAAGCGGGGTTGCCAGATACTGCGCTCAGTTTCCTGTGTGGTTGCAAAATACAGAAGTGTGCAGACTGACTAGAGGAGCCAGAAAATAGCTGATACTTTCAAAATAATATGGCTTAATTCAATAAAGTAGAAGTATAAAGGAAGCAACTACATATTTAATAGGGCGTACTCGGCGAAGGCTTCTACAAGAAAAACGTTTCACCATTTCAACCACTTGCTCACATAAAAAAGCTTTAGTTACTCACAAATTTTAAGAATATGGAGTTAAAACAATAGCCTATTCAACTCAAACAAGATAATTTCTAGGCTACGTCAAATTTAGGCTGCTCCGATAAGGTTATTAATAGCCCACTGCTTAAACAGGTAACCAAGTGACCTGTGACTCATGATCGTGTTTGTTTTGACTGATTTTGCATAACCACCATTCACAAACGTCCGAATATCGGAAGAGATTACTTATAGGCTTATGTAAGTAACTTAACTAAAGGTAGACTATAACCCAGATGCTTGAATCCACACTTTTTCCCCCCTTATTTACAAAGAGTGTTTTTTGTCATACACTGAATACCACAGGTTTGTTAAGCTTTGGTTTCCGTTATTATAAAAACTATTAAGTGTGAGCTATTGGCCATGGAGTTTAATTTCTATTTATGGATCAAGTTTTCTAAGTCAGTCCAGGTTAAATATATATATGCCCATTTATCCGTGTATGCCACCTGCTTGTTTCAGCTGAAATGTTACTGCTTTGCCTGGAATGTAGGTCATTAAGTACTGAAATTAAATGTATCTTCAATTGATGGAGACAGGACACTACCAGGGCAAGGTAATGACACATTCTTTTCAAGGACTTTTCTAAGAATACTAAAAAATATGAATATAAAAAATATATATAAAAAATATAAAATGTATTAAATACAAGATGTAGCTTATAGGTCTATACCTCTGTTCAATGCCATAGTGATGAAAATTCAAGACAAAGCAAAGTAACATCTCATAGTGACGGAGCCCCCACTAGAAAAGTTACATGGTGCACCTTTACGCTGTCCATAAGCCTGCCTAATATAAAAAATAGTGTAAATCAATCTCTCTCTCCATCTATTTGCTTCCTTTCAGTTCGGATGATGCGCATTCTCACAACTCTTGTTCTCCCAGCTCAACTCGCCAGGTAAGTTTTGTCCCACCCACTTCGACGCTCCTTCTTTTATCCTTTACCTTGTCTTAAAACTGCATTTTCATCCTTACTCTTCACCTGTCACTGTCACTTTGAGAACAACAACTTTTTCTTTATTTTATTATACTTTAACAGTCCAAAATGAGCACCAAATTGTGGACAGAGGAGCAGTTTAATTGCCCGGTTTGCTTGGACCTCCCGAACGATCCTGTGACGATACCATGTGGGCACAGCTACTGCATGGCGTGTATTAAGGATTACTGGAGCAAAGACGACCCTAAAGGCATCTACAGCTGCCCGCAATGTCGTCAAACATTTTGCCCCAAGCCTCCCTTATCCAGGAACACCATGCTGGCCGAGGCCGTGGAGCAATTACGCAAAGGCGGGATGAAAAAGGACGTGCGTGACTCAATGAGGAGCGTAAGGAGCGTAACATCAGTGGCTTCGACTAAATCCAAATTGTCTTCTTCAGCTGTGCCTTGCGATATGTGCAAAGGAAAGCAACGAGCGGCGGTGAAAAGCTGTCTAGTCTGCATGAGCTCTTATTGCGAGTCTCATTTGAAGCCGCACCAGACGCAGAAGGCGCTAAAACAGCACGAGCTCGCCGCCGATCGGGAATTTGGCAGAGAAAATCTGCACAGCGCACAAGTATCTCCAGGAGTTTTACTGTAGACCGTGCAAAATGTTCGTGTGTTGGTTGTGCACGAGCAATCAGCATAAAGGCCACGAGTGTGTGTCTACCAAAGCGGAAAGGATGGAGAAACAGGTGAGAAGAGAAGGCTATTTCTCACGTAAAACTCATCAAAGGTGCATTAAGTAACTTTTTGGTTCGAGTTGTTTTGGTTTGTTTCCATGGAGGTGTCATTGCTCTCCCTGGAATGTTCCACAGTGTGACATTAAACACCTCTGCCTTACATTTACTCAATTACACGTGGTTTTATAGCTCAAAAATACCTAAAAACAAGCATTCGGACTGTGAGTGGGGTTGCCTCTCCACAGATCTGACCTGTAACTTTGTCTGGTTTGGTCGTCATGGAGATAGAAAGGTTTAATACCATACCAGGCAAAGCAAATGACATATCTGTGGAGAAAAGTATATGACAGGCCCTGTTACACAATGCACCTTGAAGTCTTTTTCTTAGTTTTTCTTTAGGTACATTTAACTTAAAAATAATAATATTAACATTTTGTTTATTCAGTGCATTTATAGACACTCAAAGTTGTCTTATATCTACATCCTAAACATGTACAAAAGCATTATTAACATACATAAGTTAAAACATACAGTAGTCTTTTTTTTTTTTTTTTTTTTTTTAAATTGGGTCATTTTGCAGCACGAGAAAACAAAAACAAAACAGACCACAACTACATGGATCATGACAAAAAGGGTCCAAGCTAAAGCAAAAGTACCAAACCCTATTAAACAATAACAAAATCCCAAGAAAGAAAAGATAGCGCATGAACAACAAGTTTGCATCCACAACTGTACATATAAGAGACAAAATATGAGTTAAAAACAAAAAAAAGACTAAATTCAATGCATAATTCATTCATTCCGGAGCTCTATATCCTCCAAAACATAGTGATTTAAAACAAACAGTAGTCTACATAAAGTTGGCAGATAAATAGATCCTATGGAACAAGAATAACATGACATTATTAAAAAATCCATGTTTTTTAATATCTGATGTCCTTCCTGATGCTTCTAGATGCTTTTACTCTGACTTGTTACACTGATTTGACCAGTGTAGCCTCCTAGTACGATAGAAAAGTTTTAAGTCATCTGGATGCTGTTTTTGAAATCGAGAAGGCATTTTCAATTTGATGTTACTGGTCTGAGACGGTGGGATTTATGGCCTACTACACCGAACTAAGACTTGGATGGGGGTTGGAATGTCATGATATCAAAAACAGGCCTTGCTTTGAAACCTTTTTCTCTTTGGATCACTCCTGGATGAATGAGGGATTACAGCTAGTAGTAGTAGTAGTAGTAGTAGTGTATAGTGCTAATATTCTTGCTACTACTATAATAGTACTAAACACAAAAAATTCAGACTAGACGCTTGAAAGAAACCCACAACTATGAAGTAAGAAAACTTTCAGAAATATTTGTGTTCATAGGATAGAAATCTGTGCATATTTGACTGAAGTTGACCCTAAAATAAATATTCATAAACTCTCAAATGAGTCCAGTCGTAATAAAATAAATAAATAAAATGTGTTGTGTGTATTTTATCCAAAAAGTTACGACACTAAGAATTGCAATCACAAAATGAAAATTTACGATTACGTTTTGTTCAGTACGAATACGATTTCACAGATGCGACTCTACTGTCCTGTTCAGGTTAAGTCCGGGTTTAGTCCTAGTTCAGTCCTGGTTCAGTCCTGGTTTAGTCCTGGTTCAATCCGTGTGCGGCGCGAAAAGTCCGGCATCTCGATTGATGTTTCTTCTGCTCAATAAATAATGCCTGTGACGTGCTGAAGTATTTTTATATTCGTACTGAAGAAAACGTAATCGTAAATTTTCATTTCGCGATTGTAATTCTTGGTGTTGTAACTTTTCAATTCATATTCTGATGGACACAATACATTTTATGTTCAACTGGACTCACTTGAGAGTTTACGAATATTTATTTCATGCTCAACTACAGCCAAATATGCATAGATTTTTATTCTAGGCACACAAATATTTCTGAAAGCTTTCTTACTCCATACACAACCTTCTCCAATTTTTGTTGTATGTGGCCACAGTATTTGATTTTATTTTATATACTGTGATTTGATTATATTTTAGTAGCTACCAAACAAGGCAAACCAGATTGTAAAAGTTATGAAATTGTTATGAAAAACAGTATTTCCTCCTAAATATGGATTGTCTAGAGATAGGTAGAAGAAACCTCTGTATACTGACAACTATTTAAACACACATGAACAAATCCCTCATGGAAACTCCATTGTTTGTAATCAGCTTCTGCGGCCTTTGTCAAACTGAAGACATTCCTGACTTCATTCCTGTTCATTGATCATAGCTCCACCCTCTCAGTGTCACCTGGCCTCATGCTTCCTTATGCTGCTCTATGGAATTGTACTGTATTGTATTTAATTACTGTTTTATTCACAAACGTTAAACTGTGTGACTGATTATCTTTGTTTTTGCAGAAAGTATTTGGAGACCTTCAGGCAGAAAACTCACAGCGGTTGAAAGAAAGAGAGCAGGAGCTGAAAGAAATGAAGAACATGATGGAGGGAGTCAAGGTTGGTCCAGACATTTATTGAAAAACTACAAATCAAGCACAGTGTAGCCTTCGGAAATGTATCTGTCAGCGTGTTATTTTACCACCTAAAGCTCTAACATTGTGATTATAATTACAACTAGTCCAATTGCAGGGTTATAAAACTGGTTAAGTACTCTAGTCCTGGTTTAGACCTGGTTTAGCCCTGGTCAGACCTAGTTTAGTCCTGGTTTTGTGCATCTTTTTTGGGTGGTTCTTGGTCAACAGTTGTTAGTATCTATCAGAGGTGCTTTAGATCTTCTTTAGACCTGGTTTAGTCCTGGTTTAGCTGGATTAGAAGGGTTAGACCTAGTTTAGTTCTGGTTTTGTGCCTTTCTTGTGGATGGCTCTTGGCCTATATATGTTGTCAGTCTCTATCAGAGGAACTTTAGATCTTCTTTAGACCAGGTTTAGTTCTGGTTTAGTCCTGGTTTAGTCTTGGATTAGACCTGAGTTAGTGTTAGACCTAGTTTAGTTCTGGTTTTGTGCCTCTCTTGTGGGAAGTTCTCGGCCTATATATGTTGTCAGTATTTATCAGAGGAGCTTTAGATCTTCTTTAGACCAGGTTTAGTTCTGGTTTAGTTCTGGTTCAGTTCTGGTTTAGTCCTGGTTTAGTCCTGGCTTAGACATGGGTTAGTGTTAGACCTGGATTAGTCCGGTTTTGTGCCTCTTGTGGCTGGTTCTTGGCCTATATATGTTGTCAGTATCTATCAGGGGACCTTTAGATCTTCTTTAGACCTGGTTTAGTTCTGGTTTAGTTCTCAGTATCATCAGGTTGCAGTGTATAATGTGATAAAAGTCAAATTTTGTTAGAATTAGAAGTTAAATTATGTACACTTTATGAGAACTGTGAATGGACAAATGGACAAATCTTGAACATTTGCAGTTTTTGCTACAACACTTAAATTCTCAAATATATTTAATTCAATTTCTGCTTCTTCTTCCCCAGCGGTCAGTAGACAGAGCGTTCAGTGACACAGAGCAGACCCTCACAGAGCTTCAGAAGTCTGTGGAGAGGCTTCAGGACCTTCTGGAGGACATGATGGACCAGGCCAACAGGGAGAAGATGGGACAGGCCCAGGAGGTGGTGCAGAGTCTGGAGGCTGAAATACAAGAGCTACGAAGACGAGAAACTGAAATGAAAGATCTGTCCCGCACTGAGGATCATATTCACTACCTGCAGGTACTTTTTTGTATCCAGGCTGGTGCCACCTAGTGATGTCGTGATGGATGTAGACGAAGACATACATTCTTTGCTGGCACCGATTCCCGAGATCGACGATTTAAAGACAGAACAAAGAGAATATTTGGTGAATTTTATCAAGGGGAAAGATGTTATTGCCCTTCTTTCTACGGGATTTGGCGCATTACAGACGTCACGACCAAACAGTAGCAATTGGTTAAATAAATAAAGTACTCACCTACTGTCGAGCAAACGAATCCTAATGCTGCAAGTCAGACGGTTTCCACGAAATGAAACTGTCTGATGGATCAGGCTAACTTTTTTGTCCCAAGAAAGTGTGAGTGATTCTATATTAGGATTGTCAAAAGTGTCAAAAATCTACTACTACTACTACTACTACTACTATTAATTCATACTAAAACTAGAATTGTAGTACTGATAATTAAAGGGCCCATATTACATTTCCTGATCTATGTTATAATGTTGTTTCCTCATCACAAACAAACATGGAGTTGTGTTTTTGTTTCATTCACACATGTTTCATTCACAAACTCTGCATATTTATCAAGCGGTCATACATGAAGTGCTCCACTGTCTTTTTAAACTCCATAATAATTTGGATTTGGATCAACCCTGAATTTGCCAATCTCTACTGCACAAAAGTAAAAGGTTGTTAACTTGAAAACTACCGCTTCATGACATCAGAAGGTGGAACAAAACAAACCTGTATTGAGTTTTAAGCCTGTTTCTTAGTATCGGAATTGAAATTTTAATATCTTGACAAGACGATTCTATTTTATGGCCTGAAACAACATTTTGATTACAGTCTGGCAGCTATTAATCACAAGCTTCCACTGACTTGCGGCTGGTACGTTATTTCACTGTTTCGTATGGTTGCGTTTTTCAGACCTATGAGTCCATGTGCAGCCCCCTGGAGACCGGAGACCTCCCCACTGTCCACGTGAACCACGAGGCGTCCTTTGAGCCCATACGAGACACAGTCCTGGACCTGAGGGAGAAAGTGGAGGACCTGTGCAACCAAGAACTGGGCAAGATCAGCAAACAAGGTCTGAGAATGTCTTTATAACTTTATAGTCATATTCACAGATATTTTGGCTTTATCTTGGCCGCACCCCACAAACGCCGCACCCCACAAAACACTGCGCCCTAACCCTACTAACCCTAAACTTAAACCTAACCCTAGTCGTAATACTAACCATAGCCCCAACCCTAACCCTAACTCTTAACCTAACCCTGCAGTTTTTCTAAATTTTTGTGTTTATTAGAAGTAGATGGTGGACTTTCGGTGTGAATTTGAATTTGAATTTGTATGTATTTGTTTGGAGGATAAGCCCCTTGAGATGTCTCGTCATCTCAACAAAAGACAGATATAGTAGGGCAGACAAACAAATTTGAGCAAAAAACTATGACAGAGTTCAAAGATAATCACAAAAGACCACAAGATGAACAACAAAATTCAACAAAATGATCAAAAACAATTACATGCGTTCTGTAAATATTGAACCAGAGCATTTTTAAATGAAGGGACAGAAGTTAATGCTCGAATCGATGAGGGAAGATTGTTCTAATCAGAAGGAGCTTTATATTTAAATGAACGTTTTCCTATTTGTTTTTTGACTCGTGGGACAACAAAAAATATCTGATCTGCATGACGTAAACTGTAAGAGGATCTTATTGGAATGAAATACTGTTTGAGATATTCAGGAGAACTGAGATTAATGCATTTAAAGATAAATAATAACCAGTGAAGTTGACGTCAGGAGGAAAGAGTGAGCCAGGACAGTTGGTGATACGTTGTACAGCGGTGAGTTGTAAAAGGACAATGAGGAACCTTGAGGCACACCTCTCTCTGTTGTGGAAAAATTTGAAAAGCTGCCTTTAAAGAAAACACATTGTTGGCGGTGATGAAGATATGAGAAAGGAGAGCTTATCCAGTAGTAGATAATGGTCTGTCATATCAAAAGCTTTGGTGAGGTCAATAAATAAGGCACCAGTTAACATATTATTGTCAAAACCTGAGAAAATATCATAGGTAAATTTTAGTAAAGCCGAAGTTGTTGAGAAATACTCTCTAAAGCCGGACTGAAATGGAAATAGAAGATTATTTTTAAGTAAATATTCAGGCAGTAGATTAAAAATGAATTTCTTATAGACTTTAACAATGCTGTTGATAATTGAAATTGGTCTATAATTGTTAATGTTGCTGGGGTCACTCCCTTTATGGAGGGTTATAACCTTTACACATTTCCATGCAGATGGAACCTCACATAATCTAAAAGACAAGTTGAACAGATCAGCCAAAGGGTAGCGAAGAACATGGGAAGCAAATTTAATAAACTTGGCTTCAATGCCATCTGGACCAGCGCTGCTATGCAAAGAGAGAGTTTGTAAAGGGGTGTGGTCACAGTGAACGCAATAGGCCCTATGCCCTGTCGTGTCTCGGGCCTAATAACACATTACGGTTTTGAAGTAACTTGCCCAACAGTGCTAATAATAATAATAATAATGATAAAGGGTTACTCAAACATGTATGAATGAAACAAAACACATGATGTTTTTGAGGAGGTAAAAACATTATAGCATGACTTAAAGCTCACAAGAGTCAATTCTACGTAATATAAACCTTTAAAACATATACAATCATAAGCAACAAATATAAGAATGAACTTTATGCAACCAAAATAAACATGCATTCATTCTACACTTTTAATATTTATGTTTGTTTGCAGTGGTCCAAAGTTATTCCTCATTTATCGTATGCATTCAGAGCATCCTAATTATTCACTATGATGGGTTTATCAGTGCTTTTCACAATTCTCAGAGACCAGAGCGAAGTTTTGCAACGCTAACAACAACTAGCATGCTAACTGCGCTCTACCTTCCTGATTCTCGAACATTAATATGCTTTATAATTAAATGCAGACAGTACACAGGGGTCTTATTTTGAACACAAGAGCTGCTTATGCAATATATCTGTACTGAGGTAAGACACATTTTGCTCATGCATTCATTATTTTACATGTATTTATTTCACTAATAATTAGTGAATTCTGTTTATATTTATTTTGACATTTTTGTCCTTTTTGGAGTTAGTCTGGGTTTAGAACTACTATATCAAGTGTGTAGTCCAATTATAGACAAGGTTTAGCCCTAATTTTACATAGAACAGAATGTGACATACTGGAATTCATATGTAACTATGGCAACCCACTCATGCCTATATATATATACAGCACCTGGCAACACCTGGCGTCACCTGGCAACACGTTCCATCCACATTCTATTTCTACTTTATGACATCATAAAGCTTCAGCTTCACAAAGCTTGTTGATTTATATAAGTTTAGCACAAGTTCCAGTGTAAAATCACTTCTGTTCAACCTTCGACCGAGACACAGAGACTCACCACAGACAAACATGCGCAAGAACTGGTGCGATTACACTAGCGAGGACGACGAACTCCTGTACAGCCAGGAGTTCAACCTGATGGAGGAGTTGGGATTAACACCTACCAACCCACATCAGGCCTCTGGATCACCAGAACAGGTGGTCCACACCTTTCAAAATCCTCAAGAGTTTCTAACTCTTGAGGAGTTAGAACGGGAGCAGCTTGGACCTCAACACCACCAGAGGTCCAAGGAGGACGAGGAGAAGGGCATGGCTTTAGTCATGTCTCGGCTCCAGGCTGCCTCAGCTGCTCAGGCCAGAGTCGGAGAAGATCTGTTCATCCAAGCAGATGAACTGAACTACCAGCCTCAGTCCCGAGATATTAAGGGACTGGAGAAACAGGTCGCTGACCTGACAGCGCTGTTACAGCAACACCAAGACGATTCCTGCAGAAAATCAGCAGAGTGGAAAACAGAAAAGCAGAGACTCCAGCAGGACTCTGCTGATCTGAATTCCAAACTCCAGGAAAAGTCTTTGGAAAATACTGCTCTGAGAGAACGCAACTCTCACCTGGAGCGTACTCTGGCTCAACTTGAAACAGACAGGTCATCTCTGGAGCTCAGACACCAAAAGGAGGCTGAGCTGAAGGCCCAGAAGCTGCAGGAACTAGAGAAGATGCAGACACTGGTCCAAAACATTGTGCAGACCCGTGAGAAGCTGCAGGACTGCCTGAGGAGATCTCAGGAAGAGCACTCCATCCTTGAAAAAAGGTACGGGGCTCTGAAGAAGGATCTGATGCAGAAGGTGGAACAGGAGAAAAACAACAGTGCTGAGCTCCAGAAAGAAAATGCCACCATTCTGAAGTCCTGCCAAGAGCTAAGCTTAGAGCGCTCCCTGCTGGAGAAGAAGTGCAGTGGACTAGAGGAGCTACTCAAGACCTCAGAGAAAGAGTGCTCCCTGCTAGTGACAAAGACCACTGCACTCCAACAGCAGGTCGAGCAGGACAAACTGAACAAAGACGAGCTGCTAAATGAAAAGGCCGCCCTGTTGAGGACCTGCGATGAGCTAAAATTACAGCTCTCGGTGCAGGTCGAGACATGTGATGCGGTGCAGGTAAAACTGAGGAGGTGTGAGGAAAACAACCTCCTGCTCCTTGAAAATAACTGTGCTCTAGAGCAGGAAGTGAAAGAGGAAAAACATGGCAGAGCACAGTTAGAAAATGAGAAGGCCGCCATGTTGAGGACCAGTAAAGACCTCCAGGCAGAGCGCTCCCTGCTGGTGGACAGGTGCGGCGCACTGGACCACGCCCTGACTACAACTCAGGAAGAGCTCTCCCTGCTGACTGTAAAGAACAGGGCTCTACACCAGCAGGTAGAGCAGGAACATCAGAAGAAGACTGCTTTAGAGGAAGAGAAAACAGCTCTCGTAAACACCCGTGAGAAGCTGAACACAGAGCTCTCCCTACTGCTCCAAAGATTCAGCGCCTTGGAGGAAAAGCAGAGGAGCACAGAAAGACAGTGCTCCCTGCTGGAGGAGGTGAGCACGGCGCTGGAGCAGGAGCTGGAGATGGAACGGAAGAAGAAAAAGAGGAGGTGGTACAGGAGGCTCCTGGGCATGTAGAGCCTCTCTCACCCCCCTCACTGTTCTGCACTTGAACAATAAAACATAGCAAAATAAAACTTCATGTTGTGTTAGTCTTTCTTAACTGTGGTAATAGTAATAGTAATAATATTAATAAACAGACAGGTATTGTTTGCAGGATATATTTTCAAACACACACCTTTTTCCACATTTTTATATTAGCCTTTTTCAAAAATAGAAAACAGTTATTTTAACCTCAGCGTGCAGTATGTTTGTAATCTAAAATATAAATACATATACTGATCTATTTTTCCAGAATATGAAATGATAAAAACATGGATATAGGGCTGCCTCCTTGAGTGGATTAATCTGTCAGTGGCGTCCTTTGTCGGTCAAACTTTTACTAGACATTAGAAAGGAGAAGGTATATTGTGTAAGTCAGCTGAAGATTTGGGAGTGAATCATGAGTTTGATCTGACATTTTACTTTATAAATACAGAGTTTCCTGGTATTTCTCTGTATTTATAATAGGTTTTGCCATTTTCACCCATTGTGTTATGAGTCTAGCAGTTATAGCTATTTGGAGCCAGGTTTAACAAAACAGCAAAATACAAACACCAGGGTCACGTCAAGCGGGTTAATATGAACATTTTAAGAGAGAGAAAGAGAGAGCGAGAGCGATAAAGGGGGGGATTGAGAGAATATTTAGTAGAGAAGAGAGAGGAGGGGGTAGAGGACGAAGAGACAGAGAAGGTGGGATAGAGAGAAGGGAGAGCACACACAGAGAGAGGGGCGGGAAAGAGGCAGAGAAGAAGAGAGAGAAGAGACGGAGGGTGCTGTAGAGAGAGAGAGAAATAGACAGCATGGAGAAAGAGACAGAGGGAGAGAAAATAAGAATTAAAGCTGCAAGCAGCGTCGAACAGCCCTCGCCCGTCGCACACACAACATGCCCTGCACACTCGCCCTGCCCCACACTAACCCTAATAACTGTAAACCCCAAGCGTGAGTCGAACCCTTAGCCTCAACCCTAAAGCTACGTCTAACCCTAAACATCACCCTAAGATGAAACCTTAAACCTGGTTGTAACCTTAATCCTCTCCAGGCAGGCGCTGCAGATTTGCAACAGCTAAATGCCAATTACGTACTTACTCCAAATCCATATTTTATGAGCTTTTTTTACTCAGGAGTCTTTTTTCACATCACTTTTGTTTACAAAGGATAAAAATTGTTTCTTGGAGCACCACACGAAAAAGTGATGTTGTTCTGCCACTGTAAAGCTGTTACACTGTGTTTTATGTTTTCAGTGTTATGAAAAGTGGTATACAAATAAAGTTAGCGTTCATATCATTTACAGTCTTCAGTGTTAATTTACCACACCGGACCAATGTTGCAAATATGCAATATCCCAGAACACATTGGATGTGAAGGTCTCTCTCAAAAAAAAGTCAGGATTGTATATTACTCCCCCATATGATCATTTTCCCCAAATATCAGATTTTTTCCTGTTACTAAAATTAAATTTGAGCCTGAGAGGGTTAACCATAACCTCACTTCCGTCAGTCTGTCCCAATAGTTTCTTACAACCTCCAAGTATAAAGTGAATAAATAATGCACAAAATTGTATTGCTTTGGATGCTTTACTCTTCAAGGCAATTTACCTGTGTCTTTGTTTTACAGTCAATGACACAACCCTGTTCACACTCGGAAGTAAGTTTCACAAACATTTCCACTGATAATATAAACTGTGCTGCTTCTTCCTCATTTAATAAACATTTCTTCTCCTTCAGCGAATCGCGGCGGCACAAAAGGAGCCATTTTGAAACGTGAGTTAGTTTTGACATGGTTAATCATTTCTAAAATTACTGGCGCTTTGCCGAGTTTTCACATGATCTTAAATGTATTTGTTTGTGTTTACATGGTAACTGCTGGACATTTTGCCATAGATATCCATGCAGAACATGCCCCAGCATAACATCACTGCAAATTATCGACTGGCATTGTCTTTCACGCTTAACACTTGGATTATTTTTTGTAATTTTCTAGTATTTTCGGGTCTGGGGAATCGCTCAAATAATCGCTCCCCTGGTACGTACACAGGTTCATATATTTAGTTTTATATTTTAGTCTTTTTGCAATTAGTTCTTTATAAAATCAGTGTATTTTATTTACAGGATCCACCCCCAGTCTGACATCTGGAGCGAGAAGTGGAGAAAGACGAGGAATAGGTATTTTACTTTAAAGATGCACTGCGTAACTATTTCTTTTCATGTGTAAAGCAAATAAAGGAATCATCATTTATTTATTGTAATTTTGGTGTTATATACAAGTAAATTAAGGAGTAAAGTTTAGTTCATAAGGATTTTATTTTCTTTTTCTTATTTTTTTTAAACAAATAACATTCATTCTCTCTCATACAGAATCTATACGCTATTCAGTATTCTCAATTAACGCTCTATAAATTCACATTTTTAGGTTTGGGGAGCAAATTTCCAGATGTGAGAAACAGAGACACACCACGTGGTAAGACTATATTCTATTAAAACTATATCTTATCCCTAAATATACATGTTAATAGAGTAATAATTTACTTTAAATCTCTAAATGTAACTTGTTTTTGTTTTCAGGGAACAGTTCACCCCGACTGAGAGACAGACTGAGAGGACACGAGCGAGAATCAGGTATGTTTCCTCGTTCCTGGTCATTTTTTAAACTAAAAAAGGTGCATTGTGTAACTTTTCTGGTGGAGCGTCTGTCAAATGCATTAAAACTTTCTGTCTTCATGGAGACAAAACCAGACCAAGTTAGAGGTCAGATCTGTGGAGAGGCGACCCACTCACAGTCAGAATTCCTGTTTTTCTAGGTGTTTTTGAGCTATAAAACCACCTATAATTGAATAAATGTAAGGTAGAGCTGTTTAATGTCACACTGTGGAACATTCCAGGCAGAGCAATGACATAATCATAGACCTATTTGCTTTCCAAGTACTTTAAATTATCTAAAAATGATCTAAGTCATGACTTAACAGGCCTAAACCAGGTCACAGTTTGCAAAACATCTCTACTACTCCACAGAAGTCTGGGTGGGCATCTAACACACTGTTATTTATCCTAATAAGTAGGCCTGTGACAATAACAAATTATGAAGCGCCTTATATTATTGAAGAAGAAAATTTAGATGATAAACGACAATATTAAAACAAATTAATTATACCAAAAAGTCTTTCAAAATGTACAATATATTTATGCTATTTATTTTTTTGTTTTGTTTGGTTTTATTTTGATGAAACGCTTTAGTTTGTGTTCATAATGAGCCAAAAAAGTCACTTATTCAATCCTCTTCAGCTCAAATCTCACCATGATACAGAAAAATGACAAAAATTTCCTCACTAGTATTCTGGAAAAGGAAATATTGACCTTCAAAAATGATTGTTCCATGTGTCTTTTATTTTGTTACTACTGAGTGTTTATCTTTTTTACAGTGCGTGAGACCAACTCCACACTGAGTCCAAGTACGAGGTCCAGTCCAACCCCGAGCCGGAGAGAGTCCAGAGAGTCCCGGTCTCTGTGGAGCAGGTCCAGTTCCCAGAGCCTGACAGTGCCCTCCGCTGGGCCAACGCACAACTCCACCCCACAATCACAGCCTGCGCAAACTGGCCCACAAGCTGCTACTCCTGCCCCTAGTGGAGGTAAGAGGAAATCCATCAAATTAAAAGATAGCAGAGATAGAGTAAGATACAGTCTTTTATACTACGGTCAGTGAGAAATCCGATCTCTGACATGATCTTGTAATTTAGGTTTCAAACTGTAAGGTAAAAGTTTGGAAAAATAGAAAACACAGCTCTTGTGGTGAATGCATGTGCCATTTCACCTGCTCAGATCAGTGACAACATCATTTAAACTGGTTGTTTTGTTTATAATTTTAGGTTTCAGTCGTATGGCGTCGATTACCAGCATCTTCCGATCTCGCCGTGGGACCAACCAGGCAACTCCAGCCTCAGACAACTCATGTAAGAATGATTAGAAATTAGGGAAGTAACAATAACTGTAATATCGTGATAATGTATCGTCAAAAGTCTCACAGTAATACGCTTAAATTCATAGTTATGGTGATTTTAACGTCTTATTTTTTAATTCTGTGAAGCACTTTGAATTGCAGCAATAGCAGAAAAACAGACAGAACTACATAGACCATGATCCTTTGCTGTTGTCAGTGTAGACTACCTGAAGAAATAACTGTTATTAAGCACTTTTAAATCTCAATTCTTCATATTATAACAGTACAAAAAACTTTTCCAAGACTTTTCTAAGGCTTCTAAGGAAATGCATATTGTACGGATTTTGATATCGTTATTTCCCTACTAAAAATATCTGTTTAGTTAAAAAAAAAAAAGGTCTACATTTGACAAATAATATATGTTAATTTTTGTATTCATGTTTTTTTCCAGTTGGAGGTGGAATGACGACTGTGCCTGAATCACCAATAGAAGGTAAGATCTATATTTATTTTTCTATTAAAGGTTCACTGTGTAACATTTCTAGTGGAGGGTCCAACATGGAAAAGTTACTGATTTGTCTAGAATGTTCCACAGTATAGATTAAACATATTTATCACAAGGGATCCAAGCAGGTTACAAGGAATTAATGTATTTTTGAGCAATAAAAGCACTCATAATGAATAGACTTAGACTTAGACAAACTTTATTGATCCACAAGGGAAATTATTTGGACATAATCACTCACAAATCACAATAACAAACAGCCAAGAAGAAAGAAGAAGACAAAAATTGGATGAATCAAGAAATAAAAATAGAATAAAATCTTAAAGTGCAAACAAGAATAACTCAAAAAGGTTGTGTTTTTCAGAAAAATCTCTCTCTCTCTGGAGCTCAGGGTGTGAATGAATAAATGCTAGATGGAAATGTTTAATGTCATGAAAGCAATAACATCGCCATGGAGACGAGCTACGAGTTGCACAATGCACCTTTAAATATAGTTTACGTTTAGCAGGGCCTTTTCCTATTTCCTTTTTCTATTCACAGTGAACCCAGGCCTCTTCTTGGACGATTCTCCTGTTCCAGAAACAATGAACTACGGTGCAGTCTTTCCTGGTTGTAAGTACATACATTTTGCAATAATACATACATTTGTAAATATGTTAAATAGTACTATATGTTTAGGTGTTTAGGTGATAAAAATGTACTGTATTTATCTTTATTTTTGTTAACTCTATTTGTTATATTGTTTGGCTGCATGTTTTTATGTATTGAAGTCATTTTAATCTGATATTTTCCAGTGAGAGAAATCAGTATTGACAGTATCCAGGCCCCGGAGCCACGATCCAGAGAGGAGTTTCTACAATGTAAGTTCTCTGATTGCTGCCATCTACAGGACAGTCATGATTTAGTCCAGTTTTTGACCTGGTTTAGGACCTGTTTTAGTCCAGATGTAGGTCCTGGTTATAGGCACACTTGAAAAGCCAAATATATGAGGTGATACTTTCAGAACAAATGACTTAAATTGTGCATAGCTGGTGGTGTTGCTGTTTTAAAAAGTTACTATAATCACAACTGAACTTGCGTTGCCAGTGTCTTAACCTGCAGATTGAAGAGGTTTTCTCATTCTTAAACATGCGCGAATGAAACAAAACACAACTCCAGGTCTGTTTTTGATGCGTTAACAGCTTTATAACATGACTTAACGCTCACAAGAGTCAATGTTGTGTAATACAGGACCTTTAAAGGGACAGTTTGGAATTTTGGACATAGGACCTTATTTCCTATTGAGCCAGAGTGTTGGAGACGTGTGGAGACACTTTTTAAAATATTTCATCCAGTTCTTATATTTGCAGAGGTCGCTGGTGCTAGACTATCGCATACGAGAAAATGTTGTTTTTGTTTACATTCAGCTTTTCTGCACGTGCACAGTGGCTGGTAGACAAAAAGTCAGTGGGGCCCATAGACCGTATACAGTCTATGGTGGGGCCGCTTGTTGCATTGGGTATGTCTGTCATGAGATAACTTGTCTTATTTTGAAGTAGATTTAGCATTTAATTGTTTTGACATCTTACCCTAAGTCACTGAATTTTGAGGATCAAAAACGTTACTTTGAAAGGTTAAAACTCGCTGATAAATGTTGACGATGTTGATGTTGATTAGCTGATAGGGACGCTTTTTGCCTACCAAAATGGCAAAATGGCTACCAAAATGTTTTTATAGTTATCCTTCCACTAAAAACAGTCTTACCCACTCCACAAAACACCCGAAGTAAAGCAATTATAACGCCAGATTGTCAATGTAAATGTCTGTGTCGATAGAATAATTTTAGAAGTTAAACCAACCTTGCATTTGAAGGATTTATGTCTGAGCAGCAGCAGTGAGTTGTACTTCCTGATAGAAAGCTCGGCAGCGGCGGACTGATATATGAGAAAATAGTCCCTCAACATGCGACGATTCATGTGATGCAAGGTTAGTTTTATTTCAAACATTATTCTATCAACACAGACATTTACATCAATAGTCTGGAGTAATAATAGTTTTGCTTCGGGTGTTTTGTGGAGTGAGTAAGACTGCTTTTAGTGTCAGGATAACTATGGCCATTGACATGCACTAGCCTAGCACCAGTGACCTTTGCAAATACAAGGACTGGATGGAATATTTTAAAAAGTGTCTCCACACGTCTCCAACACTCTGGCTCACCAGGAAATTTAACTATGTTTTAGTGAAATCAGAACTTTAAATTTTTTCTGCTTTGTCTTTTCAGATGCTGTATCTTTAACTCTTGACCCAAACACAGCCCATAAACGATTGGTCCTCTCCGAAAACAACACCAAAGCCAGTCTCCAGGCCTCGGCCCAACCTTACCCCGATACCCCCCAACGATTCGACGGATGGACCCAGGTTCTGTGCCAGTCCGCCCTCTTCTCCTCCCGCAGCTATTGGGAGGTAGAATGGAGAGGCAGGGGGTCCTCTGTAGGGGTAGTCTACGGCTCGATATCGCGCAAAGGAGCCGACGCCAGATCCGGACTTGGTTACAACGCCCAATCTTGGACTCTGGAGCTGTCGGACACCTGCTGCTCCGCCATGCACGACAACCAAAAGAAAGATATCCCGGTTACGTATTCGCCCAGAGTTGGCATATTTGTGGATACTTCCGGGGGTTTGTTGTCGTTTTACAGCGTGGCGGATAATATGACGCTTTTGCACTCGTTTAGGGCGAATTTTACCCAGCCGCTGTACCCCGCGTTTGGGGTCGGGAGCGGAGTCGGCGTGGGGTTAGATTTCGCTCTGGGGCAGTTTAGTTCGAGCACAGATAGCATTAAAATCTGTGCAACGTGAAAAAAAACCCCAACATAACAGCAACTAGTTTTGGCAGTCTTATAGTTAAAGGTGCACTGTGTAACTTTTCTCTGTCTCTTATTTGCTTCCATAGAGTTGTTATTGTCTAGAAAGTTCCGCAATATGGCATTAAACTGATCTTGAATTAACTCAGTTGTTGCTAAAAAAATACAGCCACAAAAATACAAAACATTTTTAAAATAGTTAAGCATTAAACTTTCAGTTTTCATGGACCCAAGCAAGTGACTGTAAAAGCTACACCATGTATCTTTAATTTAAGTGATAATTAGCATAACAATTTAATACTTAACATTAATGACACAAGTTAAATCATGTTAAGAAGTAAAAGGCTCTTCAAGATTGAAACTAAGACTGAATTACTGGACTGGACTGGTTTCAAATGATTGTTTAAATTAGTTTTAAACCAATGATTTTTGCATGTTTATGTTTATGTTTATGGCAAATAAATCTGATGTTCTTTTTGTTAATTGGTGTAACACATGGGGTCAATAAATGTATAAACAATCAATTATTTATTGCACGAAGTGTATTCTTGTCTGTTTTTTTATTGTATTGTAAATAGGACTTGATCACAGAGAGCAAAAACCTGGTTATGTCAAAAGAGGGCAGGGGGGATATTAGTTTAGACCAGGCATGTCCAAACTATGGCCCTTGGGCCAAATGTGGCCCTCAGACAAATTTTTCTTGGCCCTCAGGCTTCCAGAAGAATTGGTCCAAATGACATTGCATCAATGAAAAAGTAACTTTTTATTGCAAGTTTGTTTTTTGAAAATCTACCTTGATAAAGCTAATATTTAATATTTAGTGTGTGGTTTTGAGGATCTTAGCATGAATAAAGACTACTATTGCAGCCACAGCTGACCTGGGGCAGACTGACTTTCATACTAGGCAATGTGGGTGAAGTGTCTTGCCTAAGGACATGACAGTTTTGTGACTGGCACCTGTTTTTCTCAGTAAATGGACAGACCTCACGTGAATGCTCAGAACCTCCAGAATTCACTCTCTGAGCTGCAGAGGCTGCACTTGCACTGATTCATGATTGGCTATAGGCACTGGGGTTTAGGTAAATACCGTTTAGATCAGAGAGAAGCAGTAGTGTTTAGATTTAAACACACTGGTTTTCAGCTTTGAAAGTGGCAACACAAATGAGAGATTTATGTGAAGTTCATTTTGCTTTCAAACTGGATATTCGTCTTGAACCAAAACACCAAATTATAATAACTTGGCTGACATGTTCAGTGTTGTTGTAATTAAAATTAAATCAGCATTATAATTCTTATCAGTAAATAGACCATTCTCATATATTTTGGAAATGTTCTAATATTACCGTATTTTGGGAAACGATGATGTGATGTGTCCCTTTGTCACCTGAACTGGTCTATCTGTGCAGTTTCTCAGAAGACATTACTCACCAAAGCCATATAATCTGTTCAAAGTGATGTCATTAGCTGCCAAAAAATCAATAACTAGGATTTGGGACACAACTACCGTGGTGCACTTAAAGGATTAGTGGACATCTGCAATAAAAAAAAACAAACATCTATCTAATGGAAAAAATAACTCAGACTGAGATCGCAAGAAGCACAAATGAAGAAGAAATGGGAAAAACGGACATTATATTTGCAAAAGTAGACTATCCTGGTGTCATCTAGGCTCCTGTTTTTGTTTTCTGACTTACTTTTTCTTGTTATACTTAACCAATAAAAACAAAGTGACCAACAAAAAAGTTCTAATTTGACTTGAGCATGCTAAAAAATGTTTGCAAACATAAATAAAATATAAAAAACATAGTACACATGAGGATATTAATGAGGATATCTAAATGTTACACAGTGTAAATTAAACTTTTTTTTTTAAGTACAGCAGGTAACTCAGGTTAAATAAAGATATAATAAACATGGTTTTTTTTTTTTTCAAAGCTTTATTTAAAAAAGAGGCAACTGATTAAAAGCCATTGACAATTTACAGAGGATTTTGAAAAAGACAAAATGTTGAGCAGTTTTTATTCCTATTGAGGTTCAACACTAGCACTAAACAGTAAATCTACAGTCCCTACATGAGCTCTCGAGTCCTTCTGTAAAACCAAGGCTGTAATCAACGCTGAATACATGATTAAAGGTGCACTGCGGAACTTTTCTGGTGTAGAGTCCGCTTATTACTTGTCAAACAGGCGGCGGAAATGCAGTGCACCTTTAAATGAAAAACAAAATGCATAATATTAATAAACAACAACATTAATGCGCTTGCTTGTATAAAATAAAATAAAATAAAACTTCACGACCAAATGTTAGCCAAAACAAGTTAAATAATGTTAGAATTTATTGCAGTTAAAATTTCAAAACAGTGACGACACGAAAACGATACAAAAATTAATATTAAAAGTGCAATAAAATATAAGTTACTCACGTTAGCTGGGATTAAGCAGTGGTTATACGGAATAGTTATGTTGCAATACTTCTTTACACAATAAAGATACACTGCGTAACTTTTCTGGTAGTTTCCAAGGAAATGTTATTGTTTTGCCCGGAATGTTCCACAGTATGGCATTAAGGGATCTACAAATTTTTGCCTCTTTACTCTAGAATTACTCATTTACATTGAGTTAGTCTAATTAACTTTATTACTTATCTTGACTTTATTCAGATTGTTTAATTAAGTCATTATTTTTGCTTTCACTTTAATTCGCCTCAGCTCTAAACTTGTCTGTCTCCATGGAAACAAGCAGATAGTGCCACCATCAGGCCAAGTTACTCATCAGATCTGTGGAGAGGCGACCCAGCTCATGTTTTCCAACTGTTTTTGAGCTGTAGAAACACCTGTAGTTAATCCGTGTATCATTCGTTCATTAATTTTTCAATATAAAACCAAAAATAGGAAAATGAAAAAACAACTACTTTGTTCATTATTTGTCTCCAAAACCAAAATGAAAAAGCAAATAATGATTTGGGTTTTTTTTTTTTTTCAGTTTTCAATTTTGTGTTAAAATGAATAATGGAAAAAACAGATAACAGATGTTTCCCATTTACGTGACTTAAACTGCGATGCCGGACTGAACCAGGACTGAATCAGGACTAAACCAGGTCCGGGACCAGACTAGAACCAGACCGGGACTGCGACCAGGATTTAGACCAGGACCAGGCCGGGACTGAGACCGGGACTGAGACCGGGACTGAGGCCGGGACTGAGGCCGGGACTGAGGCCGGGACTGAGGCCGGGACTGAGGCCGGGACTGAGGCCGGGGCCAGACCAGGACCAGACCGTGATTGAGACCGGGACTGAGACCATTACGAGACTGGTACGAGACCGGGATCAGACCAGGACTGAGACTGGGACCAGACCGGGACCAGACCAGGAATGAGACCGGGACCATACCGTGATTGATACCGGGACTGAGACCAGGACTGAGACTGGGACCAGACCAGGGCCAGACCGGGACTGAAAACGGTTAGTCCTGGTTTAGTCCTGGTTTAGTCCTGGTTCAGTCCGGCATCGCAGTTTAAGTCCGGAAGTTGTTTTTTAGTTTTCTTATTTTTGGTTTTACATTGAAAAACGAATGAATGACACATGGATTGTTGTTGAATAAATGCAGTCTAGGTTGGTTTAAAGCAACACAGTGGAACATTCCAGGTAAAGAAGCAACATTTCTATGCAGAAAAGTTACGCAGTGCACCTTTAATATGATGGATTTGATCATGGCCGGATAATTGCAAGTATCAGACAACAGTTAATAGTAAAAATGTACAAACTAATATCAGTCTACCTGTAATATTCACTAAATCTGAGTTTGTTTTCTTTTGCTATACCTTTTTTATTCCCAATTTCTATAAGCTTTGACACAATATTTGCTCTATCTAACCAAATACGGCATAGAAAGCAAAATTCAAAGCTAAACCTGAATTCAAAACTTAAGTGGTTTCCCCTCAAAATATACTGATTCAAATGCCTGAGATCATATGGCTGAAAATCTGCATTAGAAATTATGAAACTTCAAATAAATATGTACAAAAATGGCTTGCATGGACTCAAATTAACATCTAGCTTATACATAAGGCCCCATACAACCACACACCACACACAAAACCTGAATAATCTTCAGTTGAATTTGGTAACAGGATTCGCTTGGCAAAACAGGTGCATGCTGGGAATTGTAGTTTGAGATCATGCAAACACGGCCCTGGCAATGGACGGAAATAGGAACACACCTACTACATTTGTGCAACAGTCAAGTCAGAGGTCCTATATTACATCAAAATTATTCTTTTTGCGAACTTTAAGCCGTCTTGTGATGTTATCTCGTCAAAAACAGACCTGGAGTTGTGTTTTGTTTGAGTAATCGTGCATTATTCATCAGACAAAACACAACTCCAGGTCTGTTCGTGACGAGGAAACAACATTATAACACAGACCAGAAAATTAGGACCCGTTAAATTATCAATACTGGCAGGGCTGTCTCAACTTCGTATACTGTTGTTACATCAAAATGGCAGAGTTTTAAGACAGTTTTAAGAGAGTTTTAGTGGCGTTTTAGTGGGGTATAAGGCTAGTTCAGGCCTAGAACTAAAGCTTTTCGAACCTATTATGAAACCGACCAGTCTAAATAATTCATATGCATTGTTCTACTTGCTTTTTCTTTCAAAATCACCCATATCTCTCACACTCTTTCGCTCTCTTCTGTCTCTCTTCTGTCTCGCTCCTCCTCCTCTCTTTCTGTCCTCCTCCTCTCTTCCCCCTCTCTCTCCCTCCTGTCGCTCTATCTCCTCTCTCTCTTTCTCGCTCCTCCTCCTCTCTCCCTCTCTCTTCTCCCCGTCTCCTCCGCTCGCTCTTTCTGTCCTTCTCTCTTCTCCCTCTCTCACCCTCCTATCGCTCTCTCTCTCTCTCTCTCCTCGTCTCTCTTCTTTCTCTCTCTGGCCTCCTCTCTTGCTCCTCCTCCTCTCTCTCTCGCCTTCTTCTCTCCTCCTCCTGTCTCTCTTTCTGTCCTTCTCTTTCTCACTCCCCTCTCTCTTCTTTCTCTCATCTGTGTCGCTCCTCTGCTCTCTCTCCTCCCTGTCTCCTCCTTTCACTCCTCCTCTTGCTCTTCTGTCTCTCTCCTCCACTCTCTCTCTCCTCCCTGTCTCCTTCTCTCTCTCTCCCTCTTTCTGTCCTCCTCTCTCTCTCTCCGTCCCCTCTTTCGTCTCCTCTCTCTCTCCTTTATTAAACTTCCTCAAACCATCACATCCTTTCATTTCGTCTCTCTTCTTCTTTTTTAACTAGACAAACCAAGTGTAATTTTTAACTTTATCTAAGTAAAAACACGCGAGCTTCTAACGTGGAAGCTAAGGCCATAAAACTAGCAAATATCTACATAAAGACAAAGCGGCTTCACCACTAAAAACATGTAATAAAATTGTGCTTTAAATTTAGGTTAAAAACAGGGGAATCCATTTGAAAAACATGATTCTTTTTAGGGCTGCACAATATATCACAAAATTATCAGATAATGTTAAAAACTGATCAGTTTTACTGTTGTTTTTTGTATATAAATTTCATATATTTTTCACAATTTTTCAGCACAAATTTAGACTTGTTTTTGGTTTAGTCTTTGCTTCAGACACTCAATTCTCCACAATTCTGACCTGTATTTTGGCTTATTTTTGTTTCTGCTTATCTTCGTGGGCATAAATGAAGCCATAAAAAGTGTAGTTATGTTAAATTGAACCTTATTTTTTCAGTTTTTATATATATTGTGCAGCCCTTTTGTTTGTTTTCTTATGTGGTTGGATGTTACGGGGAATAAAACTTTAGGATTTGGTAGTGGGAGGAGCGCTGCCCAACCCAGGGTGGCGCCTTCGTTCCTTCAAGTTGCCCCAGGGCGGGGGAGGAATGGCGAGGGAGGTGGGGTGCTGGGGCAGATGACCTGACGAGGACTTCCCTGGTTTGGCTCCGATTAACGCGGGCAGGCTTTGGTTACGCCTCAGCCCATCCAGTAAACTCCCTCCACCCGCGGATACAAAAGTCGAGTCCTGTCTTGCCGATTCGCTCTGTAGGACTTTCTTGAATCCTAGTTTACGTAGCCGCTCAACAATACCCATGTGGTCGAGTTTTGGGGGTGGAATTTGAGGCGGCGGGTCTTGCAACGGGCTCGGTAAATTCGGATGAGGCGCTCGCCCCAAATTCAAACCATAAACATCTTGGAGGATCAACTCTGCCGGTCGAGACGCTAAGAAATTGTCCACGGGGCGATCGGTCGGGGCAGGAGAGGGCGCCGGAGATTGAGAAGGGGAGTTTGGAGGCGTGACGGGGAAAAGGCGAAGAACAGGAGGGCGGGTTTTAGGTTTCGGTGAAAGGGGAGGAGGCGGGAGAAGAGGAGGAGGGGGATTTTCAGTGGAGACTTGAGCGGAAATGCCGCGTTCCAAGACGAGTTTTGCCAAGCTGCCCGTAGGGGGCGCAACAGGGCGGCGAGGGGGGAAGGAGTCGCCCAAGCTGAGTCTGCAGGGGGTCACTGGGGTGCTAGGGCCGGTCCGCATCGAGCTGGGGGTGTTGGCAAGAGAAGACTGGGAACTGGAAAACAAAATCATAAACACATTTAACTTTATAACTCTTACGATAGTGATTCTCTAAATATAATCTTGGATTAGGGGTGTACAAAAATATTGAAATATCGATATATCGTATTGTTTAATTTGATGATACAGTATCAATATCGTGGGCTGCTGTATCGATATATCACCAAAATTATATTTTTTTGTATATTTTACTAAAGAATTTTGTGAAAGAGCTACAGTTGTGTTGCTTGTTTGGAGAAAGTTCACTTGTTTACATGTTACACTTTTACAGTTACAGTTTACAGTTTTGAGTGGGTGTTTTTCACATGAACTTAGTGGTTTAATAATGACTTTTTAGTATCACAGCCCTGATTTAGCCTTTGATTTTTACAGAACCGTATCGAATTGTTTTTAAATATATCGAATCATATTGAATCGAAAGTGCACTGTATCGAAAACGGTATTGTATTGTGGCCTATGTATCGAAGTATGTATCATATCGGTAACTTCTTAATGGCACTGCTAAAAAAAACTTTCAAAAAAGGTTGCATTTATTTTAGTTTCAATTAATTTGCAGTTATTTATATATGGGTTGAAATATGGTGACTGGCTGATTGTTTTATTCATTTAAATCTAATAAAAGCTTGATAGTTTGATGTAATAATGTCTTTGTCTTTCTTACTGATATGTCTGAATGTCTGTTAGACTTTAATCTAAGCTTTTTTTTTGTGTCACCATGGTAAAGGCTGAACAATCCATCAAAGAGATACATGTAGAACACCCCCAGCATGATGTCCCTGCAAAGTATCAATAAAGAGGTATTTCCGTATGTGTGTTGGAGTCTGTATAGCCCATATAATGATTATTAAAGTATGACAACGATCATTTTTGTAATCGATTAGTCCATTTAACGTTGCAGACCTACAATATACCCATGTGAATCAACAAAAATTAAGAAATAACAAATCCCACATAAAAAAAAGACTAATCCCAGGCTCCCACACAGTGACTGACCAAGATGAGACACTTGCATGGAAAAAAATCATCCATACTTTGAACGTCCCTCTGTATAAACCACAACCAAGCCTTTCTGTGATGTCTTTAATGGATTATCATACATTGTTATTTATATAATATTTAGGGGTTTTACCTGGAAGTAACTTGTGTGACGTCGGTCGGGTGCAGGATTCGACAGGTGGTGAAGGTGTAGGTGGAGAAAGTGGAGCTGTGACTCTTTCCTGGGTTTTGCACTGAGGAAAAAACATAACATAATGGTTGTAATTGCATCTTATTCAATTTGTAATTTCACATAAAACTTCAATAAACTGGTAATTTTATTTTCACACATTTATTATTTTAAAGCCAGAGCAATTGCAGCTCTAACTTACTTTAATTGTTTCTATGGAGAACATTTCAAAGTATCGTTTTAACTTTCTATAGCCATCAAATCAAGATACATATTATAGCTTTAAAAGTGAAGATAGTTCTATTTAAATCAAAACATTTTAAATTTTTTTAAAAATTCATACTTTTTTGGGGGAGACATATTAATTTATGCCTAATATTTGTATTATAGAAAAATGTTAAATGAGGAGGAATTAAGTACCGTATTTTTCGGACTATAAGTCGCACTTTTTTTCATGGTTTGGGTATTTCCTGTGACTTATACTCTGATGTGATTAAAATTTTCACACTAACAGCCTCAAGAGGGCACTCTAGACTTGTGTGCCAGTATCTGCTAGTCCTATTATTCCTGTTCCACTGTCACTGTCATTTTTTTCTTCTTCATTAAGCATTTTTTGGCTGGTGCGACTTATACTCCGGAGCGACTTGTAGTCCTAAAAATATGGTAATTAGTAATAAGGAATAATTCAATAATATATTTAACAGTAAAAATAAATAATTTACCTGATGAAGTAGTCACTATAATCTTGTCATTTGATTGGCTGGTTCCTGATGATGTCGTTGGAATGCTGTGTGCTGATTGGTTCTCTGCTTGGACACTTGTTGTCGCCGCAACTTTCGACGATGACGGGAGATTCGGCGAAAGAGGCGGTACAGGAAGCGGCGGGACAGACAGCTTCCTCTCCCTCCGTTCATCGGGCGTGGACGTGCATCTGACTTTAAACGTGATCCCTCCCTCTTCCTCATCCTCCTCTTCGTCTTTGCCCAGTTCGGTCGCTCCCTTTTCCAGAACGCCCCGACTCCTCCCCTCGTTATCGTCGTCCTCTTCCATATCAGAGAGATGGTAAACGCCGTCCTGGGTGAGCGGGCGGTAACCCTTGGTAACGACTCCGGGGTGAGGGTCCAAGATGGTCGCCAGGTGAGGTTTGGCGAGCTGCTGCCAATGGTGAAGAGTCAAGGAACCTATAAAACAAATAATACAACAACAGTTTTATAACAAGGAACTTTAACACAGGAGTCATTAATTTAACATGAAATTATTGTTATTTTTGGTTTAAAGATGCTCTACACTTGTAACTTTTCTGGTGGGTGATGGAGGTCAATAAATAAATAAAATGAGATGTTGAGTTTAATGCCATACTAAGCAACATTTTGTACAAACTATTAAAATCTCCAAGGTGATAAGCAATAAAACCTCCAGAAAAATTACCTGATGAACCTTTAATCTTTCAGCTTCATTCAAATATTATATATTTTGAATGAAGAACAGTCCAAAAATCTTGCACAAAACAGGAAAACCAATCAATGAATCACATAAAAATAAACAAAACAATCTCCTGTACCTTCCATGGGTTTGACTATCTGCAGTTTCTCTGGGAGGAAGGTTTTGAACACGGTGGAGCCGATGGAGAGCTCCGAGAGGTTTGAATACGAAGACATGACGCTGCCCATGGGGGAACTGCAGCCGCTCGCCTCGCCGTCGCCCTCTGCTGCCAGCGCTTGGAGCTTCCTCTCGCGCTCGGACTGAAAGAACTGCTTCTCGCACAGGAAGTTGTGTCTCCTCAAAGAAAGTCTGTGCAGAGCCTTGGTCAGGTCATTACTCCCGGGACAACCAGGCAGACCCATCTTCACCTCCTCTCTGAAAAAACATATGACAAGTTCGATAATTAAATCTGGTTTCATAAAGGCCTGTCACCGTTATAGTGCGTTCACACCAGAGCGTCAAAGCATCCAGTTTGTATGTAAAGTCAATGTGTCAATGCGTCTAGGGCGTCCTGTGTTTTTGCTGAGTTTTCAGGCATCAGCGCAGCGTGATTCAAGGCATCAACACCAGAAAGTTGAAAATGCTGAACTTTTCGTCAACCAGTTAGGAACTAGTATCCAGTGATGCAGCGACGTTATTATCAGAAAGACAGAGAAAGACTCGAGAACTGGAGCAGGAGTCACACACATTAGCGGAGCATAAATATATACGCCACAATCACCGAGCGGATCGCGAGGACTACACCAGAACCGGACCATGACCACATGGCTCATTTGCATAAACTATAAGCACCAGAGAAAAAAACAGCTTTCTCCTTGTGCCGGGGAGGGGGAGCGCACACAGAAAAGGCAAACAAGCGAAGCGTCAAAATCAGAATTAAATATAAGCATTATATTGATATATATATAAGATATGTCACAAATTAATTTTGTGTTTAAAAAATATCTCGATATATTTTAAATATCAAGATATCACCCACCCCTAACTAGAGTTATGTTTTGTTTCATTCACACATGTTTGAGTAATCATTTAGTATTAGTCTGTCTACATCTCCAAAGCTCAAAATGCTCCGTTGTGATGTCATGCAGTGGTAGTTTTCAAGTTAACAGCTAGAGTTTAAACACAGTGGAGCACTTCCTGTATTACAACATGACATTACAAGGTGAAACAGAGAGTTTTGAGAGAAGACCTCAGCCTGAATATGAAACAAAACATGACTCTACTTATTAAAAATCTTTAAAACAGCCAAATGTTCCCAACTATTACAAAGAAAATGTAAACACTGACCACAAAAAATGATCTAAGTTGAGGCTGTAATTATCGTGACAAGGCTGGGTTCATACATCTATAATTATATCACGGCTCGTGTAAATTGAAAAAACAGGAAATACCCCAAATGTAAAAGTCACTCTTTCTGTGTGGTACGTACGTGGAGGGGAGGGGCTGTGCGGTCATCACCAGAGAGCTGCCCGACCCGGGGATGGGCGGCACAGCGGAGGGGGGCCTGGACGAAGCTGCTGCGTTTAAGGAGCGAACCGTCTGGAAAACTCGCTTCTGGGAAATTCTACAATAAAACACACGAAATGTTCTATGAGACATATTTACAGATCTATATAAAAACTTAAAGGTTTTACTCTTTTTTATTTTAATTTATTGTGATGTGATGTTGTTGCTTTGCTTGGAATGTTCCATATTGCCCTGGAAACAAGTGCCCGGTCCTGGTCTTTTCCCGAAACGACATAAAACCTTCAGCGGCGTAGATCAGCGTATATTTATGTATTCTCTGCTAATGATACTGGATCAGTCCTGGTCTAGTCCTAAACTAGTCCTCGTCTAGTCCTGGTCCAGTCCTGATCGAGTCCTAATCTAGTCCTGATCTAGTTCTGATCTAGTCCTGGTGATCGGCTCTGTGATTGGAACGTATATATTTATACGCCGCTAATGTTTGTGGCTTTGTGGCAAAAAGTTCAGCATTTTCAACTTCTGACGCCAACTCTCTAGACGCGCCTAGAGTGTCGACGCCTAAATGCTCAAGATGCCAGATTTGCGTTGCGCTGGCGCCCAAACACAAAGTGGAAGCTGGACACAAAATGGACGAATTGACTCCCCTGTCTGAACGGGCCTTCAAACTTCTGAACATAAACTCAGGCTAAGCAACATCATCTCCATGGAGACAAGCAAGTGGTGCACTCTCCATCAGAAAAGTTGCATAGTGTACCTTTAAACAGTTCAACAAAAAAAGTACCCATTTGTCTGTTTTTATAGCCGTTCATTTCATTATGTATTTTCTCACCTTTGGTCCTCGTAAGCCGTTTCTTCATCTATGCTCAGCTCTCTCCTCATGGTGCCTTCGATTTCAGCTGCCAAAGAGTCCTATTCAACACAAAAAAAGAATTTAAATTACACAAACACAAACCAAAACCCCAAACCTGAGCCGTGTAAAGTTCTTTATCTCTCACCATGGGGTAAAGACCGTAGTGTCTCCTCATCCCAGAGAACGGACTGTTTTTGTTCCTCAGTTCTTTGATTTCTTCCTGCGATTCGTGAAGCATTTCCAAACACTCTGCATTTCTTTCAGTCACTTCTTTCAGCTGTAAAAACAAACACAAAAAATACTTCATAATCTATATATTTTTTGTAGGAATATTGTATTTTAATTGCTGTAGTTGCTTACCTCTGCGGTCAGTTGTCTTTGAGCATCTTTGGAGGCTTGTAAGTGGATTCGTAGCTCTTCCTTTTCTAAAGCAAGCTATAAAAACAATAAAATTAATTAGAATAAGAAAACTGTACAAGCAAATACAACATTTTCTTAACGCTCAGTACCTAATTTTGACAATAAATGGAAAATATTGGGATTGAGACTTGCATTTCTGAAGTTATATCTGATCTAAAAGAGGATTAATATGGAAAAGGTTGTTGTTAAAGTATGTCTTTGTCCAAAATATTCCACACTAGGGCATTTAATTTGTATATCTGCATAGAGGCGGTAAATTACAAGTCAGATCTGTGTAGAGGCAAGCCCATTCACAGTATGTAATAATATTTTAATGCATTTTTGAGCAATAAAACATATGATAAGGTAGATAAGTTTAATATAATACTGTTAGTATCAAAATAATATCTGATTCTCACCTCTTTTACTCTGTGTTGTAATTCTACGATTTGAGACAGGAGCTGAGCGATTTCCTCCTGATGTCGCACCAGCTCTTCGTTCTTTCTGGACAAATCTTCCGTCAGAGTCACCATCTGTGAATTGGACTCTCCTAAAAAAAATATATATATAAAAAATGAATACAAATGTACTTGCTAATTAAGACTGAATCAATCTTATTCACTTTACCTGCTTTTACTTATAATTTAAAGACATTTTATCTTGTATTAATTGAATAATATTGTTTTATATCTATTATTTTATTAACAAGTATCACTAGATCCCCCCTTACTGATTTTACTTTTATTTTTTATAAAGCCTGGAGTGTAAATGTTTAAATATATATGTGTAAATTGATTCTAAATGTCTAAATGTTGACTTACGTAGTTCTTTGACACAGTCGCTGACCAGCTGTTGCTCCTTCTCCTCGTAACTTATTGTGTCTCTTTTCAACTGAGATGCCTGAAATAAAAAAAGATTAAAAAAATAAACAAGAAGGTAAAAACCCACGAACAGTTTTAGGTCATACATAGGTCAAAACTTTACTCAATCCAAGTCTGAATTTCCGTACCTCAGATCTTAAGGCCAGGTTCTCCTCCTCCAGCTCTTGTAGTTTGTTCTGCAGATGTTCCAGTTGGCTGAGGGCTGCCGTTGCCGTGGAGACCGCTCCGAGAGGCGGGTTCTGTCGTAGCGGCGTGGAGACGCTGGAGTCCGTCTCACTCTCCTCGGACGCGATCGCCACCATCCGCAACAACTCGTCCTTTTTACAGAGCTCATGCTGCAGCTGGTTCACCTGGAGAGAGCATTAAAGGGTCTAAATTATGAGTTCTTCGTATTTAAATATTAGATTTTTTGTTTTTGTCCTCACTTTTTTGTTGTTTTGTTAAGTTCATGAATAAAAAATAATTATAATACATACTTGAAATTTACAAAAAAGCTTCTGCAACTACTTTTAGGCATCCTGGCATTAGTGAAAATTCTTCACTTTTATTGCACAGTCACCACATGTAAACTGGTTCTAAACTGGGATTAAATTCAGAACTAAACCTGGACTAGACCAAGACCACAATACAACTCACTTGACATGTTTTATTGTTCTTTTAGTTTGTATTTATTTAAGCTTTATTTAGCCAGGAAGGTTCCATTTCGATGCAGTCTCTCCTCTTCTCGGGAGTCCTGGTTTTGATCGACAAATAAGTAAGTTATATGCTAGTAGTCCTGGTTTAGTCCTGATGTAGACTTGATTTGGTTCTGCTAGCTTAGTCCTGGTCTAGTCGTGTTTTAGTCCCAGTTTTAGTTCCAGTTTTGATGTGATGTGAAAAGCTTCTGTGAACCGTGACAGCATTTAAGTGATTTTGTCAACATTTTAAAACAGATAAAAGTAGTTCCTACCTGGTCCAGAGCTTGAGCGAGCTGTTCTTCTATGGCCTCGTTTCGTTCCTGCAGAAGGTGGTTCCTCTGTAAAAGAGACTGACCGATCCTAGCAGCCAACTCCAGGTCTCTGTCCCTCTGCACAAACACAAAACACAAATAAATTACATTTGCTTAACCATCTACAACTTTATAACACAGTGTAAGTTATGTGGTTTCTGTCCCTCTGTTCTACCACAACACACAAATAAACTACTAAAAGGTTCTATATTGTGCAAAACTGACTCTATAAAAATGTTAAACATGTTTGAATGAAACAAAACAAAACTCCAGATATGTTTTTGATGAGGAAACATTACAACATAGATCAGAAACTATTGTAATAATGGACTCTTTTAATTATTGTAATCATCTACAACTTTATAACACAGTACAAGCTGTTTTTATCTTTTGCGTATTTTAATTATATTGTTTGTTTTTTTTTTATGTGTATTCTTTTTATAGACTTTAATTGCTTATAATTGGACCCTTCTTATTCACTTTTCCTGCTTTTACGTATAATTTTAGAATATTATAATTTCACAGTGCAAGTTATGTTGTCTTCTTTGTCTTGTATTAATAGGATAATATTGTTTTCTATATATTTTTTTTTATATACGCACATCATTGAATCCCCCTTTCCTAATTTTACATACCATCTTGAGAATTTTGGAGAATAAATAAATGTCTATGTGTCAATTTATACCAAAAATATGAATCTAAAAATCCCAAATCTAGTCTAAAAACTCACCTCGGCCAAAAGATGAGTGACCACTTCGATGTCATTGTAGGTCTTGGTCATCTGCTCGACTCGGTCTGCACTGAGGACTGGAAGAAAAAGAAGAAAAAATATTAAAATTAGTTGCTGTAGAAATGCATTTGAGACACGCCTTTATGCAAAATTAAAGTGATGCTTGTCTGCAGTTTAGCAATCGCAATAGTCTTGAGTTTTTGTCTCATTTACTGAAATTCTTACCCACTTTTCTATTACATTAACCTTGAAGACAAAAGGTGCAAATTTAAAAAAATTCAAATATTAGTACTGACACTAATAAATGATTTTAATAAAAATCAAAACTGAAAGAAACCACAAAAATATGATAAAACTGGACCATTTATAATAGATTTTGCAGGGTCGTCATCTAAATCAGAAGACCGCATGGATATATTAAATAAACTATTCACATTTTGGGAAGAAAATGACTTATTTTGATTAAAAAGAGGGTTTCATTTTTAAAAATTCTTATCATGGTGGTACTTTTGCACACATATATTCTCCCACACAGGGTTTTTGTGTTTTTGGTGTTACGCATTCGGCATCTAACTCCATGCAACATTGTCTATACTATCTAGTTCAATAATAACAATAACAAAACTGCACCGGAGGAAGTGAAAGTGAACGTGGTAAAGTAAAAAGGAAGTGTGCAGGGAGATAGAGAGAATAAGAAGAGGAGAGAGAAATACCTTTAGTCAAGCCTGAGGAGCCTGAGTTAGAGTAAGAGCTGGGGTCCAAGGCAAGATACGCTGGAGAAAAGGAGAGAGTAAAGAAGGGTTAAGGAAATGAAGTAAAGGACAGAGGAAGAATCAAAACACAGAAACTTATACACAGTAGTTAAGCTTTTCATTGTGAGCCTTTATCTGATGGGGTAAAGTGTTTCATAATCTTGTAAATGTAAAGTAAGATATTAGATTTATTAGATTAGATTTTTTTTAGGGATGGGCATGATCATTAAGAATTTCGTCGCTCACGTTCAATTTTAATCGACAAACCGAACGTAGGTTTCAGTGGGTAGCGTAAGGAGATGAGGCTGCGTCTGACAGAACAAACACTGTCAAACAAAGAGCTAAGAGCAGCACTTACAATTTATGCAAATGAGCCAAGTTTTGTTTCTGTAAAACGTAAACAAATGTGCCAAAGCTGCATTAAACACATTATAATCTAAAACAAGCTGATGTGGCTCTACAGTGGTTATGTTTTATATGTTGTAAAGTTGAGTTTATTTATGCAGTTTAGTAATAGAAATGATTATAATTTTAATATAAAAACGTTAATGATTAATCGAAAATCAATCGTTAATTCTCCTGATGATCGATTAAGAAAATTTAATCGAATGCCCATCCCTAATTTTGATACAGTAATATCTAAAAAAAAATTAACAAAAGGAACTACATAGACCATGATCCTTTGCAGTTTCAGAGTAGTGTCCATGAAGAAGTAACAGTTAAATCTTAATTATTTGGATTATGATAGAACCAAAAGCCTTGCTGGGGCATTTTAAAATGAAAAAGTATTATATTTACAATTTTCTTGCAATGATATTTTGATAATATTGCATCTCTATTAGATTTGGGTTTTGATTTTGTGCATATACTCTTAGTTTTATTACAGCTGTTGCTTCTAGTATCTAGAACTGAGTATCGAGTTTTTCCCTCAATATCGAAATCGAGTTTAAAATTCTCGTACCGTGACAACGCCAATACATGTTATTACTTTAAATCTCAAACCAGAAGTGCGTGAACTTTCCAGCCTAGTTTCCCACTGGTCCTTGTAAATAGCAGACAGTAATTTGATGAAGGATTAAACGGTAAGAGACAGCTGCTGCATGTGCTCTTTCTAATGACGCGAGGCCCTCTTTGACCTGAAAATACGACCAGGTCATTTCTCTACCACAACTTCAGCTCAAAATATCCTCCCAGTGCTATATATATATTTACTCAGTGTTATATCTATAGCAACGAGCAGTATACAAGCTGGGTAATGTTTATATTTTGTCAGTACCAGTTCGTAGTTAAAGGTACACTGTGAGTCATTCCACGCCCTTTCAACAAATGGCCCACGCACTTCAATCTCAAAAAATGTTGAAAAAATTACCAAATAGTCCTTTACTATCATGTACCAACCATGTGAAATTTTAGTGATTTTCGATCAACACTTTTTAAGTTACAGCTCAGCTTATGTCCATTTACGGGCCAAAAATTAGTGCTATTTTTTTCTCGGCAGTATTCACAGGTCGATATCTCCGTAAGTATCAGACACAGAGGGCTGAAATTTTGTAGGCTTGTGCTCCTCTACTCTGTGTTCAAATAGCATCGATTGAAAGTTTGGTATCTAAAATTATTGTCATTTTATATGAACTGAAAAAACATGTTCATTCTTGTGGCGTACCATTTTTAGCCCCTTTTTAAACCTACTTGTAGGTGTAGTAGACCCTTATTTTTTTTGAGAATTAAGATATGTATTAGGACTGTTAAAAAAAATCACCAAATGTTGAAAATTTGAAATAGGTTATGTGTGAGGGTCCTGTTAAAAACAAGAAAACGTAACATGGTCCGATTTTCACATGTAAATAAACATGTGAGTAGTGATAAAAAAAAAAAATTTAATAATTTTCTTTTGAAAGACCAAATATGTGTATTTTATGAAGCTCCTTCCATTTTTTAATTGTATCTTGAACATTTGACACAATGATTCCTTGCTTGGCTTAGAATGTTCCACAATATGGCCTTAAACTTTAAACGACCCCGCTTGTATCGGAGACAAATAACTTTAAAAATACATGCATTCTTACAAAGAGCGGTGTTCCCTCTTAACAGATCAGACCATTAACCTGCCCTAGTTGTGTCACCCGATTGTATCCATGGAGACAGATAAATTTAATGCAAAGCTGTGGGACATTCCAGTTACTCAACGTGGAAGGGTTAAGAAATAAAGACACGCCACCACTAAACACGGCTATCGTAGACTGTAGTGTCATAAAACGCATTTGATTGCTTTCTATCAGGCAGCTTGCACAACACAATAAAGATTTCTACGAAATCAAAATCAAACTATATATAATCATTTTTTCTTATTATTTAACACTGGAGTAATTAAAGGTGCAGTGTGCAACTTTTCGTTGAGGGTCCGTCGCCTGCTTGTTCCACAGTGACATTAAATATCTCTACTTTACATTTATTCAATTACAGGTGGTTTTATTGTTCAAAAATACCTAGAAAAACTGGCTTTTTAAATAAATAGTATTAAAATCAGTCACCCATAGTACAGTTTTACGTAGTACAGTGTATGCAGTATGCAATATGCAATACTCATGTAAAAGTATCACATGAGAAAATCTACTTAAGTAAAGTTTACGTACTTACTTTAATTAACTAAACACAAATCTGCAAACTACTACTACTACTACTACTACTAGTACCACTACTACCACACCTACTACTACTGCTACTACTACTCCTACTCCTACTGCTGCTGCAGCTACTACTGCAACTGCTACTACTGCTACTACTCCTACTGCTGCTGCAACTGCTACTACTGCTACTACTACTGCTACTACTACTGCTACTACTACTACTGCTACTACTACTGCTACTGCTACTGCTACTGCTACTACTACTGCTACTGCTACTACTACTGCTACTGCTACTGCTACTGCTACTACTACAACTACTTCTGCTACTACTGCTACTACTGCTCCTATTCCTACTCTTACTGCTACTACTACTGCTACTACTACTCCTATTGCTACTACTACTGCTGCTGCAACTACTGCTACTACTACTACTAAAATGTAAAAGAATTTCAGGCAGGTTTTGAGTTCTAATAAAGCTTCAACTGTAGTGATTTTGTACCGATTTGTGCAGAAACAACACATTTTTTGTAGCTGTTGTAATTGTTTGCTCAAACTGTGACCTTGATAAAAAAAATAAACTCTCAGTGCTTTCAGCTGGCCTCAAACTATGATAAAAAAAATACTTTAATCACAGTCTTATGTAGTACAGAGTCTGCAGTAGGCCTCTTCTCTGCATGTATATTCCCTCTTCTTTCCTGTAGAACTATCAGAGTTTATTTTTAGTCTCATGTCCGACGGGGAAGTGGAGCAAATGTATCATGAAGCAGCAATCTGACGCCTGCTTCAGTCGACCCGGTGCACGTGCAGGTTCAAGAACAAATAAAGGGCACGATTTAACGCTGTACTATGCAACTTTTCTGGTGGAGGGCTCCGCTACCGGCTTATCTCCATGGTGATGTGGACTTTTTATTAATTAGTTGCCTGGAATGCCCCACAGTGTGACATTAAGTTCATTTACCTCGAATGTATTCAGCTTTATCAAATCATAAACTTGGTATCTTGAGTTCTGTGTTTTTATTAGGGGTGTAATGATATCCAGGTCTCTCTGTGCGATATTTTCACAATATACATCTCACAGTACGATATTTATTGCAATATTTTGTGTGAATATGCTTCTTTTCCCACCTAAAATGCCTTGACAAGACTGAATCCAAAGAACTAAGACTTAAAAGTGTTAGAACTGTTATTTCTTCTTGTAGTCTACACTGAAATGGAGCAAAGGATCATGGTCTATGTAGTTCCCTCTGTTTTTTTTAACAATTTCTGCACCATAACTCTTCCACGATATTATTGTGAGAACTTTGACGGCACGATATCACGATATTTCTTTTTTTAAATTCAAATTTTTATTGACAGTCCAATAGCGATGACAGTTTCAAATCACAAATGTACTTTTTTTTTCTCCTTTCATCCTTTTTTCACTTCATATATCTCTCTATTATAGTACTGAAAACTTCTTCCTTTTTTTTTTTTTTACTTATTCTGTTAAAAATGCAAAGTAAAAAAAAAAAAAAAAAAAAAAACAAGAAAAAACTAATAATTGAACATTTGAGAAGCAGTGTTTTTTTTATGTTGGGGTGTTAATCAAATCTTTCCATGGTTTACCTTTCGTATTCCGATCTTTGTGTGAGTGTCAGTCTTTCCCGATATCACAATATTTCGGTGATTGTTACACCCCTAGTTTTTATTGTTCAAAACGAGCTTGTATTTTTACTGTGAGCGGGATCGCCTCTCCACAGATCTGCCCTGTAACTTGTCCCGGTAGTTCTCCCCATATATAAAAGTTTAAAGGTGCATTGTGTGACTTTTCTCCTTCGCTTTTGTTATTGCTTTGTCTGTAATGTTTCACAGTATGACATTAAACCTTTCTATCTTCACGGAGACCAAGTTACAGGTCAGATCTGTGGAGAGGCGACCCCGCTCACAGTCAGAATGCCTTTTTTTCTAAGTATTTTTGAGCTATAAAACAATAAAATTCAATAACTGTTGAACATTCATGCAAAACAATAAGTTCTTGCTGTGGTCCAAGGCAAGAGGGATGTCCGATGAAGGAAAAATAAATATGCTTTTGGACATCGGCCATCTGAGTGTACTATGCATTTTTTCACTTTTGTCTGGCTGCTCCTTGCATTTGCGCCTCTACAAGTTTTCTGTTTCTTTTGAAAAGCAAGTGACGCCAAAAAAGCGACATAATGCAGCTTTAAAACGAGAAAAACTAAAATATGCAAATTGAAAACGTCACAAAGGAGAGAAATAATGGAAAAGACGGGACTGTTAGACACATGTAATCTTTTTTGGTTTGCATATTCTGTTTTGTACACCCTAAAACTTTCTTAAAAAATAAAGTTATAAATAAAATATGCATGTGCTTGCTGACTGGAGGCAAATATTTACAAGCGTTGCTAATAAAAGTCACAAATTATTCTCGTTTTACAAACATTTTTAAGAATTCTAGCCCTTTTTTTACTAATATATAAAACGATAGCTGTAAATAGACTGCATATCACAATTACAACGCATTCTTTTCAATGTAAACATTTGCTTCACCCACTTCCTGGACCACATATGCCCCCTCTCTCCTCTTTTCTCTCTCTCTTCTCTCCGTTCTCATATTCCTCCTGACCTTGCAGACTGGGCCATACACTTTCTAACAATAGCTCATATGTCAAAACACACGCACACATATGCATTTAATATTTTAGTTTACTCACCCTCCACTGCGATCCGATCACACACATCTTCATTTTCTATGTTTAATCGTGGCATTTCTGGAGTTTGTCTGATTTGATAGCTTGTCCTAAGACTTGTTTAGCCCTGGTTTGCAAGTCCACTTAACTCTCCTCCTCCTCCTCCTCCTCCTCCTCCTCTCTCTCTCTCCTCTCCTTTACACAAACTAGGGCAGATAAATACAGAAGATACACACACAACATGGCAACGCAGCAGTGATCCCGGTTACCAAATACTGTATGCCTCTAGTATTTCTCTAGCTTCCCTGATAACTTGTTTAATTTTCAAGTTTACTTAACTTTCTTCCTCATTCTCTCTCCTTTACACAAACTAGGGCATACAAATACAGGAAATACACGCACAACATGGCAACGCGGTGATGCAGGTTGCCAAATAATATCTCTTCAGCATTCTATAGCCTCTCTGTATGACTTGTTGAGCTCTTAACTCTCCTTCTCCTTCTCTCTCCTTTACATAAACGTGGGCAGATAAATACAGGATTCACACACACAACATGGCAACGCAGCAGTGATCCCGGTTGCCAAATAATATCTCTCTAACATATTCAAACCCTGGTTACTAAGTCCACTTAGCTCTCTTCCTCCTTCTCCTTCTCTCTTCCTCCTTTTCCTTTACAAAAAACTAAGGCAGATAAATACAGGATATACACACAACATGGCAACACAGCAGTGGCGAAGAAGCAAAAATACTCAAGTAAAAGTAAAAGTATCACCTGAAAAACTCTACTTCAGTAAAAATATTAGAAGTACTCATTGAAAATTTACTTAAAGAGTAATGTAGTGATTTTGGTACAAATTTGAGCTGAATTTTGAAAAGAAACAACAGATTTAATTTTCTTTTTTTCAAGCTGTTTTTATTGTTTTCTCAAACTATGACTCTCAGCCTTTTCAGCAGGTTTCAAACTATAATAAACAAATATTTTTACTTTTCAGTCCTGTTTAAAAATGCAGTTGAGTAAAAAGTACAGATACATGCTCTCAAATGTAGTGAAGTAAAAGTTTAAAAATCTACTTAAGTAAAGTACAAATACCTGATATGTATACTTAAGTACAAGACTTTACTACTTTTACTTCCACCATGGCAACACAGTGATGCCAGTTGCCAAATAAAATCTCTCTAGTATATTTAACTCTGGTTTACAAGTCCACTTAACTCTCCTCCTTCTCTTTCTCTCTCCCTCCTTTCCTCTACACAAACTAGGCCAGATAAAAACAGGATATACACACAACATACTGGAGCAAAAATACTCAGGTAAAAGTAAAAGTATTGCATGAAAAAATCAGCTTAAGTAAAAGTATTAAAAGTACCTGTTTAATTAAAGATACGTAAAAATATTTTGCGATTTAGAGATCTAATAAAACTTCAAATGTAGTGATTTTGGTACAAATTTTAGCTCAGTTTTGAACAGAAACAACAGATTTTATTTTCTTTTTTCTAGCTGTTTTTATTGTTTTCTCAAACTATGACCTTGATTAAAAAAAAACAAAAAAAAACTGCCAGGCTTTTCAGCCTTTTATCTCAAACTATAATTTAAAAAAAAAAACACTTTCACTTTTCAGTCCACTTGTGTATAAAGTACAGATATCTGCTCTCAAATGTAGTAAAGTAAAAAGTATCGACCTTAAAATGCACTTATGCACAGTAAAGTACAAATACCTAATATTTATATTTAAGTACAGCACATTACTACAGTACAGTACTTTTACTTCTACAATGGCGACACAGTGATGCCAGTTGCCAGATAATATTTTTTAGCCTCTCTCCTCTCTTTTACATAAACCACTGCAGATAAATATACACACACACAACATGGCAACAAAGTGGTGCTGGTTGCCAAATAATACTTCTCTAAAGCATTTCTCTAGCCCCTCTGAGTTATTTAGCTCTGGTTTGTGAGTCCACTTAACTCTCCTCTCGCTCTTTCCCTTTCTCCCTTTTTTCCTTTACACAAACCAGGGCAGAATATAAAGAATAAAAGCAGGATATACACACACAACATGGCAACACAGCAGTGAAGCTGGTTGCCAAATATCCACAGTAAATCCCAGTTATTTCGAGACTAAGGATAAATGAATTGTCACGTGCTGAATGCATTAACAGACACACCATCTGTTGCGGTTGTCGTTGAGGGTTTGACCAATCAGAACATGACGAGCAGCAAAAGGTAGGAGGTGAATGTAGTGTGTTTGATAATAATAATAATGATATGTTTAGTTTATGACTTTATGACCGTATCAAATGGCAGAATCATAAAACAGCTTGGATAACAATATTACGACATATTTATATAGAGCTTGAGGTCAAAATAAGTCCACTGCATACTGTCAGCATCCGTTTATACAGCAGTTTAAGTCAGGAAGAGTGTGTTTGCATACTAGTTGTTGTTATCTTTACTGCGAAATTCAACTCTGGTCTCTGAGAATTGTAAAAAAGCTCTTATCGTGGTGAATAATTAAGAAGCTGTGAATGCATAAGGTAATTGAGGAATAACTCTGGACCACTGCGAACTGTTTGAAATTAACTAGTTCCGTCGTTTACGTTTTTTAAGACAGTAAAAATCAAGTACAGACTTTAAACAGAGTCAGCGTGACCTGTTTTTTAGCACAAAATTCATATGTTAATCCTGTTTTGTTTCTTAGTTTAGGTTATTTCCTGTATATATTTTAGCCTGTTTTGTTAATTCACCTTTTAATTAAACATTATTTAATTTATTCCATTTTACATCTTGGTTATTTTGTTACCTCCCTGACCCCAACGAGCTGAGTCATAATGCATTTTTCTGATCTATGTTATAATGTTGTTTCTTTATCAAAACCGGAGTTGTGTTTTGGTTCATTCACACATTTTTAACATGTAAACCTAAGGTAAAAGGAGTTGTTAACTTAAAAAAAATATCGTTTCATGACATCACGAGGTGGAACAGAGCATTTTGAGTTTTGGAGATGTAGACAGACTAATAAAAGAGTTACTCAAACATGTGTGAATGAAAAAAACACAACTCCAGGTCTGTTTGTGATGAAGTAACAACATTATAACATGGCTTAAAACAAAAAACAAAAAATAGTTTGACCACTTGAAGAGGAAAAGAGGTAAGTCTCATTTACTGAAAAGTTATTAGAAGATATATTGAGATGATTAACTAGTTTGTCGTCGTAGCAGTAGTAGTAGTAGTAGTAGTCATAGTAGTCATAGTAGTAGTACTGTGCATGTTTGTGTGCAGATAACAAATTCAGAAATCACTGACCCTTAAATTTCTAAACAAAGTATTTCCATGTAATGCTGACGCTTCCACTTATAAAAACCCGTTGAGCCAGTTAGACATTAGATGTCTGTATTACTGTAAATCTGACTCTTATCAACTCCCAGTCAGTCCAGGTATTGTTTAGAGTAGTTAAATTTTGCCAAGTCAAAATATTTTAGCTGAAGTTTAACGTTTGCGAAAGAAGGCGCTTGATTTGCCGGCTATTAATGTTCATAACTTGATTTACGGAGAAAATAAAAAGAATAATAACACCGGGATCATGTAGAGTGGGTTAATAGGAACATTTTAAGACCAAAATCACAAGTCTTGACAGCAGTTTTTCCATTTATATATACAATCTATGTTGATAACACGTGAATTGTATTAAAATAATTAATTTCCTTCAGGATAATAAAGTTTTTCTAATCTAATCTAATTGAGATTACATTGTGGGAGCTGCAGTGTGTTTGTTTTTTCTTTTGCACAATTTTTGTCTTTGGACCCAGCACTCTATTGCAACATTCATTGGATGTGCATCTGTGTGCTCTCTGTCTACGAGTAAAAAGTGAGATTCACATAGAAAAAATAATCAGATATTTTTTCTCACTCAAGATTTTTGGGCTCTACAGATTTTCAGGGTTATATATATTATAACAGATATCCATATTCTACAACTTAACCTCCTTTTTCTTCAGTTTGAGGTAGTCTCCGTTAAGGTTGTGCAAAAATATCAAACTATTGATGGGCTGCTGTATCGATATATCACCATATATTGGTATATTTTACTAAATTATTTTGTTACAGTGCTACAGTTTTTTTGGTTGTTTAGAGGAAGGAAACTCGTTTATGCAACACATTTGACATTTTCGCTGTTTTGATGATTAAAATTGGTGTGTTTCATATTAATTTTGCGCAAGAAGTGATTTAACAAAGACTTTTAGTAGCCTTTACTTTTTATTGAACAGTTTTGAAATATATTGTATCAAATGGTAAGTGTACTGCATCGAGATATGCATCGTATCGTGGCCTGTTTATCAAGATATGTATCGTATCATGGCCTATGTCTCGAGGTATGCATCGTATCGGCAATTTCTGAATGACATCCAGCCCTAGTTTCCCTATACACATCTAATCTGAACCCATTTTGTACTCACTCATGTATCTGAAGGTCTCCTCGGCTAACATGGGGGAGATGGCGCTGTGGGGGGCGGGGCCTTCTTCCGGCGAGCAGCTGGGAGAGACCACCCAGTCCTGACTGTCGGACAGGTACACGGAGCCCCCAGACCCAGAGCCCAGGGACCCTGAGCCGAAGTGCTTACTGCTGTTGCCCAGGCCTTCATCTGCAAAGAAAACAGAACATTGAAAAAATGAAATAAGGAAAACATTTAAAGGGACTGTACCTGATTAATTAGTTTGCTGTGTACTGCTGCAGTTTGGCTCTATCGAAGTTTTGTTGTATTTTGTACAAACACAATGAAAATCTAATTTAATTCAGCTGTCTGCATATAATTATAATGTATGTTTAATTGTCCGATAATCAGTAATTTTTATTTATTTATTTATTTGATTGGGACAGAGCATGTTAATGGACAAACATGACAACATGAATGTAAACACACCGGATTATATGCTTAAGTGTACATAAGCATATAATTATACACAACTACAATCACTTTTTTACTTAGTTCGTATCTTAATTTTTTAAAAGATACCTTAGAAGAACAGGCATCTTTAAAAAAATTTGGATAAGAAGAAAAGTGATTGTATTTCTGTTAGAGGGGTTAGTGTATGAAACAATCTGAGTGATAACACTGCAGAAGCCTTAAAAAAAAAAAGTATAAAGCGTTATGTTTTTGTTTCTTATATACACAGTTAGTCATAAGTGATATTGTAAACACAAACTTGCTCTTCATATGCTGCTTTTCTTTCTTGGAATTCTGTAATTGTTTAACAGGGTTTGGCATTATAAGTACTTTTTACTTCAGCCTAAACCCCTTCAGTCATCATACATGGGGTTGTAGTCTGTGTTTTGTTTTGTTTTTGTTTTGTAGGGCTGCAAAATGAACACACAAACTACTCCTATTACTACGAGTTATTGTAAGCTTTACGGCAAAACTCTACGCTGGTCTAAAAATTGTGAAAAGTACTTATCATGGTGAATAATTAGGATGCTCTAAACGCATAAGGTAAATGAGGAATCACTTTGGACCACTGCAAACTGTTTTTTTTTTTTTTTTTTACTTAGGTTCTCCCAACAAGTAAATTTATGTAATATGAATATTGCAGAAGTCAGTGCCCTTCCACTTGAGTTAACATGTGGTTCAGTGGGACACATGGAGCTAACTATAGAGGCTAATGCACTTCAGGGCAGAGTGACTTTGGACACACACTGGACTGTTTAAAGGTATAGTAACAACAAAAGGAAGGACAAGAGGTTGAACAAAGGATTCTAATAGGGCTCAAACATTTTGTAATCATATTTAACTGTACATTTTGCATAATTTTTTACATTTAAAGAAAGAAATATTCTAAACTGCTAAACTAATGACAATCTCCTGCATTTCAGAACATGTTTGTAGAGATCTAACTACAGGGTCAGCAGCTTTTAGTAGCTTTTACTCCAATTTATTATATGTATGTCTTTTAATATTATCAAAATTGTGATAAGTAAAATTATGATTTTATCATTATATGTTTATAGGACTTAAACATATAACGGTATAATTAATGTGTGTAAAATCCCTCAGTCGTACAGGTAGAATCCATGGTAAAGGAAAAATTTAATTTGTCAACTGGATAATGTTTTTTGGTCAAATATAATTATAACTCATATTAAATGAAAGGTTATACCAGGGGTGTCAAACTCAAATTCACAGAGGGTCAAAATGAAAAAACTGGGACTAAGGGCCAAACTAAATATTTATTGAAAATTTTCAACAACATCTGCATGTTTTCTCTTCTTTCGAGATATGTAATGTTAAATCTTTTCTTATTAAAATAAATGTTTAATAAAAGTTTAGCTTAAACTTTGAATCCAGAACAAGCATAATATAAAATGATAACAAAATTTTAAATAAATAATGTCTCTATAGCCTATCAGTAGCCGGCGGGCCAACTCAAATACATGTCTGATATGATCTCGCGGGCCAAATATAATTATATCGCGGGCCAAATTTGGCCCCTAGGCCTGAGTTTGACATGTCTGGGTTATACGAATTGTCGCAATAGCCTCCATTTCTAAACCAGAACAAGAGCAGGATTTTGTATTATACTAGTTAGAAAATGAGAAGAAAAATAAAAGCATAACAAACCAGAAAACAGAATATATTTGCCAAAACTGTTGACCGCAATTATGAAATCAACCACTCGTATAAAAATGTACTGATACAAGTTTAACATGTGTTTCTGTTTTTTGTGTGTTTCTGTGATTACCTGTCTCTGTGCTCGACTCCTTCTTTTCCACTGCTCGATGTTGTTTCGCCTCAAACATCTCCAGTCCAGTGGGAGAGCGCCCCCTACCCACCGCTTAAGCCACTGCTGGACTGGAAATGGGCTGGTTTATGGGTTCACATGGTGGCCTCACATCTCTATGAAGAAAATACATTTATTTATCAGTTAGTTAGGCAGCACGGGCTTGTAGTTGGATTTGAAAAACATCAGTAAAACTACTTTGCAAAACTCTTTCATAACAACCAACAAATTAGAATTTCAATAGGAGCAGACATCTTCTTGCTCTATTCAGATTTATTGTTTTGTATTTTGCATCGAGTCCAATTTCAGATCGATATCACTTCAGCTGCTCATACAGACCTTCACTCTGTTCTTGTGGGACAAATACTGTAATGTTTTGGGAGAGGGCCAAAGGGGTAAGAGAAGATACCCCCTCCCAACTTCCTGTCTCCAGTCAAAAAGAAAAAAAGTCAAGGAAATGCTTATGGCCTTAAAGGGAAGGACACAGCTGTATGTCTTAAAGGGACGTGGACCGTTGGCTGTTACAAAAGTCATCGCTGTAAAACCGGTCAAATGTAAAGGTGAGATGATTAAAATAAGGCATGAAGAATTTTAATATCAGCTAAATCAGGTCATTTAATAAACCAAAAAGCAAAATAAAAATGAAAAAATATCATAAAAAGCAACAATTTTGAATCCATGTGTCATTCGTTCATTCGTTCTTCAATATAAAAACAAAAATAAGAAAATGAAAAAACAAATATTATCTTCATTATTTGTCTCCAAAACCAAAATAAAAAAAAACAGATAATGATTCGTTTTTTCAGTTTTCGATTTTGTGTTTAAATGAAAAATGGAAAAAACAGATAACGATAATGTTTCTCTTTACGTGACCTAAAGTGCGATGCCGGACTTTTGTGCTGAATATGGACTGAACCAGGACTAAACCAGGACTAAACCAGCACTAAACCAGCACTAAACCATTTTCAGTCGTGGTTTGGTCCCAATCTCAGTCCTGGTCTCAGTCCTGGTCTCAGTCCTGGTCTCAGTCCTGGTCTCAGTCCCGGTCTCAGTCCCGGTCTCAGTCCCGGTCTCAGTCCGGTCTCAGTCCCGGTCTCAGTCCTGGTCTGGTCCCGGTCTCAGTCCCGGTCTCAGTCCCGGTCTCAGTCCCGGTCTCAGTCCGTCTCAGTCCCGTTATCCGTTTTTTCAATCATTCACTTTAAACACAAAATCAAAAACTGAAAAAAAAAAAAAAAACGAATCGTAATCTGTTTTTCATTTTGGTTTTGGAGACAAATAATGAAGAAAGCAGTTATTTTTTCATTTCCTTATTTTAGATTTTTTGTTGTTGTTGTTGTTTGTTTGTTTTGGAGACAAATAATGAAGAAAATAATTGTTTCTTCATGGTCTTATTTTTGGTTTTATATTGAAAAACGAAAGAACGAATGATACACGGATTTAGTTCCCTGTCTTTTTTTTAGTTATTTCTGCACCATAACTCTTAATTTAAGCAAAGTGACTTGTAATTCGATATATTGTGATGGTCCACGATGTTATTGTGAGAACTTTGACGATACGATATCATGATATTTTCTATAAATAACTGTTAAACATGTGAGTTTGTCTGTATCGGCGTAGTAAAAAAGTAAAATGTCATGATTCCAGCTTGTTTTTCTCAAGGCTATTCCTCTCTCTCTGCATCAATGTCCTTTTCAACATCTGTGGGGACACTTGGACTAGAAATGTCTGGAAACCTTGAAAATCCTTGGGCATAAATCACTGTTACGTAACCAGAAAAAACGCTTGGATACATAGAGGATTATCGTCAGAGATGCACGCCATGTCTAAGCGCCATCACAGAGCCGCGCATACCTCCAGTGTAAATCCATTACTGAACATTATAGTTGTTATTGACTCACTTCTGAGAGACTTCAGGTTTGATAATGGGAGCCTTTTTCCTCTGGGACTCGCAGGGAACAAACCAAAACAGCAATTATACTTCCAATCATTTTTTATGTTTAGTTTGGATGTGGTTCAGTTGTATCTGGTTTTGTTATTTGTTATGTTTCAGCAGGCCTGTCACAATAACAAATTCTGAAGGACGATTTATTGCTACAGAGATACACAGCAATAAATTATAATCCTGAAGCTACTTTGTGGCTTTTGATACAATAACAATAAAGCTGTATAACCATTTTAAAAAGACTGTATCATCAAAAAGCAGGAGCTGCTATTTAAAAATAACAAGATGTACAATTATGTGTAAATATTTAGCTATAGAAGTCACTTATTTAACCTTTTATACCTCAAATTATGTAATATTATACATATTACAATAAAAATGCCCAAATTCTTCCCATTTTTACCCCCACTTTTTTAGATTTGGTTTAGTCCCTGGTTTAGTCCCTGGTTTAGTCCCTGGTTTAGTCCCTGGTTTAGTCCCTGGTTTAGTCCCTGGTTTAGTCCCTGTCTTAGTCCCTGTTTTAGTCTTTACTTTAATCTTTACTTTAGTCCCAGGTTTAGTTCTTGCTTTAGTCTCTGCTTTAGTCCCTGGATTTGTGCTGGTTTAGATTTGGTTTAGTCCCTGTTTTAGTCCCTGTTTTAGTCCCTGTTTTAGTCTCTGGTTTAGCCCCTGGCTTAGTCCCTGGCTTAGTCCCTGGCTTAGTCCCTGGTTAGTCCCTGGTTTAGTCCTTGCTTTAATCTCTGCTTTATCCCCTGGGTTTGTGCTGGTTTAGCCCCTGGTTTAGTCCCTAGTTTAGTCCCTAATTTAGTCCCTAATTTAGCTCCTGGTTTAGCCCCTGGTTTAGCCCCTGGTTTAGCCCCTGGTTTAGTCCCTGGTTTAGTCCCTGGTTTAGCCCCTGGTTTAGTCCCTGGTTTAGTCCCTGGTTTAGTCCCTGGTACAATTGCTGGACCCTCCCTTTTTCTACTTCCCCTGGTCTATTGTTATCAGTGTAATTGGATTCTACGGAAATCCAGGTATGCAACAATCTGTTCCGTAAACACATCACTTTAATTTATTTATTGTGTTTGTTTGTTTGATAGGGACAGTGCATATTAATGAACATTTGTAATCAAAGTGTAAATATGCCACATTAGAGCAAAAATGCTAATATCCATCTGTTGTCCCTAAGCAGGTAACACAGAATATTTGATGAGATTGATGATTAGATTAGAATAGAAAAGTTTCCAGGGTTAAAATAGATGATTTTAGAGAACATATGTTTCAATTATGGATACACCGATCCAGTTTTGCAGTTCTGATACTGATTTCGATACTATAGCTTTAAGTATCTGCCAATATCATCAACCGATACCAGTGAAGAAACTGAAAACAACAAAGCAATAACATCTCCTTGAGGAAAAGCATTTAACGAATCCTCCACCAGAAAAGTTACACAATGCACCTTTAAATAAAACAAAACAAAACTCATCCAACTGTGTTATGTAGATGATATTTACCTCTTAAGTAACTACAGAACAAATTTGTATGAGTAACTGGGATGTGACAATAACTGAAATATCGCGATATTGTATTGTCAAAGGTCTCACAATAATATCGTGAGCTGTCACAATATATCGAATTAGAAGTTTCTTTGCTTAAATGCATGGTTTTATAGTAGCAAAAGCTTAAAAACATCAGGAACTACATATCCCATGATGCATTTCAGTGCAGAAAACATGAAGAAATTGTTTTTTTACTTGAATTCTTGGGATTATGATGGTAATTATTCACACCAAAATCTTGTCATGGTGTTTTAAAAGCAAAAAAGTGTCCTATCTACAATTATATCAGCCTCTTAAAAATATCGCAATAAATATCGTGATAATATCGTACCGTCAGATTTGGATATCGTTGCATCCCTAATAAATAAAAGTTCAAACATTATAAGATTTTCTGGGCCAACTACAACCTGTAAATAGTCACATTACATCAATGTATATGTCCAATCAAAATAGGAGCTGAACCGATATTTCGAAGCCGATATCCAATCTATCTAATGAAGTATTGATACCAGTATTAGATCGGTGCATTCCTACTTTCCATATGGACTTACTGGCAACATTTGGCAAACTATACATCTGTTTTCCCATAGCTAAAATACCAGAGTGTGTCATGGAGAATGGTATGTGAATCATCATGTGAGTCAGATGTCTGTTCAGATCCGACCGCTCACGCTTAATTGATTAAATGAATTCTTGTTTCTTCAACATCACAGCAAAACTCGAAATTTATTTTACAGTGAAATTAAATTAGAGGTCCAGATCAAATTAATTCATCGAGTTGATAATATTTTCTTTCGGGAACACTTCAAGGAGATGGCAGGATAAACACGCCGAGACTGTGAGTGACCTTGAGCGTCTAGACAGGGGTTCAATAAGTCAAATTTTAATGTATTTAAAATTAGTTTACTATAAATAATATTGCTGCATTCTGAACTTCAAACTGTGCAAAGATGCATATAGATTAGCCAACAAAAAGCTTAAATAATTTCAATTTCTTAAGGTGATCCTAGTATCTACATCACTCTACATTCATTCTATATTTAACAGCAGAAAATTTAGTCTAGAACAGGGTGACCAGATGTCCCTATTTATCCGGGACAGTCCCAGTTTTGAGCCCTGTGTCCCCTGTCCCCGCAGATTTATCCAAAACTACTGATTTGTCCCAGTTTTATACACAAAAAAGTCCTAGGTGTCCCAATTTTGGACCAATGTGCAACCTGCCAACAGTAAAGAGCGGCATAATTGGTCATTTTTTAAGGTAAAATACAGTAAATTTGCTTAAATAGACTAAAATACTTTTGGAAATCTGGTCACGTTAGTCTAGAACCACAAATTTGCCTTTTAAGAATGTAAAATTTTAACTTAAATCTATCTGTCAGTAGTCGTAGCAATAACATTCACACATAAAAGCCAACCAAAATCACCCAAAATATATATAAATTGCACTGTAGAAATCATAACATCTTACAAATTCAATTATTAGACCAATATTGTCTTTACTATAAAAAAAATTACACTTAATATTGTGGTTTCTGCCTGAAATGTGTAATGATGCAATATTTCTAAAACTGAAAACACTGTAAAAAGATGCAAAAATAATTAAATTAAAGCTGTAATTGTGTCTGTATATATTTTTTGCAATATTTTAAATGTTTGTTTTGTTTCTACATGAAATACGTTGTTTACAATGTCAAATCACGGTCCCTGTCCATAAAAATTAGTCAGTAACGCAGCATCCTTGGTACTTTTAGCTATTTTAAGGCTTGAGAAGTCGTGGATTTGGGTATTTGCGTTAAATAGGTCAACAAATTATCTTAAATTGAGATCTGGAGCAGAACTGACCCTGTTACGAGTATTTATCGGGAATGATGGGCGAGGATGACAGCTAGACGCACCGCTAGCATCGCGCGCTAACTCCATCCTAGCCAAACAAAGCACGTTTTCTTACGCAACCTCCACGGAAACCCACATATATCACAGTCTAAATTCAGCTTACCTTGTGCGCTATTTATTCCCCAGTGTGGGTGGATTTAGGGGCACATGGGGAGACGATCTGACCGTGTCCAAAACGCCTAAACAATGGGGTAGTAGGAAGGGCTAGCCAACTCCGACACGATCAATACGCGCCAGCCAGACGCACGGATTACGCATGTAGTACGCGACGGGTGTCAAATTAAAAGTCTTGTCAAGAAACTGGACAATGCTCCCAAGTTTTGCGTTTATAACTTCGTAATATCGTCGTAACATGCATTTCGATATGTGACATGACGATGAACTTTACAGCTGTCAGACATAGATAAAGATTTTTAGCGACGTTTTGTGATTTGTTGACGAAAAAGGTGAGTGGTTTTGTATTTCACACGCCAGATGTTTTTTTCAGAACACGGTTTAGTTAATATAGTTAATTTGTTGTCATATATTATTAATTTCACTCTTATATTTGTTTAAAAGTCCAATTATTAGCTGTAAATTACGCGTGAATAACAAAAAGAAGTGTTTCACATTGACAGATCGTCTTGCATAGTCGTGATTAAAAACATCTGGAAGAATAGATTACATTTGGTTATAGCTTATAGGACAGCAAGTGCCAAGATTTGATCCCTTTGCGTGTAGATAAAACCTCTTTACATAACCAGTGGCCGCTTTTGGGCACACTATGTAACCATGCGTAATTTTGGATGGTAAAGTACAAGTAAATCTATGCGCTTTTGGGTTTTAGATCCGGACCAACGACGTCTGCTGCTGATGCGACCAGGTAGGAGACGCACGCACGCACGCGTTCATTGATACACACGGTTGCTGGTTGTATTCCGTTTCATTGAGGCACATATTTACTGAAAGCTATCGTATTTCACAGTGGGATTTGTCTCTACCGTATCCACCTCTCGTCTCTCGCAGCAGCCTCCCCGCGAATGAATGCCAAAGCTTCGGGTAAAATCGTCACAAAAAGGACTCCATGTCTTTCTTGGTAAGGAATAATATGATAATAATCTGATCCCACGTGTGTTTTGTGTTCTGTAAATGCTTCGTGACCTACTAGAATCAGTCAGCCGTGTCATTCATGCTTGTTGTTGTGAATGGAGTCGAGTCAGTTCATTTCTTGGAGTTTTCGACACAGCGAGCTTTACTTTATTTCAAATTTCAATCTGGTTTTATTTATTCTTTCAAACTGCTTGGATTTGATTGTGTTTATTATGTGTTCATAGCCAAGGTCAGAGCAAACGTTTCATAGTTATAGTTGTGCAGAAAATTTTCATATTTATGACTTTCAGCTTCCTGTTACAAGGAACATTTTTGAGGATTTTTTTCTTCTTATTTAAAAATCTATAGTATATATTTTGGTTTTAAATTGTTAATTACTACGGAAACGGTCTAATTTTTCTTCATTCTGAAATCATGGATCAATGAGCCAGACCTTTATGAATGACTCAAGATGCAAAATTCTTACTATATTATTAACTTATTATTAGGCTGCTGTATAATAATAGCATAATCTTATATTTTGCAAACTCTATGAAGCAGTAAGGGAGAGAAGTTTCTAATGCTTATGACCTATATGTTAATTTATTTGCAATTTAATGTTATTGTTAGAGATTTAGGTCAAGGTGAGAACAAGGAATTAGGTTTTCCACGGATACCACTTCTTTAACAAAGCTTGTTTCTACGCTTATTACAGATCAAAAAACATACTTATGCAGTAGTTTTCATTATGTTCTGATAAATCTCTATGCAGTTGTCATTTGTCAGTTCATATTACATGTGTTTTTTGCATTAGACTGTGCTAAGACCAAGAACGCGCCCTCCTTTTTGACCTTTTATATCATGTTGTACTATTTCAGACAGAGCCAAGAACTGCTGTCACAGTTATTATAAATCTTGTTCTGTGCTACTGGGGTCTATAAGAAGTTAAGTCATGGTGAAGTAATAGTAGTAGACTTAGACTGTACTGTCATTCATTTTTCTTCTTAAATATGATCCCAGCAGCGATAGACAATTATCACTTATTGCAAAAGAAAAGACTGTTTTGATAAATGGACAAAAATTCAATTCAAAACTGAAGAAGCTACTTGAATAAGTGGCTAAACTTTACTATTATTATTATTATTATTTTATTTATTTATTTTATTTTATTTTATTATAGTTCTATGGAAAATAAAAACTGTAATGCCTTGACTCCAGTTGAGATATTGGGACATACCAAAATCACGTAAATTGCTTGACCTATTTACCGCATGCATGTATTTGGACAGGAAGACCCTCACATTAAAGGTGCATTGTGTAACTTTTATGGTGGAAGGTCTGTCACCAGCGTCTCTCCGTGGAAATGTTGCCTGGAATGTTCCGCAGTATGGCATTACGCTTATCTATCCCTACGGAGAGGGCAAGCGATGCCATAGGGTCAAGTTACAGGTTTTTAGGTACCGTATTTTTCGGACTATAAGTCGCTCCAGAGTATAAGTCGCAGTGACTTCCAGGAAAGTTGCATGAAGCACCCTCTCAGTTACCGTGAAGCTGTGTTGTCCACCCCCGCTTTCACTCCAAACTTTCTTTCTGCTGCTCAATTACCATTTTCAGCTGAATATTTCACTACTTGCAGCAGGACAGAGGCTCTTTCTGCAGGAGACATGTGCAGTACAGTGAAGTGACAGTGGTACAGGAGTAATTGGAACAGCAGATACTGACACACAAGACTAGAGCCTCTCATGGTTTCAGTGTGAAAATTTTAATATAGACCAGAGTATAAGTCGCAGGAAACACCCAAACCATGAAAAAAAGTGCGACTTATAGTCCGAAAAATACGGTACATTAAAACCCATGCTATTGAATACGTGCAAGATAGATTCATGTAATGCCATACTGGGACATTCCAGACAAAGCAACATAATTTCCATGGAGACAAGCAGGTGACAGACCCTCCACCAGAAAAGTGCACCTTTAAACCACAATAAAATCAATGAACTCTTCACCCATTCACTCAAATTAACATTCAGACGAGTGAATGTGTGAATTGTGTGAAGTGTTTTGCCTAATAAGAAGACTGTAATGAGGATAATGATGAAGGTACTTGTGGGAATAAGGATTAAACCAGCAGTCTTTAGGTTAGTGGGTGGATACTCTACCAACTGTGCTACGATTGTTGTTAGAATAAACAGAGATGTAAATGTGTGAGAGGTTTGCAAGTCAAATTAACATGTCATTTAAGCCACATTATTGACGTTACAGTGGCTCTCTGTGTTAATGGAAGTGTATTTATAGACTCAGCTCATTGGAGACACTCTGAGTCCATTGCCTCTTAATCATATTTAACTCCCTCTTCACTTCACAGATAAAATTCCACATTTAAAATACCACATCTGAGCGCTTGCTTTTGACCTCGCTCCATCCATGACCCCTGCTACATACATACGGATGTCAGTATACAGTGATTTAACAATTCATTTTAGCTTTAATAGTTATATAAGAGTCATTTTGTCACAGTTTAAGAAGCTTTTGTTTAGTAAAATTTGTAAAATGAATGGAAATGCTATTGAAAAGAAAAGTTATTGTGTTAAACTATCTTATATAGGCCAGCCTACTAAAAACAATTGACCCACTGTCTATATAAGAAACTCTTTTCACTTGGTAAATATAAAAACATTAAATATTAAAGCTGCAGTATGTAACTTTCTGGAGATGGCACATCACCTGCATGAGAAATAGAAAGAGTCAGGTTTGTGGAGATGCAAGCCCACTCACAGTGAAGATGCATGTTTTTCAGTGCATTAATGGAGCCAAAAGGAAAAAACATGCTTTTATTTTAGTCATTTTTGGCTAAAAAGTTACATACTGTGGCTTTAAATAGTAGTTTTTCGTCTAAAATATATAGTTTAATGAAGCTGGCTACATCAACGGTATTAGACAAGTGAAAGTGGAAGCGTAGATTAACTAGTTTCTCTCATTCATGGTAAGAAATTATAATATTTCTTGTTAAAATAATCCTAAAACACCAAAATCATGACATCCCTATCCACCCCCACATGCCTTCCCACTCCCCAGACGCCTCACCCCTTTGAGCATGTCTCACTCTGCTCCTCCCCCCTCCCCCCAGGACTGTTCCTGCATCTCCCACGCTCAGGTCCAGCCCATGGACATAGAGGAGTGCTATGAAGACACCAGCCACCAGTTCCTGGTCAGTAACATGTTGATGATGTCCATGTGGGCCTGTCACCATAACTCATGTTTAAGTGCAAGAGATACTGAAGGAAATATTGGAGATAACACTAGAGCACTGCCAAAAAATGATTCTACATATTAGGGCCACAACAGGACTATTAAATCTGTGTATCATTCGTTCATTCGTTTTTCAATATAAAACCAAAAATAAGAAAATGAAAAAAACAACAATTTTCTTCATTATTTGTCTCCAAAACCAAAATAAAAAAACAGATAATGATTCTTTTTTTTCAGTTTTCGATTTTGTGTTTTAATGAATAATGGAAAAAACGGTTTCCGTGACTTAAATTGAATCCGTGTATCATTCGTTCATTCGTTTTTCAATATAAAACCAAAAATAAGAAAACGAAAAAACAACAGTTTTCTTCGTTATTTGTCTCCAAAACCAAAATGAAAAAACGGATAACGATTCGTTTTTTCAGTTTTCGATTTTGTGTTTAAATGAAGAATGGAAAAAACGGATAACGGCCGTTTCCCGTTTACGTGACTTCCGTGACTGCGATGCCGAACTTTTGCACCGCGTACGGACTGAACTAGGACTGACCCAGGTCCGAGACCAGACCGAGACCAGAGCGGGACTGAGACCGGGACCAGACCGGGACCAGAGCGGGACTGAAACCGGGACCAGAGCGGGACCGAGACCGGGACTGAGTCTCAGTAGCGCTCTGGTCCCGGTCTGGTCCCGGACCTGGTCCATCTGAACCAAAAGCTCTTAGTTCGGTTCGTTTTCGTTGGGGTGAAAGCGTCAGTCAGAGGCTCTGCACCACCTCGGAATCAACCGCGGTTCTTGATCGCGGAGGACCAGAGCAGCTCGGTCTGGTCTCGGACCTGGATCCGTCCTGATTCAGTCCGTATGCGGTGAGACTGGGACCAGACCGGGACCAGAGCGGGCCTGAGACCGAGATCGAGACAAGACCAGGACCAGACCAAGACCAGACCGGGACCAGACCGGAGGCTCAGAGCCCACGGCAGGACCGGAGCTCGAAGCTGAGGCTCGGACCCCGTGGAGGCTCGGAGTCAAAGCTCGGAGTCCGGTCTGGTCCCGCTCTGGTCCCGCTCTGGTCCCGGTCTCAGTCCCGCTCTGGTCTCGGTCTGGTCTCGGACCTGGATCAGTCCCGGTTCAGTCCGTATGCGGTGCAAAAGTTCGGCATCGCAGTCACGGAAGTCACGTAAACGGGAAACGGCCGTTATCCGTTTTTTCCATTCTTCATTTAAACACAAAATCGAAAACAGAAAAAACGAATCGTTATCCGTTTTTTCATTTTGGTTTTGGAGACAAATAACGAAGAAAACTGTAGTTTTTTCGTTTTCTTATTTTTGGTTTTATATTGAAAAACGAATGAACGAATGATACACGGATTAAATTGCGATGCCGGACTTTTGCGCCGCATACGGACTTAACCACGACTGCACCTAAACCAGGACTAAACTGTTTTTAGTCCTGGTCTGGTCCCAGTTTCAGTCCTGGTCTCAGTTCTGGTCTGGTCTCGTCTCAGTCCCAGTCTCAATCACGGTCTCGTCCTGGTCTGGCCCAGCCTCAGTACTGGTCTAAGTCCCGGTCTCAGTCCTGGTCTCAGTTCTGGTCTGGTCCCGGTCTCAGGTCTGGTCTCAGTCCTGGTCCCGGACTCAGTCCTGGTCTGGTCCCGGTCTCAGTCCTGGTTTCAGTCCTGGTCTGGTCCCGGTCGGGCACCGGTCTTAGTCCCGGTCTCAGTCCCGGTCTCAGTCCTGGTCTCAGTCCCGGTCTCAGTCCTGGTCTGGTCCCGGTCTGGTCCCAGTCTCAGTCCTGGTCCTGTTCCTGGTCTCAGTTCTGGTCTCAATCCTGGTCCTGGTTGCAATACTTAGTCTAGTATAACCCTCTGCAGCTCAAATCTGCTCAAATTTATTGCAGAAAAATATGAAAAAATACCCTCTTTTATTACTTTTGATTAGATCTATATCTCTTCTCATTTGTTTTGAAGTAATGTCCAGCTTATGTATGTATAACTATGTCTTCAAATAAATGTTTCCAATATATGAAGTCAATATATTACCTATGATTATAATATTGGTAATTATTTGGCTGTATTTTGAACAATTAAAAGTAAACAAAATCATTATTAGCCCAAAAATATAGTTAAATCTGTGTTACTGTGACAGGCCAATGTCCATGATCAACAATTGTCACCTGTTTTCATGTCTGAAGCTTATTTAACCAATATCATATCTTTCTTTAAGCCTATGTTATTGGTTAAAACGCTCCTTTTGCATGAATTTCCTCGTCAAAATGTCTTCTTCTTCCAAATCTTCTTCTGAAAATGGTCCAAAGTTGATTTAATAATTCATTCAGAACAGTGGCTCTCCGTGCTGTACTCTGTGATCGTCTAAACGGGACGCACTAATCAAGCTAAAAGGTTTTCAGGTATAAGTCCAAACCTCTATAATCTAATGCAGGGACTGATGTGTGGTTCAGTTTAAAGATACAGTATGTAGCTTTTCTGGTAGATATTACACGTTACCAGCTTGTCTCCATGGAGATGTTATAACTTTGCTTTAATATCCCACAGTATAGCACTAAACTTACTTATTTAGATTTCATGTATCAAGTATCAATGTTAAAATACACATACAGGGTTACTACTGAGAGTGGGGTCGCCTCTCCACTGATCTGACCCGTAACTTGGTCTGGTGGCATCGTCTTTGTGGAGTTAGATAAATTTAAAACTATACTGTGGAACATTACAGGCAAATAATTCACATTTCCATGAGACAAAATACTTTAAAGTAGTCAAGTCAAATATTGTTGTATATTCATTTATTTAAAGATCATTTATTTAAAGATCATTTCATAGTTATAGGCAGAGGTGGGATCAAGTCGTTGTTTTGCAAGTCTCAAGTAAGTCTCAAGTCTGAGTCAAGTCCCAAGTCAAATACAGGCAAGTCCAAGTCGAGTCTCGAGTCACTGGCCCATAAGTCCAAGTCAAGTCCAAGTCGTCTGCTTTGAGCTTCAATTCATTTCAAGTTTTTAAACCAAAATACCAAATATAGTTTAGATTTTTGCAATTTATATGAATTTTAAACAAAATTGTACTTTAAAAAAATCATAGTATATTTAAATATGAGTATTTATAGAGTATATAAGAATTGTAGAAATGTAAATTTTTCCTTTTTAAATGTCTTGACAAGATCTTAGTGTGAATCATTACAGTCAGATTAGAAAGAATTCAGATTTAAAAGTCTTCTCAAATCTTCTCAAATCACAAGGTTCAAGTTCGAGTCAAGTCCCAAGTCAGTGACCTTCAAGTCCAAGTCGACTCCCAAGTCTTAGTCCATTTTATCAAGTCAAGTCTCAAGTCCTAAAAATAGTGGCTCAAGTCTGACTCGAGTCCAAGTCAGGACTTGTATGTCCCCGCCTCTGGTTATAAGTGCACTCTGTAACTTTTTGGTTTGAGGTCCGTCACCTGCTTGTTTCTATTGATATGTCATTGCTCTGCCTGGAATGTTCCACAGTGTGACATTAAACAGTTCCACCTTACATTTATTCAATTACAGGTGGTTTTATAGCCCCAAAATACTTAGAAAAACAAACATTCTGACTGTGAGCGAGGTTGCTTCTCCACAGATCTGACCTGTAACTTGGTCTGGTTTGGTCTCCATGGAGATAGAAAGACTTAATACCATACTGTGAAACATTCCAGACCAACATCTCCGTGGAGAAAAGCATCTGACGGACCCTCCACCAGAAAAGTTACACAATGCACCTCTAAAGAAATAATTTTTCAAGTAATAAATTGGCAATATTGACAGTACATTTCTCAAAAAGCAAAGATAACCCCTCTCCTCATTTCCCTTGCTCCATAGCGCCCCCTCTGGCAGCGTCCATCACACTACTAACCTATTACCCAAGTCCACACTAACTTCCAACTGTTTATAAAGGCTGTTATTTTCTGTTGTGTCAATTTTATTCATTTATGTTTGAAAATACGTTGCCTAGAGCTCGGACGGATCTGAATTCACCCTCCAAGGGCCGGCAGGGGGCGATGACGTCACGGGGCTGTCGGCGGAACCGGCCCACTACCAAATACTGGCTGAGCTTGGTGAGATTTTTCCTAAACATGTTATTCCGTATTGGAGCTTGTCAGATTTTGAGAATATTAAAGGTATAAGTGTCATTTAGAGCAAATAAAAAAATTATTACCATACTTAAATTAAATCTCTATCATAAACTTAAAACTTAATAATTTAAAACCACAAAAACAAAGTGCTGTCTCTCAGTATTGAGTTTGTGTGCATAAAACTACAATTTAATTATCTTCAGAAATGGCCTTGTCAAATTATCTAAAAAAGTTCAAAGAGTTACATGGTATATTAATCGGTAAAAAGTTGTCTAAAAAAGTAAATCTATTGGAATTTGAGCTTATTTTAGTTCATGTAACTTTGGTGGAGGGTGTGAAACTGCTTGTCTCCATGGAGATGATGTCACTGCCTAGAATGTTCCACAACACAGCATTAAACAACTCCATCAAGCATTCATCAGGTGTTTTTATTGCTAAAAAATACCCTGCAAAACATGTATTCTTAATGTGCAGGGTCGCCTCTCCGCAGATCTGACCTGTAACTTGGCCTGGTTGTGCTATCTGCTTGTTTCCAGTATATATGGGAGTTAGATAAGTTTAGAGTCATACTGTGGAACATTCACAGCAAACCATACAATCACCATGAAGACTTGAAGGTGGCAGAACATCCACCAGAAAAATTACACAATACACCTTTAACTTAGGGCCTGAGAACACTTGCGGGTAAAAATGACACAGTATTTTATTGGAAGTGCCTTTCGTTTAGACAGTGATGGCGTTTTTTGGGACTTAAAAACGCAAAAATCTGAAACCATCCTCCAGAGTGGAAAAGTTGAATACACTCCGCCGTAGCGTTTTCATCTACACTGCCCAAGACGCAAAACTCTGGTCAGATCTACTCACATCACATATGCATTTAAGTCACATACATCACCACCGAAGCCACCTGGCATGCATATACAATCGAATTCCACACACTTTTGCGTCACCGTATTTCACGCAGATTTCCTCCCGAAAACGCTCGTCTAATCGCGGAATAAAAAGTGAAGACGCAACGCAAATTTTTTCGTCTTCTATTCAGACCGTCGTCATATAAACTTAGACTTAAACACTGTAGAATTTCACTTACGCTTTTTTACTTTCTCATCCCCTGTTATGTAAATATTGCATGGTTTTATATGTTTAAATGTTTGTCATTTTCAGGGAGGGGCTTTAATAACCTGAGCCTGGTGCACATGGGCAGACACATCCCCACGGGGCAGTTAGTGGCTTTAAAACAAACCAACCTGGACGAGTGCACAGAAGAGGAGCTGCTACAACTTATGGTACTTTGACTACCAAACATCTTTGGCTGACTTTCCTCACAAGAATGATTTCATACATTAATTCAAAATCTACACTTACTCAGTGAACCAGCAGCAGTAATGGCGTTGACAAATTATGTTGGAGTAATTTAGCTAAGAGAGTGGTAAAAGCTGCCCACAGCTGCATTCTCAAAAGGAAAAATGGAAGGAAAAGCAGCTACCTCTGCAGTCGCTGCAGTAGAAATACTTTATTATCCCGAAGGAAATCCATTTGAAGCAGCACAATACAAACATTCATAAAACATAATGATAACAATAACATCAATTTAGTTATAATGAAGGATTATATAGCCGTATTTATTTTTATTTAGGACTTATATAATTCTGAATATAAATTACAACAAGACGATGAATCAATATATAATAAAAGGGCTTTTGTAGATCAAATAACTTTAACATTTATTTATAAGAGAGTGTCATGCTTTTGATACTGTTTATAACAGACTTGATTATTTAAATAAAAAAAAAAATCTTAGCCTTGGCCTGGTGGAGTCATGCTTGTCTCCATGGAAATACGGTTTAATTCCATACTGTGGAACATTCTAGACTAGGGGTGGGCAAAGTTTTTGACTTGTGGGTCACTAAGGGTTTGAAAATTTGACAGAAGGGCCAGGCCAAGAGCAGATGGATGGAGTATTTTAGTAATCTACCTCATAAGAGAAAAAAATAACATAGGAAAAGTAGAAAACATATCCCATGTTATTAAAATATCCCATAATTGAAAATCATTATAAAGCATTACAACTAAATATCCATCCATCCATCCATTTTCGTCCGCTTATCCGGGGCCGGGTTGCGGGGGCAGCAGCCTAAGCAGGGACTCCCAGACTTCCTTCACCCCAGACACTTCCTCCCGAGACGTTCCCAGGCCAGCCGAGAGACATAGTCCCTCCAGCGTGTCCTGGGTCTTCCCCGGGGCCTCCTCCCGGTGGGACATGCCCGGAACACCTCCCGAGGGAGGCGCCCAGGAGGCATCCGGAACAGATGCCCGAGCCACCTCAACTGGATACAACTAAATATCTGTTTTTTAAATCCCACGGTATTTACTATTTATTGAAATGACTTTTAAGACACTGGGAATTATTATTATTATTATTATTATTATTATTATTATTATTATTATTATTATTATAGTCACTGATGGTATCTCAGATTTTTTTTTTTTTTCTTCATTTTTTTTTAAAAATTTACATTAATAAACATTTTGAATTTTTTGGGGGATAACACTGCTGAACGGGGATTGTGTGTCAATGGCATAAATTACTTTCTATATTATCTTTTATTGTCTATATTTTCTTCACCAGTATTGTACTTCAAAGTTCCAAATATTAACAATATTATGCTAAGAAAACTAGTTAAACATTACCATTATTTATCAACATTTTTACTTCTCCCCCAGAATGAAGTTTTGCTGTCTCGACTTTTTCGCCATCCAAACCTTCTCACGTCTCGCCTCGTCTTCAGCTCCTCGTGTCAGCTCTGGGTCCTCTCCCCGCTCATGTCCTACGGTGAGACCTCTTCACAATAACTAAATTGATAATGCTTTTATAGATACATTAGTGAATTAAAATCTCTATCCATTTTTCCACTCGCTCTTCAGGCTCTGCAGACTCTTTGCTGAGAACCTATTTCCCTGATGGTATGAGCGAGTCTTTAATCGCATATCTGCTGTTTGGAGTGCTCAAGGCTCTGGAATACCTCCACAAAATGGGCTACGTTCACCGGTAAGAGCTGTTAGGATTTTAACATGCAGAGGCACATAGATAGGTATACCTGCAGAGATAGTTTTGAATGCACATACTAGTATATATTTTTCATATTAACCTGATATAAGTGTTGTCAGAAGTATTGAAAATCAGATACTAATTGATACCAAAACTAGTATCAAAACTAGATACTCATTTGTGCAAGTGTCACTTCTAAAAAGTCTCATTCACAGGACAAAAATGAACTTTTTAAGAATAAGTTTTTAAGTATAAGAAGTGTAAGAGCACATAGACAGTATACGCCCATGGACCACTATGGAACTACACAGATATAAGACCACATGGAACTAGAAAGGAACAGGGGTCATCAAACTAAGGCCCATGGGCCAACTCTGGCCTGCCACACCTCTTTGACCGGCCCCCCAGCCCCTCTGCCTGCCACCACTTGAACTGTAGCCAGGCTGGTGCCACCTAGTGCCCCAGCTCAAATGCTTTTCTCTCCAGCGACTAGTTCAGGAATCAGAATACACTAGACGATTCGCAGAAAATCCCAGAAGTGCGAGTTCAGGCACCAGACAATCAGTGAAGAGCCATACATTCTGTGTTGGCAATGATTCCCAAGATCGAGGATTTAAAGCCAGAACAAAGAGAATATTTGGTGAATTTTATCAAGGGAAAAGACGTTATTGCCCTTCTTCCTACAGGATTTGGGAAAAGCTTAATATATCAGTTAGCCCCGTTAGTGGCGCATTACATACGTCACGACCAAATAGCAACGATGATTAAATAATAAAAGTACCTGCCTCTTGTCAAGCAAACAAATTCTAAGGCTGTGAGAATCAGGCTACTTGAACTGGCCCTATGAGGCAATCCTCAAAAGTTGTCATGGCCTATTTTATTTATTTCTTTTTATTTTTTGACAAATAATAACATGTCTGCATCTTGTATTTTGTTGATTTTTTTTCAATAAAAAAAGATATTTATATGAAGTATTTATATTTATTTATATTTAAATAATTATATGACGTATTTATATTTTCCGCAGAATTTGCAGCTGATCCACCTGACAAACTCGAGGTCAAACAGTGACAGTCACACACTAACAGAGCAAAATGGCTCGTGTTAAACTATGAAAAGTTGAAAGAGTGCAGAGTTTTCAAAGAACAATGGATGACCGATTATTTTTTTGTTCAGTGTAAGAACCGTGCAGTTTGTCTGATATGTAAAGTGTGGCGGTTTTCAAAGAATCTAATCTGCGTCATCAGGGACATATGATTCTGTTTCACGGCCGACCCGACTCCGGCCCTCGTCACAGTCAGGACTGATAATGTGGCTCCCAGAGAAAAAAGTTTGTACTAGGATTTAATGTTGAAACTCACATTCTATTGTCTAAAGAAAGACATATTATCATTGTGGTATTGGAATCAGTATTGAGTATTCCTTAGTACATATTCCTTAGTATCGAAATCAAGTTTGAAATCTTAGTATCGTAACAACACTACCTTATATACTTGTCACAGTTCTGCCTTTTGTTTACATGTTTTCTCCAGTCCAACTCCATTTGTCCAGTCTGTTCCGGTCCTCCTTTTGCTGCCTCCATAATTTTCCTACAACTGCCACTCATTCCCTAATCACCCCAGGGTAGTCTGTATATCCTCCCTGTGTTCATTCAGTCTTTGTTAGATTGTTAACCTGTCAAAAGAGACACTCAAGCTCTATCTGAAACTCTGAATCTGATCTGTTCACATTTTATGCAATTCTACTTAATTCCCAGTTTGTATCTGTTTCTGAATTTATTCCCAGCCCATTTTCTACTTAGTGTATTACCCAGTTTTGGAAGATATTTTACTTCACATTAAATAAATCATATATTGTTGTTTGCCATATTAAACATTACCTGTGATAGGACACTTTATGTTATTGAACTAAGACTTTGTTTGCCTGTATGCTTTGTGTGCTGCATTTGAGTCCAGTTTTCCTGTGTGATAATGCCTTTTAGTACAACATTTTTAGTGGAGTTCAAGCTCAAGTTTAAGACAATTTGTTGATGAAGTGCTTCCAGATTTAAACCAGGTTAATAAAAGTAACAAAAGTCTAAACTATGGCAAGAGAAACTCAGCCTAAATATGCATGGGTTTATGTGTTAAACATGTGTGAATGAAACAAAACACAACTCCAGGTCTGTTTGTGACGAGGAAACAACATTATTACATGGATCAGATAGTATCATAGTATAATATAGGCCCTTTAAATTGAGTGACATTCATCTCATCAGAATTGCAATGTCTCTTATCTAACACATTACCATAACTTCCTTGTTTTTGCTCCAGGGGGGTTAAAGCCAGTCACATCCTGCTGTCTGGAGAGGGCCGTGTGTACCTCTCCGGTCTGCACAGTGCCTACAGTATGATGAGGGAGGGCAAAAGGCAGAGGGTGGTCTACGATATGCCCCACCACAGCCCCGCACTACTGCCCTGGCTCAGTCCGGAGCTACTCAGACAGGTATAATAATATTCTAGTTCAGGAATGACATTATCCCGGAGAAAAGCAGCTATGTCGATTATTCTTTGACATTTTGTTCATTTCTTAATAATAGAGGTCCATTGACTACAGAACATGTGGCATTTCACTGTAGAAAGATTTTCATTGTTGAAAAATGTAGTATGTGACATTTTTAATCTTACATTTATATCTTACATTTCCTGGAGTATGGCTTTTGAAATAAAAATAAACCTCAAATGCAGGGCAATACAAGATTACTCAAACTTGCATGGATCAAAATATAACTAAACAACAAAATAAGTAAATAAAACTAAGCTAATGATGAGGAAATACTGTTATTACAAAGGTTATTATCTCATGTAAGTTGATTTCAGAGCTTTGTTTGTGATTAATCTTGTGTTATTCCCCAGGACTTGCACGGTTATGGAGTGAAGTCAGACATCTACAGTTTGGGGATTGTTGCCTGTGAACTGGTCAGTGGAAGGGTGCCTTTTCAAGACATGCCGCCAACTCAGGTATTTCATGAACAATACTTTAAATTTTCTAAAACATAACTCAGCATGTTTCATCTGTACTATAGGCCTACTGCATCTTTGACAAAATGAGGCATAAACAACCAAAAAGAGCAGTTAACACCACTAATTAACATGTGTTTCAAGGACTCAAGGAAAAAAGAAACTAACTTTACTTGAAGTTGATGCAGCAGTCACAGCTAGTTAGTTTGCTTCTGAACATTTATAGTGTATTTTAGCTCGTTATGTCTTTGCACATGGCTTCTTACAGCAGACCAGACACAAATTTAACATCCACCTCTAGAAATTTAACCCTCAGTACAGTTGGGCAGGGGTCAAAAAAATCAGATTACAATTTTTTAGAATCCAAGATAACAATTTATTAATGAGAGGAGGATGGAGTCGTGAGATCGACAGGTGGATATGTGCAGCGTCGACAGTGATGCGGTCGCTGTATTGAACCGTTGTGGTGAAGAGGGAGCTGAGCCGAAACGCAAAACTCTCAATTTACCGTCAATCTACGTTCCTCCCCTCACCTATGATCATGAGCTCTGGGTAATGACCGAAAGGACAAGATTGCGGATACAAGCGGCCAAAATGAGTTTCTTCTGCAGGGTGGCTGGGTGCTCCCTTAGAGATCAGGAGCTCAGTCACACGGGATGATCTTGGAGTAGAGCTCGGGCATCTGCTCCGGATGCCTCCTGGGTGCCTCCTGGGTGCCTCCATGGAGAGGTGTTCTGGCACGTCCCACCAGGAGGAGACCCCAGGGAATCCCCAGGACACGCTGGAGGGACTATATCTCTCAGCTGGCCCGGGAACACCTTGGGATTCCCCCGGAAGAGCTGGAGGAAGTGTGTGTAGAGAGGGAAGTCTGGGAGTTCCTGCTCAGACTGCTGCCCCCGCGACCTGGCCTGGATAAAGCGGAAGAAAATGGATGGATGGCTGGATAGATGTCATCCATGCTGTTTGAGCAATTTAGTGATCTCTCCTGGGCCCTATTCAAACCTTCCTTAGATTATGTACAGATCAGTTCATACGCTTACATCACCCATGCTCCCACGCGACATAAATATACAAAAACAAAACTTTATGCAACAACTTGATGCAAACCTGATGCAATGTTCAGTAGTTTAATTAGCGGGATGTACTCTGATTGTGTTGTGATAGCGCCCTGAAGAGGGAGAGGAGAGTCAGATACAAAACTGAAACAGAGCATTTTCAGAACAATACAATCATTAATACCCAATAGAAGTATGATACCCCCTTGTTAATGTTTTTTTGTATTTCTATATTAACATGATTTATTTATTTTTGCATTGTTTTGCTCAGATGCTCCTTCAGAAGTTGCGTGGCTCTCACTGCTGCCTGCTCGACGTCGCCCCCTTCCCTCTGGGGGAGCTGGGCGGGCTGAAGGTCTCTCGCTCTGGGGTGGACTCTGGGATAGGGGAGAGCGTCGCCACCGGCTCCATGACCCACAGTGCCACAGCGCCCCCCACAGACCGACCACAGAGCCCCGGGCCCAAAAACCACTCTGCCACTCTGCACAACCTGGTCCAGCAGTGTCTCCAGCAGCAGCCTGAGAGGAGGTCAGTATTACACTTCAGTATTACCACACTGTTTAAATTAATTGTCTCCTGTATAATTTCTCAAAGTAAAGCTGTTTTAAATTCCTTCAAAATACTCAGAAGGTGAAATATGTAACTTTTCTGGTGGAGAATGGAAATGTTATTGCTTTGCCCAGATGTTCCACAGTACAGCATTACAAGTATCTATAGTGCATGTATTCAGTTTTTGGTGTTTTTATTGCTCAAACAACAGTAACAATGCATCACCTGCTTGTCTCCTGGAGATATATAAATTTAATGCCATACTGTGGTAGCCTGATTCATCAGCCGGTTTCACTTTGTGGAAACCGTCTGACCTTGCAGCATTAGGATTTGTTCACTCAGTGGATACTTTTTTAATTTAACCAATCGCTGCTATTTGATCATGACGTATGTAATGCACTGCTAACTGGTATATTAAGCTTTTCCCAAATCCCGTAGGAAGAAGGGCAATAACGTCTTTCTCCTTGATAAAATTCACCAAACATTCTCTTTGTTCCGACTTTAAATCCTCGATTTCGGGAATCGTTGCCAACAGAGAGTGTATGTCTCTTCACTGATTGGCTGGTGCCCGAACTCACACTTTTTGTGAACCGTCTAGTCTAGTGTATTCCGATTCCTGACCTAGTCGCTGGAGAGAAATGAAATTGAGTGGAGACACTAGGTGGCGCCAGCCTGGCTTATACTGTGGAACATTTCAGGCAAATCGTATATCATCTCTATGGTGACAAGCAGATGGCAGACCTCTACCAGAAAAGTTGCATTGTACAAGTTTGAATTTCACTATTTTCTCTGGCTACTCGAAATGCTAAAGTTTATATTTGAGTAGTTTGTAGTTTTATGTGTTTTTGGTTGCTTTTGTAAAATGCCAGACAGAAATTGTACGAAAAATGTTAAAAATACAATCTGATTTGAAGTTTCAAAACTGAATCTGCAGAATTTTATACTAAATTATTCCTCAATGTTCTGTTTTTTTTCTCATTTATAGACCCTCTGCAACCACTCTGCTGAGCCATGCCTTTTTTAAGCAGGTGAGCAGCTTGTTATTCTCAATCTTTTCTAAATATCTGTCTCAAACTATTTTAAACTACATATATTTTCATTTTTTATGCAGGTGAAGAGACACACGCGGGACTCCTTCCTCAGCCTCATGTACCCCGCTGTGCCGCTCACCAACCCGGACGAGCCCCCCGTCTCCAGCCCCCCAATCCCATCATGCAATTCACCAACCACTCCATCTGAAACCACTGACGCCATATGGGACTTCTCCTAAAAAACTCACCAAAAAGATCCCCAAAATCATGAAGCAGAAGCCAAAAAAGACTAAAAACGCAATTTTGAGGCCTGATTTTACTGTGCTGTTATAACACTACATTAAGAGCCAACTTGAGCCTTTATTATAGTTTTTTTTATTCTTTTGTATGTTATTGACAAGGGAGTTTTTGACTGTGAAAGCGCTGGATCAAAAAGGCTGTTCTTGATATCATTAATAATATAATAGACTGACTGTAATTATAATCTTGTACTTCCTACCTAAACAAAAATGCAACTTTACGTGAAGAAAAAACACTACTTGGAACAATATTTTAAATAGGAATGCACCACCATATAAGGTGTGTCTAGAAATGTCACTTCTTCACATCTAAATCAGGGATGTAACAGCAACTTTGAAGGTGTAGTCTGTAATTTTTCTGGCCCATCAAATGCTTTTCTCCATGGAGATGCCATTGCTTTGTCTGGAATGTTCCACAGTATGGCATTAAACCTTTCTGTCTTCATGGAAACCAAACCAGACCAAGTTACAGGTCGGATCTGTGGAGATTCAACCCCGCTCACAGTCAAAGTGTTTGTTTTTCTAGGTATTTTTGAGCTTTAAAACCACCTGTAATTGAATAAATGTAAGGTAAAGCTGTTTAAAGTCATACTGTGGAACATTGCAGGCAGACACGCGGGTGATGGACCCCCCAACCAAAATGTTACACAGTACACCTTTAATGTCATATTGCAAAATCAAGTCTTGCAACAATATATGGACTATGCATATGACATTAAATGCAAAAAAAGCAGAGGGAACTACATTGACCATGATCCTTTGCTCTTTGCTCTTTGCTCTTTTCAATGGAGCCAACTTTAAGAAAAGACAGTCTCTTACTACTTGAAAATTGTAATCCTTGTAAGGTGCACTGCATGACTTCTAAGGTGGAGGGTCAGCTACTTGCTTGTCTCCGTGGCGATGTTATTTCTTTGCTTGGAATGTCCCAAAGTAGGGCATTAAACATATCTCCCTTACACTTGTTAAATTACAAGTGTTTTATAGCTCAAAAATACCTTAAAAAACATGAATTCTTACCATGTGCAGGCTCGCTTCTCCGCAGATCTGACCGTATTTCTATACTGTGGAATAATCAATGCAAAACAGTTATATCTCCATGGAGACAAGCAGGTAGAAAAGTCACATAGTGCATCTTTAAAATATGACTGTAATAATCATCACTAAATGTTTGTTGCATATTTTTTTAAACAATATTGCAACAAAACCTTAAAATGTGGATAGTGTTACATCCCTAATTTAACGTCTGTTTGATTGGACACTATGTTAATTTTAAAGGTACACTACGGAGCTTTTCTAGTGACACAGTAGCTCTTTCAGTAAACTTGACCTGCTATAGTATTGTTTAGCTGGTAATTTTAATAGGCTTTATTCCACTTTCGTCCATTGTGGTAGCCTGTATGTTCACTTTTCATGGGCCTTTGTAAAATACGGTACTTTTGTTTCCTCTGCGATGTTTTAATGTTGATTTGACTGTGAATAACGGTATTGTGTTAAGGTATTAAGGGTACATACATAGACTATAGCCTAATATTTTAATTATTTTAATCTACAAAATCAGACCTCACTACATTACTTAAAGGTGCACTGTGTAACTTTTCTGGTGGAGGGTCCGTCAAATGCTTTTCTTTATTGATTGGCCTGGAATGTTTCACAGTATGGTATTAAACCTTTCTATCGCCATGGAGACCAAACCTGACCAAGTTAAGGGTCAGATCTGCGGAGAGGTGACCCCGCTCACAGTCAGAATGTTGTTTTTCAAGGGATTTTTGAGCTATAAAACCACCTGTAATCAAATAAATGTTAAAGTAGAGCTGTTTAATGTCACACTGCGGAACATTCCAGAGCAGTCACATATCCATAGTAACAAGCAGGTTACAGTTCCCCCACCAAAAAGTTACATAGTGCGTGTTTAAAGTTGGCACCGTGTAGCTTTTCTGGCAGTGGGCTCGCAACCTGCTCGTTTCCATGGTGATTTGTTGCCTGGAATGCCCCACAGTATGGCATTAAACACATCTACGGAACATTTATTTAATTGCCGCCGTTTAATTGCAGCATTCTTTCCACAGATCTGACTTGTGATTTGATCTAGGAGTGTTCTGTGCTTGTTTCCATGGAGATAGATTTGAAGTTTAATGCCATACAGTATAACATTCGCTTGCTGGGACAGATAATAAAGTATCTTATCTTAACATCTCCATGGAGACAAGCTGGTATGGTATCGAACCTCCACCAAAAAAGCTCCATAGTGCATCTTTAATAATGGCTGGACATCAAAAGTGACAAATTTTAACCTGTAAATATTTAAATGTGTTTTTAAACATACAACTATGATGTATGGGTAATTTTTAAGTGCATTTATTGAGAGCCTTTTATCCAATGGTACAACTGGAGCACACAGCAATAGCAGATTCATTTTGTGTTTCATGTAGGACATCATGTTACTTGTCTCTACCTGTTACCTGTGAATTATCAAAATATGAGATTATAAATGTGCTTTGTCCATGTATTCAAAAAATGCCTTTATGTTTTTGAATAATGGTGATATCTTTGTAACTGTGACTGGTGTACTGTTAAAGGTGCATTGTGTAACTTTTCCGGTGGAGGGCTTGTCAATACGAAATTTTTCTAGGTATTTTTGAGCTATAAAACCACCTGTAACTGAATAAATGTAAAGTAGAGCTGTTTAATGTCATACTATGGAACATTCTAACCAGAGCAATGACGTATCCATAGAAACAAGCAAGTGACAGACCCTCAACCAAAAAGTTACACAAATGAGCTAAACAACTGTGACTTGCAGTACATTGATATGGTAGCTGTATGAGCCTTATAAATATGTAAACGCATTATCATAGCCTATATAAAGTAAAATATATTTGATTTTTCAATAATTTTGCCTTTTGAGCTCTATTACTTTGTTTTATAAGTATGTTTTAGTCATTTACTTTCATGCTATTTATTCACATTTTTATCTAGACAAAAGGATCAGAAAAATTGCAGTAATAATAGCCCAATCAAAACCAAAACCTTTAAGTGTTTGTACTGAAATTTTCAGACAAAATAGCCATTTGAACATTGAAACTGGTATTTAAGGCCAATAATAAATGTCTACCTGAAAACATTCAAAAACATTTTATTGAGAAGGAAGGGGTTTATAATCAGCGTAAAGACAGTAAGAAAAGCTTTGTGCTTCAGTATGTGGAATTAGACATGGGACAGTTTGAATTATAATAAATTGTAAATATAAAGCAGTTCAAAGAGAATTACAGAAAATTGTCTTTAAGAAATATGAAAGAGATGTAGATGCTAAGTAATGCATATGTAATAACTAATAACTTAATAACTTATACATATAAAAAACTGAATATACATAACTAATATAAATAACTTTGAAACTGAACATATAAATCCTAAAAATTGTAAATAAATACGTAAAAACATTAACCATTAAAAGTGTGTTGATGGACTTGGAAAAGCTGAATGCAATTATTAAAATTTCTATGCATTTTTAGAGCGGTAGGGGGCGTTAAAACTCCATTATAATTTCAGCTTTGGTCCGTCCCCTAGTAACCACGAAGCTCCACATCGACACCGTAAAGTACTAATACTGTCGCAAACAAAACAACGATGCATTTTATCATAATAAACAAATTATTCTAAAACTGTGAATGCGTTTGATTATTTAAATTACAGTAACAATTATGCTATTTAATTAGTGCAAAGACTACTTTCGGTATTTATGTTGTTTTGATTTTAAGTCTAATTTGTATCCGTTTAGCCTATCACAATAAATGTAATTAATTTAGCTAATTTGTTTATGAGGCTAATTAAAGTTTAGTAGAAACGTTTTCCATCGCTTTTGAAGACTGAATAACGAGATGAAGATGATAATAAAGTTTTCAAATCGACTGTGTTGATTGTTTAACTGATGGTGTATTTTATTTTGAAATAAATCACACAGGAAGTTGCTCTCCACGTTTTTAGTTTCAGCTTGATAGTAACAACTCTGCAAACAACGGCACTGACAGTTTCGCTCCGCTGGACTCAGGTGAGGAAATGCCTTTATATGGAGGGATTAAACGCTTTTTACTGCAACTGTGAGACGTATTTTTATTACCTTGCAGTACTTTTATGCTCGTACGGTCTTGTGTTGACGAGGTGTACGGGTCACATGAGGAGGTGGAGAGAAGGAGAGGCTCAAATAGAAGAAAATAGGCTTTTTGACAGCTAGCCCGAAGCTAACAGGGGCAGGTAGGCTGAACTATTGCTCCAATGTTACCCGAGGCGATCTTAAAGCGCTCTGCAGCTGTCCTCGCGTCTACAGATCACGTTTTTGCTCTTTAGTGCCTCGCATCCCATAACATACATGATTTATGCGGAGAAATTCCACATACCGCTTCGTAAAGCTCAGACTAGTTCCATAGAGAAGGCAGTATCGGTTATTGCAAGTGTATTAACGTCACTTTTTGTTATAACCATGTAGAAACTGTATATTTAAGGTGTAAATATGTTTGTTGTTATGTTCAACAGAGGAAACGCAGCAGGAAGAGCGACTTATATTCGACCAGGAGGAGCAGAAAGGGCCCAGCTGTTGTGAGGAATCTACTGTAAGACTCGACCCTTACCATGGAGTAAATACTGAGGAAAACTTGGTGCATTCTTGAAGATATCTGCCATTACCGGTGGAAAGGACACGTTGTCAGAAAGTTGGACAACATGGTGTTATGGTCTGATCCTGTACAAATGCAGATTAGCTCATGACTGGGAAAGAATGAAGTAATTCTAGTGGATTGTACTGCCTTTTGGTTGGAGGAGGAGGGTGCCACTTTGCTGGTGCCATGGCATCCAAGGAGAGATTGTACGAGGTGTGGATGCTATACTCCACTAAGGTAAGGTTACACATTGTATATTAACCCTAAACAACCCATAGGAACCACCCTTTTTTGGTGTTATTACATAGGGCTGTACACTATATTGCAATAGACGTCAGACACTGGTATGAAATCTCCTGAATGTTTATGGAACTACCTGCTCACCCTCTAGTTTAGACAGTGTTTCCCATAGATTTTCTTCAGATTATAGTGGTACACATACTTTCTATAGCAGTCATTTTCTTACATACAATTTGTGCTCTGGAATGCATGTGAGTTTCTGTATTAGTAGTTCATATTTTACTCTTTTTCTAAAATAATAATGCTCCTGGTTGTGTTTAAAATGTAAACTGGGCGCAATTGTGATCATAAAAATCACAGATAGATTTTTCCCTAAGTTCTGTAGCCCAAGTATAGGTGTTTTATAGCGGCTACACCCGTAACACAATGTAATAAACATAATTACTCACAAGTAGCAGGCAAAAGCATAACATTTACAGCATAGTAATACCTTATTTAATCACCATGACATTTTCCCCCAATGTAATGCAGCCCTTTACACATGTTTTTTGCTCTTTTGCCATAACACAACACATGTAATAAACACAATTATTGACAATTAACAGACAAAAACATAACATTTATAGCATAGTAATTAATCGCAATAACATTTTCCTCAATGTTATGCAGCGTTATAGACTTGTCTTTTGACCTTTCACTCATAACACAAGTGTAATAAACAAACATAAGTACTGATAATTAGTTTAAATAAATCATAACATTTACAGCTTAGTAATACCTTATTTAATTGCAATAACATTTTTCTCAATGTTATGCAGCCTTATACATTTGTCTTTTGCCTTTTCACCCATAACACAATGTAATAAACATAATTATTGACAATTAACAGAAAAATTATAACAGTTACACCACAGTAATACCTTATTTAATGACAGTAATATTTTCCCCAATGTTATGCAGCCTTATGCATTTGTCTTTTGGCCTTTTACCCATAACACAACAAATGTAATGACTCACAAGTAGCAAAATCATAATGGTTATACCATAGTAATCCCTTATGTAATCACATTTCCCCCAATTTTGTGTAGCCTTATAGTCTTGTGCCCCTTTCTCCCATAACACAATCTGATAAACATAATTACCGACAATTAGCAGACAAAATCATAACATTCACAGCATATTAATACCTTATTTAATCACTGTGACATTTCCCCCAATGTTATGTAGCCCTATACATGTGTCTTTTCCTTTCACCCAGAACACAACAAACGTAATGCACATAATTACTCACAATTAGCATGCAAAATGATAACACTTGCAGCATAGTAATACCTCATTTAGCTGGTGCTGCGGGCTCCACTGAAAGCTGCCATTTAAAAGAGACACTAATGAAATGGCCTGAAGCTCCTGGTCGATGTATTGGTTGGTAACACATTAGATTTTATGAGCATTACCTATTCATGAGGGAGCACTTTGTTGCCTCAGGTTTGTCACCCAATTCTTGTAAAAATCAAAACAGATCAATATTTCTTTTTCTTGTCTATGTAGTCTTTGTAGGTACAATGCCAAACATGATTTAGTGACGTCAAGATAAATTGAGTTTACAGTGAATTGTTCTCAGTGTTACAATACATCAATTTAAGTTTGATCGTATTATGTTTAGAAAGCACACTACTACTATGCTAATTTTGTTTATATTTTTCAGCGACAGTATGTTATTCATATACAGAACTGTTATTTGTTTTTGGTTCAGTCCATTACCAGTTGTGTGACACTGCAGTATTTCCTCTTACAATAATCCTAACACCATATTTTGTAACTGATACAACCTTTTAAAAATGTCAGGTGATAAGATAACCTTTATTCGTTCTACAATGGGGAAATTACAGTGTTGCAAACTGGTAGGAGATTCAATAGTTTTAAAGTAGTAGTTAGAGCAAATCGTAAAGTAAAATACATTAACGTTGAACCTTATCAGCCTTATCACATATTAGGGATTGGGTCAGCAAATGAATTCTTCAACTAACAACAATTACTCCTTATGGAACCACTTTCTCAAGACAATGTTAAAGAATATTTTTTCACTTTTAATTATTTATACCAATGGCTATTTTCTTAATTCTGGCTGAGAAAGCTGTTTTTGTTTCTCGGTGTTACAGAGATATTGAAGTTCCCAATCTGTAAATGGACTCTTTTGAGCTTTTAGTCTTGTTAGAATATCACTACATCATCAAAAACGTAGCCAGAGTTGCCCTGACGAAGGCCCCATGCAGTCTAGTCCCATTTTATATATTAAAGGACTTTTAATGCAGTCGGAGTGCCTCAGATTTTTTTTTAGTGATCCTGATGAGCACCTGACCTGAAAATTTGATTGACCCACTGAAGCGCTCATCTTCCTCTCTTATACCCAGAGTTCTGTTTTGTTTGATTCATGCATGTTTAAGTAATCCTTTATTTATTAGTCTATCTACATCTCTAAAGATCAAAATGCTCTGTTCAACCTTGTGATGTCATGAAGCAACAGCCTTTTTTTAAACTTTTTGTTCAGCAGAGATTGGCGATTCCAGGGCTGAGATTATCCAAATGCTTCAAGTGATTTTACAGTATGATGTCAGGTTTTATTGTTTTTACCTTTAGACATGAATGACAGGGGAGTACAGAAGCCTTCCTTGACTCAGCTCTTGGCTCTCTTTAATGTACTTGGAGATAAAGCACATTGGCACATTACAAACAGGCTGAGCTGAGCTGGTGTTCACGTGAGGCTGCTGGCTGGGACTTCTGCAGTAATCCTACACACACAAACACACACACACAGACACACGCATGGACTCAGACACACGCATGCACACGGCTTTTAGTCCCCACACTGTGATAAATGCCTGCTTGTACATGTTGGATTTCCATGCTTCTTGTGGACGTTTCATTGACTTGCAGTAATTTTCTGGAAATTCAAGTCTCGTAAAACCGTAGTCAATACTTGCCTTGCCTTTTTTTTTTGAGATTATACAACAAAAACATAAAATAGACAAAAACAAAACCCTCCCACACCCCACCTTTCTCTTCACAGTCAACACACAGACAAAACTAGACATAAATCACTGTGTAAACAAACATTAAGTCAGTCAAGTTCACTCCTATTACTTCCCTAATCCTAATCCAAACTCTAACTTTAAAGGAACGGTACGTACGATTTTGAATTTATTTGTCCTGAAGATGACCTAACTGTGTCCCCAGGTACAAGGTTATTACATTCAAATCAAATATAGCGTGATGTTGCATTTATTTAGGTTGTAATTTGGTGTTTTTTATCCAACCAGAAAGCAGAATGAGCCTCACAGGAGTCTCTCATTTTGGTTACCAGTTTCAAAGCTGAAATCCAGTTGGTTTAAACCTAAAATGTCTCTCTTTGATCTGAACGGTCGGTCACTATAAACCCCAGGACCTGCAACCAATCATGAATCAGAGCTAATGCAGCTTCAGAGTGGATTTTGGAGGTTTTGGAACTTTAACCTCTATCTTAACCTCAGAACGCTTCCAGTAAAAACGACAAAATATTTTATCGGAAGTGCCTTTCCTTTAGACGGTAACGGCGTTTTGGGGGCTTAAAACATGCAAAAATCTGAAACCACCCTCCAGAGTGGAAAAGCTGAATACACTCTCTGCTGTAGCGTTTCCATCTACACTGCCCAAGATGCAAAACTCTGGTCAGATCTGCTCACGTCGCATACGCATTTACATCACATGCATACAGTACAAAACCTGGCATGCACACACAATCAAATTCCATATACTTTTGCAAAACGCTTGTCTAAACGTGGAATAAAAAGTGAAAACGCGATGCCACTTTTGCGTCTTCTGTTCAGACCGTCATCATATAAACGTAGCCTTAAAGATGCACTATTTAACTTTTTGGTTCAGGATCCATCACCTGCTTGTTTCTCTCTTACATTAGTTCAATCGCAAGTGGTTTTATAGCTCAAAAAGACTGAGTGGGGTTGCCTCTCCACAGATCTAACCTTTAACTTGGTCTGGTTTGGTCTGCATGAAGATGTGAAACTTTACAGACAAAACAATAACATCTCCATGAAGAAACGTATTTGACGGACCCTCCACCGATGCACCTTTAAACTAAACCATGTTGTTGATCTAATAATGAAGGATTTACATTATAGGGACCTGATTCTAGTTGAGTTTAGCCCTCCACGATATGATAAATACCCTTACACACACACACACACACACATACTCAGCTCTGTGTCAAACTCTGAGCCTATGAAATCAGTTGGACATGCGTTTAAGATGTGCGTCTGAATAATCCCTGTGTTAACATGTGCTGACAACAAAAAACTGGAGCTGCACAATACAGCAGTGTGAGGCCCGGGCCACTCCGTACAAATATGTAATTGCAATTTTTCCTGGCTCAATCAGTTCACAGTGGAGAAGCACAGAGATTTAGTTGTTAGCAGAGGAAAAATTGACAAAGGTAGTGCTGCCTCTCGATCAGTTTTGCAGCTCTACTGTTGACAATTATTCAGATTGAGGATGATAACTTTACTATAATTGTTATGCTAGTGGTTTTTAATATGTTGCATCTGTTTATAACTCTTTTGAAATCAATAGGCAATGTATTATCTGTCAGTTATTGGACTTACAGGACTCATTGTTTTTACTAAGGATGCACCGATACTAGGGATGTAACAATATCCAAATCTCTCTGTACGATATTTTCACGATATACATCTCATGGTAGAATATTTATTGTGATATTTTCTGGAGCCTTACAAAACTGTTAATGTGCTACTTTTTCCTCCTAAAATGCCTTGACAAGACTTAATCCAAAGAACGAAGACTTAAAAGTGCTTAGAACTGTTATTTCTTCTTGTAATGGAGCAAAGGATCATGGTCTATGTAGTTCTCTGTCTTTTTTTTAAGCTACTGCTGCACCGTAACTCTTAATTTAAGCAGAGAGACTTGTTATTCGATATATAGTGATGCTC